ATTAAATATTTTATTCAAATACATTTTCATTGCCTGACCTAAATCTGTGCTAATAAACCTTAAATGAGACCAATTTTATATTTTATCACCAGATTTATAATTTGAGTTTCACCTTTTTTGAAATAAAGTAATTTCTTTGTGAAAATTAGAGATTTTTTCTTGTATTTTTACAGATGAAACTAACGATAAAACTGTTTTGTGAGACTCTAACAGGTTTGTTTATAATCCGCTCTGCCTTACGCCCTGAATCACACTCATCAATAGCAACTGTGTGTGCAATTTATTAATTTATAAGCTAGACAGCAATTTCTAAATAAGACTACAAATTAGACGTCGCATCCATGACGTCACAGCAGAACCTCCTGTCCCCGGGAGCTGCTACTTACCACGTGGCCTCATCAATAGTGATGCTCCTTCTGAAGTCCTGGAAGAAGTTCGCTAAATGAAGCCTCTCTCCCTTCTTCAGACGGACATTTGTAGTCCTTCACCTTTTCACACAAACCCTAAATAGCTCTGCAGCGTTTTCTGGCATCAGAACGTGTTTTTAAAATTCGCGGACAAATTATCAACGGCGCGCAACAAACGGGATTAGAAAATAACTAATATTGGTTTTGTCTTATTTCCGGGGACCCATGAGCCGACCGGAAGGGGAGGAGCTTTGGACTTGTTATTAATTGGCTGCTGTCCGAAGGAACAAAAGAGGAGAAACTAGTTGTGGAGCATCTGAGATGGTCGGGTGGAGTTCCGTGGATGAGGCGCTGCTCTCCAGCTCTGCGTCATTCTAACATGACCGGAGAGTTTGTGCGTAAAGGTCTGCGCGTCTCCGTGGCGCATCACGCGGCTCCGCTGACTCCTCTTCATCGTTTGCAGATCTGATACCACCGAACCCCTCCAGCCTTCTGAACCATGGCCGAGCTCGGATCCGCCCGGCGCCTCCCGCGCTTCGGGTTCCTCCTGATGCTGCTTCTCCTCCCGGGTTCATCCGCCAGGCGGGACCTCTCTGGACCCAACGACACGTGGAGAACTGCAGCCGGATCCGCGCTGGAGGAACCGCATCACCGAACCAACGGGTCCGCGACCCACAAGAAGGCGTTTCCCGTCCTGGATTTCAACTACGAACACGTCCGGATCCCCTTTGAGATCTCACTGTGGATCCTGCTGGCCCTGTTCATGAAACTTGGTGAGTCCAAGAACCAGAACCAGGTAGAGGGAAGGCGTCACATCTGGACTAGAGTTCAGATCTGGACTAGACAGGTCAGATCTGGACTAGATGGGTCATATCTGGACTAGTGGGGTCATATCTGGACTAGACTGGTCAGATCTGGACTAGATGGGTCAGATCTGGACTAGTGGGGTCATATCTGGACTAGACTGGTCAGATCTGGACTAGATGGGTCAGATCTGGACTAGTGGGGTCATATCTGGACTAGACTGGTCAGATCTGGACTAGACTGGTCAGATCTGGACTAGTGGGGTCATATCTGGACTAGACAGGTCTAGACGGGTCATATCTGGACTAGATGGGACATATCTGGACTAGACTGGTCAGATCTGGACTAGTGGTCACATCTGGATCATAGGGGACAGATCTGGACTAGACGGGTCTTATCTGGACTAGTGGGGTCATATCTGGACTAGTGGGGTCATATCTGGACTAGTGGGGTCATATCTGGACTAGTGGGGTCATATCTGGACTAGAGGGGACAGATCTGGATCATAGGGGACAGATCTGGACTAGAGGGGACAGGTCTGGACTAGAGGGGACAGGTCTGGACTAGTGGGGTCATATCTGGACTAGTGGGGACAGGTCTGGACTAGAGGGGACAGATCTGGACTAGATGGGTCAGATCTGGACTAGAGGGGACAGATCTGGATCATAGGGGACAGGTCTGGATTAGAGGGGACAGATCTGGACTAGATGGGTCAGATCTGGACTAGAGGGGTCCGCATCGGACTTCTGAGTCATTCAGGCAACTAAAAGCTCATAACTGAAAGGATGAGCCGAGTCGACACATAAAAGGTAAATTTGCAAATAATGAGAATTTTTATCATTTAAATCTGATCATCAGGATTTTTGCTCCATTCCCAAAATCCCAGTTTTCGTTTCAGCCATAAAGTATTTATTCCAACTCAACCAAGTTTCAGGAAAGTTTGAAGTTTTTTTTCTTTTTAAGTATTTTTAACAAAATCCCCTAAAAAATGGCTTCATTCTCTACTTTACAGAAGATATCGGCTTCATTTCCCATAATGCATTTCACTGTGGCCAAATATTTCACAGGACTTAAGAATTATAACATTCACTGATTAATTCACCAACCATTTAACATCATACATGTTTGAAATAAGTTCAGTTAAAGTTTGAGTCTTTTTGACCGCGCCACTGTCCTAGTGGGCGTGACCCCGCGAGGAGAGTTGACCACTGAGCTGGGTTGATGGTCCACATGGCAGCGGTGAGGCGGTGCTCACTCCTCACCCCTGCTACATGGACCGAAGGGATAAACCATCAACCCTGCTCAGTGGTCAACTCTCCTCGCGGGGTCACACCCATTAGGACAGTGGTGGGGTCAAAAATAAAATGAAATTAGAAATTCCCCAGAGATGCTTTTCAAACAGTTAAATGAGCTATTATTTATTATTTTCCTTGCAGGTAATAAAATGTTTCCTGTTAGTTGACTAGGATTTTAGTTTTACGACGTCTACAGGAATAAAAGTCGTGTTCAGGTGACTTTAGGTGCTTTTACACACCGATCCAGAATCTGAGGGCCGATATCGGTGATCTGAAACGAACTAGCGGTGGTGAGTTCAGGGACCAGTCTGACTCTTTTCTTGTTTACAGACTGTTGCTGGGCGGATGTTTGGTGTCAGCTTCATCATTTTAATTAAAGTTGTCAAACCCAAATAATGAATTAGCCTAATCCAAAGCTTGGCTAATCAGCTGCTTTTATTGTGAAAATTTACTTTTTAAAGACAGAAACTTTTCTTGTTTCCACTTGTGTTTGGTTTTAAAACGAACCTTCCTGTGGAACGAGGCTGCTTTGGGCCTGATCAGAGCCTTTGTGGTGTTCCTAGGGACTTTACTGAAGCACTAATCAGCCCTCTCAGCTTTTTAGGCTTATTTTTAAATCTCCCCGGGAACAAAAATGAAAAATAAAACATTGAGTTTTTATTTAGACTAAAGCCTAACCTGGTTCAGATGTTTCACAGCTATAAAAATCACAAATCGACCAGTTTAAATCACTTTTGCTTTACTGTGAATAAACTTCTGTTTGTGTTTTTATGCATTCGTTCTATTTGGGTTAAATCTGCTGGATTTTATTTTCAGACAATTTTGTCTCTAATCTGAAACTAAATTTATTTAAAATATTCACTTTATTGATTAATTTGTCCCACAAAGTCAGTCGGAGTAAAACTTTGCAGCAGATTTCTGAAACATTCATTTGATTCTTTCTCATTTTTTGTTCAATTAGCTTCTAATAAACTGATCTGAGTTCAGATTTAACTGAAGGATCGTGTAATCAGGATTAGGACAGACTTCCTGTTACCGGCTTAAATCATCTGGTTAACAAGTGTCATCCATCTGATGGAATGAAGGTAAACTGGTTTTAGTTTAACTGGTTTTGGTTACTGGGAGGTCCTATCTGCTGGTCCAGATGTTGTTTCTGAGGGCCGGGCCCGCCTCCGGTCCAGATGCATCACTCGATAACAAAGATGTCAGTGTGCAGGGGGTGAGTCGACAGAACTCGTACTGCAGCGGCGCTGACCTTGGTCACGTGACCCGGGCAGGGGAGGTGGGACTGTCTTGGTTACTGGTTATGAACCCGGAAGCTTTTTCTAGGATCATTTTTATTTAAATGTAGAACTAGAAGCAGCAGGAATAAATGAGTAAATGATGAAGAAACTCGTGAGCTGTTGTTGGCGTTTAAATAAAAAGTAAAGTGTCTCTAGAACATTCTGCTCCCTCTCAGCATCCTTGTTGTTATCCGGCTGTCTGCTGCCGACCCGTAGGAAGTTCCCTCTAGAAATCTGAGATCTGATTGGATGTTTTCCGGTCCGTGATGCGTTCGCTACAGCAGCATCTGTAGTTTCACAAACTCTTTTTTACAAGAAGCTTCCTTGAGATTTCAACCATGATTTCTTCTCTGCAGGGTTTCACATCATTCCCAGAGTTTCCCACGTAGTCCCGGAGAGCTGTCTTCTGATCTTCGTGGGCCTGCTGGTGGGCGGGATCATCAAGGCCATGCATGACAAGGCTCCCATCCTGGACACCAAGTTGTTCTTCCTCTACCTGCTTCCCCCCATCATCCTGGACGCCGGCTACTTCCTGCCCATCCGGCTTTTCACGGAGAACCTGGGCACCATCCTGGTGTTTGCAGTGGTGGGAACGCTGTGGAACGCCTTTTTCATCGGTGGGATGATGTTCGCCATCTGTCAGATCGAAGTGGCCCACCTGGGTGGCGTGAGCCTGCTGTCGTGTCTCCTGTTCGGCTCCATCGTCTCAGCCGTGGATCCAGTGGCGGTTCTGGCCGTGTTTGAGGAGATCCACATCAACGAGCTGCTGTACATCCTGGTGTTCGGGGAATCGCTCCTCAACGATGCCGTCACTGTGGTAAGACCTCTCCTGGTGGTCGCTCCGACTTCGTCTCCAGACTTTAGAATAAGGAACTTTGGAAAATGTGGAAAACGCTGAAACGGTGGGTTTTAGTGTTTATGGATCGTTTTCCTGCAGGTTCTGTATCACCTGTTTGAGGAGTTTTCCCACGCCGGATCTGTGACCATGGGTGACGCCTTTCTTGGCGTCTTGTCCTTCTTGGTGGTTTCACTCGGCGGTATCCTGGCAGGCGTCGTCTACGGGATTGTGGGAGCCTTCACGTCCCGCTTCACTTCTCACTCACGTGTCATCGAGCCGCTCTTCGTCTTCCTCTACAGCTACATGGCTTACCTCTCAGCCGAGGTCTTCCACCTGTCGGGGATCATGTCGTAAGTCTGGGTCCTGTTGACCATGGAGATGTTCTTCATGGAAACAGATTGTTCTTCCTGACAAACTGCAGAAACACTTCTAGAATATTCATGGAGAGTTTCTAGTTCTCCGAAACTTTCAGGTCTGATGTTCAGGACCTTCTGGGTCTGCTTCTGACAGCTTGTTGTCGTATACCACAGAAGACCTTCAGAGGTCTGGTTGTCCAAGATCTCATCTCCTCTCATAACCCCCTCCCGTTTTCTCACATTCCAGTCTGATTGCCTGTGGCGTAGTAATGCGGCCTTACGTGGAGGCCAACATCTCCCATAAGTCCTACACCACCATCAAATACTTCCTGAAGATGTGGAGCAGCGTGAGCGAGACGCTCATCTTCATCTTCCTTGGGGTTTCCACCGTCGAGGGTCCTCACAACTGGAACTGGTTGTTTGTGGTCTTCACCCTGGTCCTCTGCCTCGTGTCCAGAGTGTTGGGTCAGTTTAACCAGAACCAAGTTAACGTACGACCAGAGACACAGATTTTTAAATGATCTGAACCAGTTTTTATCCTTCATGTTCAGATAATCAAACGGCAAACAAAACTCACCAACATCTGAACGTTTACCTTTTAGTTCATCGTTAACTGTTTTTTATACACAATATTAACAAATGTTTATCATTTTTATACTTTCAAAACCTGCTAACTAATCAAATATGTCTGTAAACTAGCTTGTTTTTAGTGAATTAATTTTTTTCTTTAATATAAACAAAAATGATTCATAAATAGAATGTTGCTTTTCCTGCTCATTGTTTTTTGTAATCTGTAAAATGTTTGAAAATGTTTAATTTAAAAATGTTAGAACATTTAAAATGTAATACGCTAGTTAGCTTACAATAAGCTAGTTTGCTAATTAGCATTTTTAATGAGAAAACTGATTTTTTTTACTTAAGAACATGTTGCCCTTGCCCATTAGCAGTTGTTTTTTTATATAATGAAAATCAAATTTAAAATATTTTGCAAAATTCTCATAAAATCTAAGCTAGCTAGCCACCACTTAGCTAGTTCACTAAAATCTAGCTTCTATTTCATTATTTAAATCTGAAACAAGAAACATTTAGATAATTTGATTGGCTTTTCTCTTTATCAGTAATTATATCTCGTTTTAAAGAATTCATTGTTGAACCCACAGCATAGATCAACACAAATTTTATTAAATATGAGAAAATGATTTGTTTAATATCAGTTCAGTTAGCTAGCTGCTTGATGACAATGTACAAACAGAAAAATATTTGTGGTTAGAAAATGTGTTTTTTTTTTGTTTGTTTGTTTGGTTTTATTTTCATTTTGATTTTGATTTTGATGCCATAAATGTAATTTTAATTTTAAAATCTATGAAACTAGAATAGCTGACATGTAGCTAGTTAGCTTTCACCAGCGGCGCTAGCTTCATTATTATTTAACAAACTCTTCATTAAAGTTCATCCTTTATTTTTATAAGATATTTGCTTCTTTAAAACCTGTAAAAGTGACAAAATTAGTTTTTACTTTTAGTTTATGAAAGCTTTGATTAATTTTCAGCATACACATGTGTAACTCTGTTGTCTTTGGGTCTCAGGTGTGGTCGGTCTCACCTTCATCATTAATAAGTTCCGGATTGTGAAACTGACCAAAAAGGACCAGTTCATCGTGGCCTACGGTGGCCTGAGAGGGGCCATCGCCTTCTCGCTGGGATTCCTGCTTCCTGATGACGAGACGAAGCACATGTTCCTCACCGCCATCATCACAGTCATCTTCTTCACCGTCTTTGTGCAGGTGAGGAGACTTTTTAAGCGATAAGTCAGACAGCAGTTTGTGTTTGTTGTGTTTCTGTGTTCAGGGGATGACCATCAGGCCTCTGGTGGAGCTTCTGGCTGTGAAGAGGAAGAAGGAGAGCAGAAGATCGATTAATGAGGAGATCCACACTCAGGTCAGACTTAGTTGGTAACAAAGGAGAAGGACTCAAACTCCTGCTGTTAATTAAACGATGTGTCAGTAACAGATTTCTTCTAAACCTCTCCATCAGTTCCTGGATCATCTTCTGACGGGGATTGAAGACATCTGTGGTCATTATGGACATCACCACTGGAAGGACAAGTAGGCCTCAGCATTCATTCTTTGGTTCTTTCTCATGAATGAAGATGTCGTTTACCTTCTGGCTGACGGCTGTGGCCTTGTTCAGTCTCAGAATGTCTCCTCCTGTGTGATTTTTGAAAACTAGAAGTTCGAAAGAGAAATAAAAAATCAGCCACTGACTTCCTGTTCAGACAACCAGGAAGTTGTTCTGTCAAAATGAATAGAAACATTTTATTATCACAAGTTTTTGTGTGATAAGAGAAAACGGGAAGGTGAGCTGCAGTGAAGCAGGAAGTTACCAAAATAAAAGCAGGAAGCTGTATTTTGCTCTGACGTTTATGTTGCCTCCAGGCTGACCCGCTTCAATGAGAACTACGTGAAGAAGTGGCTGATCAGCGGCGAGCGCTCTGCCGAGCCGCAGCTCATCTCCTTTTACAACAAGCTGGAGATGAAGCAGGCCATGATGCTGGTGGAGAGCAACAGCTCCGCCCGTCTGCCGACCTTCGCCTCCGCCGCCTCCCTGCAGTGAGTCTCAGTCAGGAACAACAAAGATTTATCTGTTAATAGTCCCGGTTCGTGTGTGCTTACCCCTCAACGGTTTTGTCACAGAAACGTGCAGCCCAAGGAAGCGGCTCCAAGGCGAGCAATCCCGAGCATCTCCAAGACTCGGGAGGAGGAGATCCGAAAGATCTTGCGAGCGAACCTGCAGAAGACCCGACAGAGGGTGAGGAGGAGCTGGAGGACGGTGGTCTCGTGTTCCTGTGGTTTCTGACGCTCCCTCTGTGTGTTTTGGTTTTGCTCAGCTTCGCTCCTACAGCAGACACGACCTGTTCATGGACCCGTTTGAGGACAACATGAGCGAGGTCCGCTTCAGGAAGCAGCAGGTGGACATGGAGAGGAGGGTGAGCTCCACATCTGGATCCCATCTCACATCGTTTATGAAGTCGTTTTACTGGCATGAAAAAAAGATCTGAGGACTTTTACCGATTTTTCTTTCTTGGTGTTTTTCACAGATGAGTCACTACCTGACTGTTCCTGCGAAGCGCCAGGAGACGCCGTCGGTCAGGAAGGTCTGGTTTGAACCAGGTCAGTGATGGAGGAACCATCTGGAAGGTCCTCTGTAGAAATCTGAGCAGATTGTAGAGGGCCGTTGTCCTGCATGTTTTAGATGTTTCTAGACTCGTCTCTTTTAGAGCTCTTCCGTCTTTGTTTTGATTCGGTCTGACCTTCGCTCGGACTTTTCTATGTTTTCCAGACTTTTACTGATTTGGGAATATTTCCTCGCTGGAACCTTGTTGGGACTAAACGCTTTTAAAACAAGAGAATAAAAAACGACAAACGTTGTTTCCTAACAAAAAACAAAGATTTATGACTAAAGCGTGTTGCTGTTGGGGCGTTTGTCCACCAGGGGGCGCTCTGAGCAACACGATTAGTTAAATCTGCTGAAATAACACAGTTTTTATTATTAGTCTGAGCTCAGTGACCTGATCATTAATCATTAAATGATTTATTTTACGGCTCAGCGTTTATCTTGAATAAATAAATATTACAATATAAAAGTTATCAGGACAAGTTGAAGAAATATGGTTATTTTTATTTAGTAAACATCATGAATATTATTAATTGTTGTGAAACTGCAGAACTCAAACTATTTATGAAGCTTATAGTTAATATTTATCATTTATGTTTAATAACAAAGAAAAATAGCTTAAAATCAAACAAACCGCAGATTTACTTTCATTTTCTGCATCTTTTTCTTGTACTTTTTTATTTTAAATTGTTTATTTAAGTTTTTATTTTACAGTAAATTTTGTTGCAGGTTATTTATCCTTTATTTCATTAAGTATAAACTTGTATTTTCCTAGAAGCCCTGTGATTGGCTGACGGTCTTCATCTAATTTCTTTCAGAACACAAAGTTCACACGTATGACCTTGACGACGGCGAGAGCCCGGCGGGTCTGTCCTTTCGGCCGAAGCCCCGCCCCCCTGAGGGTGTTGACCTGGTGGACGAGGACACGCCGCAGAACACCAATCAGGGCACAGCACAGCCAGGTCAGGAGGAGAAGCTGAAGCCGTCTTGCTGCCTCAGCGATCCCGGTCCGAACACGGAGGAGGAGGCGTGACTCCTTCCTGTCGCTGATGTTGTGGCGTGAACGGATGCAGCTTGTTTTCAGCGTGTAAACATGACTGAATGGAGCTCCGAAGGATTAATTTTGCATCCAAAGCTGTGACTGAACTGTCAGGAAGCTTGGAGCACCGGATCGGTGGCGTTGGTCCCGGAAGCACACGGGAAGGATTCACTTCTGCACACATCGTTTAGCCAAAGTCTGTAAAACCTCTGCGTGGTTCATCAGTGTCTCCTCAGGGATTTCATGTCCGCTGCTGAGTGAAAACATGCTTTTCTGTCTCGAGCTTGCTTCAGAGTCGTGTTTCGGTGTGAACAGCAGTCGGAAATCAGCTGATCGCGGCTCCAGATGCTTCCTAACCAGCAGACGTCTTAAAGTTTTATATCTCACTGAAAATACGAGTATTGTGAAGGAGGGTGTTAAATATGAATGAAATAAAGCTTTGTTGTTGTTAAAAGTGATGAAGTCATTAGTATCAAACAATCTCCAGACTTCATGAAGGTCTTTTAGAGGATTTTCCAGCTTTTGGGAGTCGGAAGATTCCTGAAGAGACTTCCAGTTGGTGCAGCTGTGAGAGATCAGTTCTGCTTCTTTGTTTTTGTTTGTTTGTGTGAGATGTTCTGGTGTTTCTCCACCTCGGGGCATTCCCTGACCCAATCACAGAAAGAGACTTACACAGGAATGACGCATGTTGGGAGAGGCTTCACTGCTGGGAGTAAAGATTAATGGAAAGCTTTGGTTCTCCATGGAAAACCCACCATCACACAACAGGGAGCTCATAGTCCCTGGCATGCCAACTGTGTGTGTGTGTGATGCTCTGGGTAGAGAAACAACCAGCAGACATGGACTTTAGCGGCACCTGGAAGGTTTATTCTGAGGAGAACTTGGATGAATTCCTGAAAATAATTGGTAAGGAACTGATCTGAAGATGTCTTCGTCTCTGAGGTTGAAAATGTGACATTTGTGTGTAAATGTCCCTCCAGGGGCTCCTGAGATCGTCGTAAAGATGAGGAAGGATGTGAAACCGGTGATAGTCATTGAGCAGAAGGGAAAAGACTTCACCTACACGATGAAGACTCCGTTCTTCAGCAGGGTTAACTCCTTCACCATTGGGAAAGAATCGGAAATCTCATCGGTGGATGGCAGGAAGTTAAAGGTGATCCAGATTCTTCTCACCAGACAGAGTTTAGACATTTTTGAAGGTCCTGGTTTCAAAGTTGAGGAAAGTAAGGAAAACCAAGTCCAAAGTAGATGGAGGGATGAGGGATTTAGACATGCCGGCTGATCTTTCCATGTTTATTTGCTAAAATGGACTCTGATGATGTTCCATATTTCTGTTTTGGGCCAGTGCACTGTCCGAGAGGAGAACGGGAAGCTGATCTGTGAGACGGACAGATTCACGTGCGTCCGAGAGATCCAAGGAGATGAAATGATAGAAGTGAGAAAGTTCAAACGAGAGCTTCCTGAGATGAGTTTATTATTGTTGTTTTTGTGGAAGTCGGCCATGTTTTCTCTCTTCTACAGACAGCCACAGCTGGTTCTGTAACCTTCATCAGCAGAAGCAAACGGGCCTGAGCAGCACCCAGCCCTCCTGGACGCCCCTGCATCAGAACCAGGAGCCGTGTGGGAACAGCTGATGAACTAATAAACCCAATTTTAGCAAATAAACGCTTGAAAAAATTATATTAAATTATTCATTTGTACATTTGTGATGTTCAAAAAAAACTAAAGTATAATCTAAGTAGGAGATTTTTACTGTTCTGTGGTATAAAATGTTTGGAAATATCTCTAGTTTGTAAAGGTTTCCTGGCAAAAACAAATGCAGACTGTGAAACATGGCTCTGTGAAAGCAAATGTTGGCACAGTACTGTATTTATTTAGTTTAGTTTGGACATGAATATGTAATAAATAAACATTTGGTGTCAAAACGTGTCATTACCATAAACTGTATAAAACAATTAGCTGAATAATTAAAGAGCAAGTCACCCCAAATAACCTTTTTTTTTGCTGATAAACTAAAGAAACGAGTGTCTAATCGTGCTGCAGACACGTGCCGTCAATAATTTGTCACTTCAGTGCATCTTAGTTAAAATTTAAATATTCTGCCTAAAACTGGCAGTGTTGTGCCGTTGTCAGGTAAAAACTCTGCATTGTATTCTAATTTAAATCTTCCACCACTATTGGCTAAGAGGTATGCTATGATGTAAACTGGTAGATTATGATGTCACAATGTCTGTGTGTGTGTATTTGTTAGCAGCTCCGCCCCCTTGGTCTGCCAGGCAACAGCATTTGTTGCATTTTTCAAACATGAAGTGGGAGTGGAGTTAGATTCTGGTAGGGGTTGACTTGCTCTTTAAATAGAAACAAACGAAAAGAATGGGTTTGGTTTCATAATTTATTATAAATAATTCAGTTGTAACCTCTAGGGGGTGCTATGACGCAGCAGTTCCTCCCAAATATCAATGACGAAGATGGAGAAGAACGCGCCTCGCTAATGCGCATGCGCTCTGTATTTTCTCTCGACGTTAGGTTTCGTATCCAAACGATATTTTGATTTTCATTCTGCTGGTTTTTAGAGAGCGTTTGACTGCATACATGAGGCATCAGAACACATCTTTGTTTGTTCGGAACATTTCCGACGAGTCCAGGTGAGCATCGGGAAGCTTGTTCGGTCAACGGGTCATTTGTTAGCGGCAGCTAGCCGCGTTAGCTCTGTGGCTAATGTTAGCTTCCAGTGCGAAGCCGCGTGTCGATCAAACACAAATAAACCGGAACTTTTTTCTCTAGCTTTGTGTAGACTACCAGATGTTAACGTTGTTTTATCGTTTCTGTTGATCTGATTAAACGTTTCTAATTTGAAGCTAACGCAACACGTTCCAACGACCAGAAACAGCGGCTTTGTTCCTGAGGAAACGGCTCTTTTAATCATTTATGGGGTTAAAATAAATGAAACCTGTAATAATGTAGGTTATAACGGCTACTTATCATTGTAGACTGCTACACATCACAGGTCTATTTATAAGTTCGTTTTTTTAAAGTGTTTTTGTTTGCTGTTTTTTTTCCAATGAAATGTTCTTTGTTAAATCTCATTATTTATGTTTGTATAATTATTGCTGCACACTGTTGCCTTTAGTGGTCAAACATGTATTTTGTCTCAAATCTTTGCATCCATTCTGTCTGTGAACTACAATACCCATAATTCTTTGCTTCTAAGACATCTTAAATAGAGCCAGAATAATATTTAAACTGAAGCTGCACAGTATGTGATTTTTAGACTTTGTGAAGGCTTGTTGGTGCCACCGAAGAGAGACTAACGGAGGAGGTGGGGTGGATGTTGAGAGAAAAGTAAAATAACAACAGAAGGAGGAAGTGAACCCCAGTGTTTTGCTTCTGAAGGTTCTGGGTTTGGGTTTACTGAGTAAACCTGAGTGTTTGGATTAAATGTGAGGTCTTTTTGCTACTCCAGCATCCACAGGAGGACAGCCTTGCACATACATATCAACATCAAACAGCTAGTACTGGTATATTTTAAAATGTAGCTGAGTTTTACTAAAGAGAGAAATTCAACAGATTTTGTGTCACTCTTAGAAATAACCATATTTTGACTTTTTTTTTTCATCAACATGTCCTCCTGTACTTTCACTAGTACCTTTTCTCGTGGTGGCACTCATTAATACTCCTTGGTACATTTAGTCTAACGTACCGCTTACACAGATAAAACAGAACCACTAAAGATTCAGCTGTTTGATCTTTTTTATAGAACTTGTTTAGGAAAAACTGAAACGATGCTATAACTTAGTCCCAACAGGTAAGTGTAAGTGTTGAACTGTCCCTGTGTTTTCCTCAGCAGCTGCTCTCCAGCTGTGTAGTAAATGATTTAGGTAAGAGTTTTGCCCTTGATGGTGTGAGTCACACTTGTATTTACGGTGTTCAGGCCTGAGGATTTGCGGCGTGAGTTTGGCCGCTATGGGCCGATAGTAGATGTCTACATCCCACTTGACTTCTATACACGTCAACCAAGAGGATTTGCATACATTCAATATCCTTTCCAACTGTTTAACTGTGTGTTTGCTAACAAGTGTCTGTGGTTTCTTTTCAGCAGAGAAAGGTCTGCTTTTGTGACGTTTTTATTTACTTTTTTAACTCAATTTGACTGAATATCTAACATACATATTTTTCTGTTATTGCTTCAGAAATTGTTAAAGCGTCCAGTTGTGGAAGCGGCCACAAAGAGTTACAAAGACCCGTGTAGAGTAGCTGTAAAGACACACAGACCTGCAGGATCAGAGGGAGGGAAAAGGTTGAAAAGAGAAAGTAAAGCATGAAGAGGAAAAGGGAACCCAGAAAAGCTTGGAAATGGCGGAAAAGAAAAGAGGTTTAAGAGGAAAAAGCAAGCAGGAAATCCAAGTCTCTCTGGGAGTCGGTTAAAGATTAAAGATCAAGATGAAGCTCAAAGTCAAGCACGGGCAAAGGTAACAAGTCTGAATTACGTTGTATCCTCCCAAGACAAATCCACGAATCAGACACCAAAAATCCTCCTCCCTGTGACGTGAATGACATCATTTTGGTCAAAATAATTCGACTGAGTATAATTGTTTGATTTGTTTCTATACTGATTGTCCTGATCCCTCAGATGGTTGGTTAATGTTAGCTTGCTTCGTCTTTTATCTCTCGGAGAATCAGCTGTTTTCCCAGTAAAACTGTCGATGTTTCATCGTAACAAACGGGATGTCCTTCCGACGACCCGAGGTTCCCCACGGAACACGTGGCTACTGTTGTTTTAAACCGTACGAACAAAAACCCTTAACCACTCAGCACATTTGAAGATGTGAGGGACGCAGAAGACGCTCTTCACAGCCTGGACAGGAAGTGGGTGTGTGGCCGACAGATCGAGATCCAGTTCGCTCAGGGCGACCGGAAAAGTAAGAGTCCTGCTTCGGAATCTGTTAACACCTAAAAGTGTGACCTCTAACCCCGAACCTCCTCTCTACCAGCACCCAACCAGATGAAGTCCAAAGAGAGACGGTCTCCAGGCCGATCATCTCGATATGACGACTACGGTGACGGCTGGCGCCGGCGATCTCGCAGCCGCAGCTATGAGCGGTACCGCTCGCGCAGCCCGTCCTACGACCGCCGTCGCCGACGCTCCGAGAGCCCGAGAGAGTGCGTCTTTGTCTCCGTTCATATTTAACAGTTTGGGTTTTTATCTTTTAAAGGGGAAAAGGGAAAACCGAGCTTTGTTTTGTCTCTTCAGACGTGGACCGAGATACGGGCGACCCAGAAGCAGGAGCCGCGAGGACGACAGGTAGGCGTTGGGTACCGACCCAAACCTGTAGAACCGTCTTCAGTCGTTTAGACGACGGGTCCAGATTCACGTCTTGTTGTACACTCAAGGACCTGCAGACCATCCAGATGGAAAATGTCCTCCTGACGTTCTTCCTCGTCTTCTCACTGTTGTCCAGGTACAGGCAGAGGCCCCACAGAGAGTCCAGACGGAGAAGCAGGTCCCGATCCAGGTCCGGATCTCCCCGAGAGCCCATGAACCCGTCAGGATCCCACTACACCGAAGAGGAGCCACCACGGGTCGTAACCCCCTCCCGGTCCAAGTCCCGCTCCATGTCCCGGTCCCGCTCTCGTTCCCGCTCTCGTTCCTGGGCCGGGCGCAAGACCGGAGGGCGCTAAGACCCGTGTCCCTACGACCCCGTTAGATGGACCTGGGCAGCGTTTGGTCTTTTCTTCACGTACCTGGTTCGACATGAATGTGACGCCCCCAGAACCCGAGGCTCCATCACCAGAACATCTCCGCTGCTTCGGCTTCGTTTGGTTTTTCTGTTGGTTCCGTGTCCGCCGTTGCCCCGCCCACGTCGTTAATGTTATGTTTTTTATTTGTACAGTTACTGATCTCTGCTCGGGAAGCCTTCTGCTCTTTTTGATGAACCTGAAGTATTTCAGAAGATGATCTTTGTTTGGCCACACGTCACCGTGAGTTTTATTCCTGTTCATCATCACCGGCCGGTCCAGCCGCCATCAGAAGTCTGATTGAACTGGTTTCAGGTGGAAAATCCCGAGCTGAGCTTCGCTAAAGCAGCAGGCTGGAAAGTGTTAAAGTGTCGGAACTGTTGGGTTTTATTTGTGTTAGCTTTCCTCCACATACCGGTTCAGAGAGAAGGACCGGATTTCCCCGTTAGCCGGAGTGTGGTTCTCTCGGAGCGACTCGTGTCGGTGCATGTTTTATTCTCCTCATCTTTGTCTTTAGCAGGAACAAGCTGTTATTTTCAGTAATAAACTAACATTCAGTATAAAAACTCAGCCTGGCTTCAGTTTGTCATCTGGTCGGGTCAACCAGAACCCTGATGTGAAACGCCGCTCCGGTCCGTTTCAGGCTCATGCATCGATTTCCTGTTGATGGAACAGGAGCCGGGAGGAGAGGCTGAAGCCAGAAGGCGGCCATGTGTGAAATCGGACGCGCCTCATTGATCGCTGCTGACGTCCCGTCGGTCGGACGAGGTCGCTCACACCGACACAAACAACTTCCTCCCTCTGGTAGATCTGAGGCGTGTTTGGTTTAGTCTTCAGCTCTTAAAGCTTCTCTTCTTACGCTGCAGGAATAAAACCTGATTTCTCTGCAGGTTTGTCTCTAATCTGAGATTTTCTGCCAGATTAGACCTGACATAGAACAGTTACGGGAAAAGGTCAAACGTCTGCATCCATTCTGTCATTTTGAGCTAAATCAACTTGGATTCAGTTAAATTTGTCAGAGCCAACTGTTCTCTTCACAGACGTTTAATGAGGGCTTCTGTTTGTTCTGCTTTTAGTCTGGAAACAAGCCCACAGAGCTCCAGCCCTTCAGAATAAAAGCCTAGCCTTAGAAGACTTCCATCATTCTGCTCTCAAAGGAATATTTAGGATTTTTCAGGAATCCACTTTTCCTCTTTAGTTGGATTAAACCTTAAATCAATACATTTCCTAAACCCTGGTGTCCTCTGGGAGGAAATGATGAGTTTCTCCTGTTGTTTGGGGATCTGATGGTGTTAATCCACCTCAGATTGTAGACTATAATCCACATGGGGCTCACCTGAAACCAGTTCAGGGTTTTCTGGGTTCAGCTGCACATTCCACCCCGATGACCAGCAGGATGTGTTCACAGCGCTGCGAGGGAAATGGCCTCAGCATCGATCGTTTTCGTCTCTCGCTGCCTGTGAGCGCTGAGCGAATCGGGACAGCTGGGATCAGTCACTCTGCTCCAGAGTCTGAACCTCTCAGGATGTTGGAGAGCAGCCGGTAGGACCCGAGTCCGCAGCAACGAGGTTTCATTTCCAAGTGGAGGATGAAAGGTGAGTTGGATATGCTTCACTTATATTCATCTAAGGAGAGAGTCAAAGGTTGTGTTAGGACAGCGGTCCACCTGCCTGCAGGGATGAACGCTGCTTTTGGATGTTTTACATGAATGAGGTTTTAACCAGCAGCTCAAACACATTTATGAACTCGACTGGGAATAAAATATGAAAATAAAACTATTTAACCTCATATGTTAATAATAGAATGACTTAAGTTTCATCATTATTGTGGTTTGGCCCCATCAGAATAAAATCAATCCTTTTTGTTTGAAAACTAAAGAGTTGAAGAAATAAAATTTTTGCTTCAATCGTGCTATGAAGTGAGCATTAACCCTTTACACTGAAATATTAGAAAAACTTACATCAACCCTTTTAACCATATAAGGAGCTTAAACCACGCCCACCTCCTTCCGGACCACGGGTCCCTAACTGCCCAAAAAATGATTAGGAATCTGAGTTTTAACTGTCAAAGCGGATTAGACAATAATAAAAATTATTTATAGCCTCGTTCTGGGACCCATGACCCGACTGGAAAGGGGAGGAGCTTGGGCTCCTGGAACCAAAGTTTAGCCAAAAAGAGAGTTAATAGGAAAACGCAACAAATTTTTATGAATATTTTAGAATAAAAACTGCAGTTTTAATGTGAATAAAATTTTAATCTGGTTTTATTTATAATCTCACCCAATAAAGGTTTCATCTCAGTTAGATGCGACTTGATTCATGTACTTTTTCTGAGTTTGATCTTGTTCAGAGGATTTTAGCGGCTTCTTCATCTTTAATTCTGCTCTGATTTTATATGAAATAAAATCGACACAAACTGTATTGAGTTTGTGCTCCATGTTGTATTATCGAACCAGCGTCTGAACAAACGGGCCTAAAAGTCCCGCTGACTCGCATCAGCATTTGAACAGCAAGGTACATCTAAGGGGCGGGACTTAAAGGTGTGGTTGACTGAAAAAACATTTTCTAATTATGAATGTAGTTGGTCACTGTGAGGTTTTCATGCAGGCTGAACATGACAACAGTCATGCCGTTTCCTACGTTAGATTATGATAGAAAAAAGATAGTGGAATGCTAGGATTTGAAAATAGTCACACTGTGATGTCACACTGATGAATTAGCATTCATAGCCTCGCCCATCTTGGCTCATGCCTGCCCACAGGAAGGCTTTTCTAATTGTTTTTGCAGCGAGGAGAGAGAGCGGAGAATTTCTTGGTGGTAGCGACTTTGCAACATGGCTGAATGCGTTCTGTTAGCCAATCAGAAGTGTGGTGTGTGCATATCATTAATAGTAATGAGCAATCCTGCTGTTTTCAGCCCACCTCTACACCAGCAAACTTCTGCATCTCCAAACAGGAGCATCGTGGCCTTTTTTTATGACTCCCACGGCATTGATTTACAGTAGAATGAGTAAACCACACCTTTAAATATCATGGAGCCGCCGTTAGGAGGACAGTAGAAGGCCCATGGCCTCTCTGACCTCGCACATATCTGTTTTCAGGAGCAGACGGTGATTTGAACTGAACCACATGACTCACCAACAGTAACTGTGCTGATTTATTGGTGTTAACTTTGGGACTTTGTTTCTGATTCTTCGGACTTCAGCACCTTCACAGTGAAAAATGGGAGACTGGAATTTCCTCGGAGGGATCTTGGAGGAGGTGCACATCCACTCCACCATGGTCGGCAAGATCTGGCTGACCATACTGTTCATATTCCGGATGTTGGTGCTGGGCGTCGCTGCGGAGGACGTCTGGAACGATGAGCAGTCCGACTTTGTCTGCAACACCGAGCAACCTGGCTGCCGCAATGTTTGCTACGACCAGGCCTTCCCCATCTCCCTGATCCGCTACTGGGTGCTTCAGGTGATTTTTGTGTCCTCGCCCTCCTTAGTGTACATGGGTCATGCCATCTACCAGCTGCGTGCTTTGGAGAAGGAGCGCCACTGCAAGAAGGTGGCTCTCCGACGGGAGCTGGAGGCAGTGGATGCAGAGATGGTGGAGGTGAAGAGAAGGATCGAGAAGGAGATGAGGCAGCTGGAGCAGGGGAAGCTCAACAAAGCACCGCTTAGGGGCTCGCTGCTGTGCACCTACATGGCTCACATCGTCACTCGCTCCGTGGTGGAGGTTAGCTTCATGATGGGTCAGTACATCCTCTACGGACACCGTCTAAACACTCTGTACAAGTGCGAACGGGAGCCGTGTCCCAATATGGTGGACTGCTTTGTCTCCAGGCCAACAGAGAAAACTGTCTTCATGATGTTCATGCAAGTCATCGCCTGCATCTCCCTGTTCCTCAGCCTGCTGGAGATCATGCACCTGGGCTTCAAGAAGATAAAGAGGGCCATACTGAACTTCTACCCCCACCTCAAGGACGACCTTGATGATTATTACGTCAACAAGTCTAAAAAGAACTCGGTTGTCCATCAGGTGTGTGTGGGGACGTCAGTGGGACGTAAGACCACCATTCCCACAGCTCCCAGTGGATACACACTGCTGCTGGAGAAGCAGGGCAACGGACCAAACTACCCCCTCCTCAGTGCCTCCTCCGCCTTTGTCCCAATACAGGGAGACCCCGGGGCCGTCCCAGACAGCCGCAAAGACGTCAAAGAGGGGGTTCCGAGCCCGACGGAGCAGAACAGCAACTCCAACAACACCAGCAGTGAGACACGTTCACCTCCTGTGGACAAGCAGGACGAGCCTGAGGAGCACTCTTCCTCCCACCACGAAGATCTGGAGTGTGGGAGCTCGGAGTACCCCACCCTCTCTGTGGCAGACACCTCCACCTGCACCACGCTGTCAGCCGTCGCCAGGAAGTCCCGGAAGCCCAGCCCGTCGTGGAACTGCTCCACGGTGATGGAGGGGAACTGCTCAGACAGCGGAGACTCCTACCACGGAAACAGCAGCATGAAGCTCCGCAGCGGCTGCGCCGGGCCAAGAGCCAGGGTGCTCTCCAAGTCGGACTCAAAGAGGCCGAGTGGATCCCAGAGCCCGGACTCCGTGGGGGAGCTGAGCTCCATGTCTCGACACAGCCGGGAGAGCAACAGCCCCACCACCTCCTCCCCAAACCGAAGAGCGTCGGCGGCGAGCAGCGGCAGCAGCAGACGAGCCCCGACGGACTTACAGATCTGAACCCGTTAAGTCCTGATCCGGTTCTGGTGTCGTGTTTCCAAACGCAGCCAGACTTGGATCAGTGGCTCTCCAGACTTCCTGAGGAGTCTCTCTTTGAACTCTGGCTGATTTTTCTCTTAGTGTCAGTTTTTATCGGAGAATCTTTTTAACCTCTGATGAAAAGTGTTCCTGATGAGGTCTGGATCAAGACTTTTGCACAGCTCTGTACATGTAAACACAAAAACCACAGGCTGCAGTAGAAAAGATGCTTTATGTAGTTTTCTGTCATGTTTCAAAAGCTTTGAGAGAAACTGGTCTCTGCGTTTCCAGGTCAGCCTCAGACATCCAGATCGACATTTAACGATTCAGCAGGATGGAGACGCGGAGGGATGGAAAAGCGAATCATCGATCGCTCGTGTTCCAGTCAGCTGTTGTTATGTAAACACTTTTAGTTCAGCAGTGAGTTAATCCACCTAAACAGTTTTAGAGGCTGATGGCCTTTTGTGTTTTGGTGTTTTTATATGGAAACTATTTTTCTACTTGATGCAGAAGATTTCAGTTTGAAAGACTGAAAAATTTAAATGGAATTTTTAAAAAAAGTGAAAAAATATGAATTTCTGATCAAATGTTTTGTTATTTAAAAAACGAACAGTGATTTTGTCTTCGTTGATTATGTGATGATAAAACATTTACATTCTGCACAAAACAAAAGCCAGTGATGAATGATTTTATTTCCCGGGACCCCCAAAAGCAGCACCGCAGCCGTCCTACACTCCAGCTCTCTCCTCAGGCGACGTCTCGTACTGCATCAGCTGTGAGACAAACAAACCGTCAGACGTTCCCGACGGAGAATCCGGGGTGAACTCTGACCTGTGGATGCTTACTCTGTTCTTCAGCTCCTTGTTCTCCTCCATGAGCAGGCTGCACTTCTGCTGCAGATCAGCCAGCTCCATTCGAAGCGCCTCTGAGTCTCTGGGTTCTGGACCCGATGTCCCGAGGTGGAGTTTTATAAAGCTGAGTCTCTGGTTAAGGTCCAGATCCTCGTCAGTCAGAGCTATAAGATGCAGTTTAGTCAGTCTGCTGCTCCGGAGCATACAGGTGTGTGTAAGGAGAAAGAGGAAAACCCTCAGCAGCAACTTTAGAGAAGCAACTGTTGCTGCCAATCAATCTGGGAAGGGTCAAATGTCATTTTAGCTATTTAGAGACAAAAATGGAGAACATACAAGATTTTGTTTAAAATAATTATTTTAGGACAACAACTGAATCAGTTTCAGCTGAAAATGATAACTGGCAATAGCGAGTTAACATGATTAATCTGGAATGTTCAAATCTTCTGAAGTCTGGAATAAAAAGTGCTTCAGATCTTCTATAATTAGAACGAAGGATACTCGAGGGCGTTGTTGGGTTTATCTGGTTCTTCATAAAGAGCCACCAAGACTACAAAACAGAAACACACATGAATCCCCGCCACCTGAACAAATGAGCGCGTGTGTGTGACGGTAACAGGAAGAAGGGGGCGTTAGGATGTCCCACCGCTCGTTAAAGTGTCCAGAACTCCAGATCGTTCGAGGTATCTCCTGAACTGTTCTCGCTTTGACTCGGACGCCTGTAACCCAACAAATAGTCACATTAACAATTTTTAACTAAAATATGAACGTTTATTGTTTGAAAAATCACCATTAAACAGAACACGAGAAGCATCTGAGCCTATGGTGCGTTCACTGTCCGGATGCTAACTAGTTAGCACACGCTACGTGAGTTTAACCTCAAATACGAACAAAATGTAAAACATTTCTGATAAACACGATATTTATCTCTTTATTACTCACTCTATAGTTGGCCATGGAGACGGTTAAAACCTATAATTTGGTGATAGATGAATAGATAGGTTCCAGACCCAAACACACAGCAGCTTGTTTTGTACGCACTTCCGTCCACAAACAGGTGGTCTGTTGCCATGACAGCACGTAAAGCGGAAATGATGCCGCTGGTAGTTCTCTAAACAAATGTTTCTAACTCTTTAAAAAAATAAATGTTTCCTGGTTACGTCATGTGACACAAGGGGAAAAAACAGATTGGCCGAATTTTTATTTCTACATCCAGGTAACAAAAAACTGATATATCGGTAACATTTAAAATAAATTGTTTAAATGGAAGAAATCCAAAAGCGCGATAGTTTGCTAGCGTAGTCCGGACGTGTTTTTTTTTACTTTACAGTAGATTTATCGTACATTTGATTAACGTACAGCCATGAATAACGCGAATTGCACTAAATTAAAAAAATGTTCCTTCAGTCTTCGTGGGTTCAGAGTTCAGGAATGTCCGGCGCTTTAACCCATAGATATCATATATATTAGCTAGATCCCTCACCCGCGCTGTTCGTCAATGGACCCTGACGTCCGTTCGCGGCGGCCATCTTACTTCGGACAGCGGCCCTCCTCTAACAGTGGTGTTTAGTGGTGCGTGCACTATTTAAACAACTCTTAACTTTCTCAGTTTTCAACCGATTTTCATACGGTTTGATTTTTTAGAAACATTAGAGACGTGGCTATGAAATATGTCAGTATTGGCAGGAAACTCCCCTTATTTCACTCCACTTTCCAGCCGTTTTCCCCTATCCTGTAAATTTCCCATACTTACCATTTTATTGTCAACAAGATCTGCTTCTGATGAACTAGCTGTAGTTTGTAAACTCTGCCTGCCACCACTCACATTAAAGGTCACACCCTGGATTTAATCTGCTGCTCCGGCCTGACCCCCTCCAACTGTACAGCTGACCCGCTCCCTTTCACGGACCACTTCCTCATCTCCTTTTCTGTTCCCCTCCGTCTCTCCGTCATCAAGTCACCCCGTATCATTTCATTTCGTAATATTAAGGACATTGATCTAGCCTCCCATTCCTCCAGCTTTGCCACCCTGACCCCAGATTTATCCTCTACTCCCGATGATCTTGTCATTCAGTACAATAACGGTCTGGTTTCAACCCTTAATCCATTTGCTATCATCAAATCCCGCTCTGTATATTTCACTCGGTCTGCTCCATGGTTCACCCCTGCCCCACGCTCATTGAAAGCCAACCGGAGGCTTGAAAGACTCTACAGGAAAACCGGTCTCACCATCCATAAAGACTTATATTCTGCTCAGATTTCTCTCTACAAGGACTCCATCTCCTACGCCAAATCACAGTATTACTCCGGTCTCATCTCGTCCAACTCCAGCAACACTAAGACATTATTTTCCATCATGAACAGCATTTTTCAGCCTCCCGACTCCTTACCCATCCATCTTTACTCTTCAGAAACCTGTAACTCTCTCCTTCAGTTTTTAATGAGAAGGTCAATAGAATCCATCTCTCTTTACCTCATTCCTCCCCTCCCTCTCCTGATTTATTTGAACCCTCCATTCAGTTCTCCTCCTTTGAACTTCCCCATCCCTCAGAACTATTAGATTACACCACCAAGTCCAAACCTTCCACCCGTCAGCTAGACCCTATTCCAACAGAGTTAAATCCTGCCTTTCCTCCCTGCTCCCCTTTATAACAGCTGTTATTCATTCCTCACTATCCTCTGGTATGGTCCCCTCCCTATTCAAATCCGCTTCAGTCAGCCCTATTCTAAAAAAACCTGGTTCAGATCCCAATGATTTCAATAATCTCCGTCCCATTTCCCACCTTCCCTTCATTTCCAAAGTTCTAGAGAAAACCGTTGCATCTCAGTATTTTTCTTTGAGCCGTGCACTCAGCCTCAGCTAGAGAACTGTACGAAGTAAGATGGCCGCCGTGTAAGGACGCTGTCGACTCCCGGTTAGGGGATCTAGTTAGTATGATATCTATGCTTTAGCTCAGCGCCGTCCAGGAGTAGAGGAGGAAGAACCAATCACGTGCCTCGACGTCACAATGTGACCACTGACTTATAAACCATATGCGCTGCATTAACTGGTAGGCGAAGACAGTGGAGTCTTTAGTAGATCTGTTCTTTAGTACTTGCCGCTGCTCATGTGACTTTTCTTTCTCTTGAATTTCGGATCAACAGCAGCAGCCTCGGTGTTCCACCGGTTTCAGGTTCACGTATCCACACAACCGGAGGACGGTTTCAGGTACTTTAATCGTTAAACAGGTGGGTTTTGTTAAACCGGGAAGTGACATGTTGCCTACAATGCAGCTTTTAGGGGTGACAGACTCATTTCTGCCTCAAAAGCGAACATTTTGTTGTTTTTGTCACATGGCAGCCATGCTTTGTGATTTAAGTTTCAATAATCAAAATAATGATTATTTTTCAAATTAAACAAGCTGATAGTTAATTATTTAACGCATAAGCTTGATTACCAAGAAGCTACAGACATCATCATTATTATTATTACGTAATGATATGACAGTGTATTAAATCTGTTTTCTGTCACTAACAAAGAAACGTTGCGTTCTTAATAACTGTATTAACATCTGGCTGTAGGGAGCACTGACAGGACCCTGTTGGACCTTTAAACACTAATCACGTGATCATATTCAGTTCCTCTTACTAAATGTCATTGCAGAAAAAATATTCTTTTATAATCAGCATGTTGAAGACATGGGAACGTTCTTCCTCTTTGTAAGTTTTGTGTTCTCAGGAACAGAAACAAGCAGTTCGATGATCAGTGATTGTCTTCAGATGGTTTCTGGAAATCTCATGAGGCATCGCTCTCATGCTCGCAGAGTGTTGCTTGTGTCACGTGGAGAAGATACGTTAAATATGGTCAACCTTCTCAGATGTACTGTGTGATGTTTATGATGATTTTGGCTGAAATCAGAAGCATCCAGAAGCTCGCGAGGAGTTCAAACATCTGTTTTCTCCTAAATCAGAAAAGCAGCTGTTTGTCAGACAGAAGCCGAGTGACAGGAAGAGTGTGACTGACATGGAAAACCTCATGATCAGGAATCGGAACACGGGCTTTCCCACTGAACCGGTTTAACTCCCTCTAACTGAACACAGGTTTTACTTCTCATCAGTCTGAAAGCTGATGAAGTGGGAATATAAACCTTCACGCTGGTTTGTTTCTGCCTCTGAGCTTCTGTAAACTCGGGTTAGTGAAACAGGAAGTGTCGTCTGACTCGAACGTTTCGGACGAAGCTGCAGGTCGTGTTGATCTCACGCCTTGTTGTGTTATTGTTTTGATGACTCATCAGATTTGCTGAACATCATGACTCGCTGACGCCTGAAGCCGCCTCGGACGACCGTCATGCCGCCGCCCGGTGGCTGCTCCATCAACGCGGACTCGTCAGACGAGAGCGAGGACACCAAGTCGCTCATCCAGAATGACCCGGGTGGGTTCGAGCAGACCAAAGGAACCCATTCAACCCTGATATGACAGGAAATGAGGGTTTATCAGCAATAACCATGTAATAAGTCATGTAATAACAACATCATCGTCTTGTCTCGGAGCAGCTCCTCCTCAGTGCTGCTCGGCGCGGCTCAACCTCGCTGTCCTCATGTTCCTCGGCTTCTCCGTGGTCTACGGTCTGCGTGTCAACCTCAGCGTTGCCATGGTAGCCATGGTGAACGCCACCAACCCGTCTGTAGACAGGAACACGTCGGTGGCCCCCGCCTGCCCGCTGCCACCCGGGACGGAGAACACCAGTGACACCCTGCAGCAGCCAGACGGGGTAAAGGCGTCCCCACTGATGTGAGACGTGGTTTGATGGCGTCAGCATCTTGTTTACGCCTCCTCCTCCCTCTCTCCCTCCCCCTCAGACTCCCGAGTACACCTGGAACCCGGAGACCCAGGGCTGGCTCCTGGGAGCTTTCTTCTTTGGGTACCTGTGCACCCAGATCCCAGGGGGGTACCTGGCCGGTCACTACGGCGGCAGCAAGTTCCTGGGCCTGGGGGTGCTGGGCACGGCTCTCCTCACCCTCCTCACCCCTGTGGCAGCGTCATGGGGGGTGCACTGGCTGTTCGCCCTGCGAGCGCTGGAGGGCTTCGGAGAGGCAGGTTATTCAACAGATTCTGAACTGTGCACCTGTGGATCCAGAACCGTCTGTGTGTTTCCTCTCAGGGCGTGACGTTCCCGGCCATGATGGCGATGTGGGCCCGCTGGGCCCCTCCTCTGGAGCGCTCCCGCCTGATGACCCTGTCGGGCTCCGGCGGTGCCTTCGGGGCCTTCGTGGCCCTCTCGATCACCGGTTTCATCTGTGAAAAGCTGGGCTGGCCCGCTGTTTTCTACCTCTGCGGTGAGGGACAGAAACTCCGGACGAGTCGCTCTGGCACGAGGGAGGTCTAAATGTTGTGTTCGCGATCCTCCTGCAGGGGGCGCCGGCTGCTTCTGGGCTCTCTTCTGGTTTTTCCTCGTGGCTGATGACCCTCGAACTCACCCTCGGATCAGCGAAGAGGAGAGAGAGTACATCGTCAGCTCCGTCGGGGCTCAGGTGACTCGAGTGTCTCAGATCCTCGTGTTTGACCGTTTAAAAACGACTCGTTTTATTACGACCTCTGAAGTCTTTCTGTTATTTAGTCATCAGGTGTTTTTACACCCAAACACAGAAACGTTTGTCTTTATTTACAGTGAAAGCTCCACTTTGTTTCCTTTAACCCTTTTTTTGTAGGAATTGATTAGTTTGACGTTTTTAATGCAGGGGACGGGTCACGGCTGGTCGGTGCCGCTCCTCTCCATGGTTCTGTCCGTCCCGCTGTGGGCCGTCATCATCACACAGATGTGCTTCAACTGGACCTTCTACACGCTGCTCACCTCCCTCCCCACCTACATGAACAGCATCCTGCACTTCGACCTCCAGTCGGTGAGACTTCAGGGTCGCGTCTCTTTAAACTCATTTAGTTGTTTTTTACCTTCTCGGCAACTAAAATGTGTGAATATGACTCGTTCAGACTCGTGTTTATTCAGCGGGATTCAAATCCAGCTGAAGCTAAAAACATGGATTTATAAAACTAAAGCAGGTGCGGCCCACCAGCAGGCTGCTGGAGGGCCCGAAAGGGCCCACGGGCCGCGCTTTGGACAGCCCGAGTGTTTGTTTCCACTGGAGAACCCGCAGCGTTTACCAGCAGTAAGGAAGGTGTCTGTGTGCATCAGAACGGCTTCCTGTCGGCTCTGCCGTACCTCGGGAACCTGCTGGTCTCGCTCCTGTCGGGCGTCGCCGCGGACGCGCTCATCGAGAGGAAAGTCTTCAGCATCACCGTCGTACGGAAAATCTTCACCTTCTTCGGTAAGAGCTTCTCTCGTGGTTTCTGGGTTTTAGAATAAAAACTAGCTCAGATGAGTGTTTGGATGGATTCTGGTGTCGGGAGAGTTCAGGAAAACCGGGAAGAACCTTGAAATCTCCCTGAAGCATCGGGATGAAAGAGCATCAGAGGTAGCAGGAAAAGGAAGAGCTAGCAGCAGGTGAAGCAGAACGGATGAGGAAGTCTTCAGGTCAGATTATTGACAGGACTGGGTTTGTGCTGCACTCTCTCAGGCTTGCTGCTGCCGGCGGTTTTCCTTGTTCCCGTCGGTTACGTCGGATGCAGCCACATCCTCACTGTCACCTTCCTCACGCTCTCCACGAGTTTAGGAGGCACCAGCTCCCCCGGAGTCTTCATCAACCAGATCGACATCGCTCCTCGGTGAGTCTGCGGAGACGCGGTGGATCATCTTGTTTGTTTTTCACATCGTGGCTGATGCACGAGGAGGAGACCCGTTGCCTAGGTTACATCGTTTTCTGTTCAGCCATCCAGCTGAAGTCCCACCCTCTGGGTTTCTGCCCCGGAAACAGAAACTACATCTTATTCTGGCTTTGTTTGGACACTCGGGCTTCCGTAGAGCAGGGGTAACCAATCCTGGTCCTGGAAGGCCGGTATTCACTTCAATTCAGTTCAAAGATACGTTATTAATCCCAGAGGGAAATTAGAGTTTCAGTACACACAATTCTGAGATCAGACATACTTACATAGACACATGACAAGAATTGGTGACTGTGGTCATTCGCAACCCGAGTCGCGCTACCTTAATAGAGATCAGAGGGTTTATATGAGGATTGGTTCAGGTGGAGGGAAAAAGGCACTTTAGAGTTACCCTCCACAGGGAGGGCAGCTTTGCTCTGCAAACAAACACCTCAGACAGAAATGCAACAGACTTCAGACATCACACAACATAAGTGTCCACTAGGTGGGGAGGTAGGTTGGGACTCCACACATCAGTGCATGCAGCCATGATAAGCAGCGCTCGTCACCTCTGTTTGGACAGGGGAAGGAGATAATGGGTTAGAGAGCACAGTGACTCCTGGAAACGATTCAACGGCCTTCACGGGTCACAGTCCCACCCAGGCTGGGATAGGGAGACAGAGTTGTCATGGCGACGGCAGCATTCCACATTTCTTCTGAGGGAAGATTTCACTTCAGCCTCACAGGCTCAAGGGCACCAGATTCAGATAAGAACCTGTTTTGGGGCCAGACAGAGATAATTTCCTCTGTCTTAGTGTTCTGTTGGTCTCCAACCCCTCCAGGTCCAATAATGGCGTAAATTAATCTATCCCAACCGTGCTGTCCCGTCAACTCGCTCCTTGATGGAATCCACCTTCTGTGCCAGAGTCTGAATCTCAGCCAAAGTTACAAGCTTACGACTCATCTCGACAATTATGAGTTTGTGCGTTCACAGCGCGGTATAATCCATCCCTGAGCTCCGGGATTGGGCCAATATTCCTCGACAGCTCATTAATTTTCTGGTAAGCCAGGTAACCGCTCAGGCCAAACAGCAGGAATCCCGACCCCAACACCACGAATATCCAGACGTCTTCAGAATCCTCTACAGACAGTTGAGAGAGGCAGATCAGGTTCCGCTGTTTCCAGGAGTCCATGACATACCCAGCTGGCTCTGTCCCAGAGGGGCATCCGGGAGCCCCTTCTCCCATTCTCATCGTTGAAAAAATTTTGTCAGTCGCGTTGAGAGACCAACTGACCAGATCCATTTTTAATAATTTCCAGTTTCCAGAAAAAATGCTGAAGCGCCGCCCACACAAGGACAGACAAAGAGCCTTGGGATAAGATAGGAAGGAGAGGTGGAAAAAAGCATCTGTACTCTCCAAGAGCCGGAAGAAGAAGAAGAAAAATAAATGCATGTTTTAGTTTTAACTCTGCTTCAACACACCTGATTTCAATCAGCAGGGGATTAGCTGGCTTCTGCAGTGCCTGATGAGCTGCTGAACAGGTGATTCAACTACTGAATCAAGTGTGTTGGAAGAGGAACAACCACAAAACCTGCTGCATACCGGCCCTCCAGGACCAGGATTGGGCACCCCTGTCGTGGAGGCTTTTTTCTTTATTTACATCAGAACAAAAATATTCCACGTTTTGTTTATTTGTGTCTTTTTATTTCTGCTCCAAAGGACCATTTTAAACAATAAGTTGCCTGAAACTAAAAGTATTCATAAATATGAATAATACAAACAAATGGCTAGAGATTTAACTGCTGAGAACAAGAGGTCTAAATAAAAATTTGAACATGAAATTCGTCACAGGGGGTTTTATTTTACGAACTATTTCTATAATAAACTTAAAGGTACAGTGTGTATTTTTCCTGGCGATAGGGGGCAGTAGATACCTAAATCGTTGCAAGCAAGCAGTGTTTTTGTGTTGGAGTAAGACTTTACCAACGGATGCCCATTAGGGTCAAAAAGCCCTGAGGAGTGCAAACTTTAGCAAAATAACGAGCACGTCAGACTCGCTTTCATCACTGGTGACAAGTAAAGAGGTGAATATGTAAAAAAACAACATTTAAGAAAAACGAAAGGTTTTTAACCATTTGGTACAGATCAGTAAATACATTTTGTCCTCATGGGCTCCCGTAGAAGGAAACATGGCATCTAATATGGCGTCGCCCAGAGACTTAGACCCGCTCCCATGTATTTTAGACCTTATTTATATGGTTATATGTTACAAAGCCACCAATATTTTTCAACAGCTGGAAATCATTTCATTCATTTTCAACAACACTTTGATGGATATTTCCATAAGTTAATGGTCAAAAATACACACTATCTCTTTAAACTAAGTGCCGAAACTCTGCCCCCTGCTGGTGCACGACGGTCTAGCGACGATCGGGGTTTTTGTGGTGCTAAACATCTTTATTTATTAATATTCCACTTTGTTAGGTAGCTCCATGTGAAGACCAACTTGGAAAATCATGTGTGTGTTTTCCTGTTTTGACAAATTCCCAAACTAATGAGAAAAATTAAAACATTAAAACCAGAATGAAAGAAATTAAATTCATTTTAGGGGTCTGGTTTAGGTTTTCTTCTTCCTGAACTTCTCCGCTCCTCCATGCAGGTATGCAGGATTCCTGCTGGGAATCACCAACACGTGCGGGACGATCCCGGGAGTCATGGCTCCGATTGTAACCGGATACTTTACCGAAGACGTGAGTCTTCAGTTAAATTCTGTTTTCAGTTAAAAGTGTTGTTTGTGTTTTAGAATCAAACTCGGATTAGAGATTATCAGAAATAAATGTTTAAAATTTAACGTTTTTGAGTTTATTTCTTAAAGCTAGAATCTTATTTTGAAAATCTAAAATGTAAACATAAAAATAGTCTCTTAAACTTTGTTTTCCAGGGTCACACACCACTTACACACCTCACAGATTAATTAAAATCTTGGGTTTTAATCCCGGGAAGCTCTGAGACCAGCTGGTAATCCTCGTTTATGATGTCTGCTTGGTAGCACTCGATGGACGGATGGAGGAAGGTGTTCTGGGTCGCCGCTGGGATCAATGTAGGCGGCGCCATCTTCTTCACAATCTTCGGCAGTGGCAAGATCCAGAAGTGGGCCGAGACGGAGGAGGAGAGGGCAGAACCGGAGAGGACCAGGAACGGGTCCGCCGGACAGTAGAGGGTCAGCCCAGTGACGCTTTAACAGCTCTTCCTCTGATGGGGTTTCTGTTGGTAATCTCACACAGATTATATCGTTAATCCCTCAGGTTTCCTCCTGGTTAGAAGATTCCTTCCATGTTTTACCTCCAGGATCTGAGATGAGAACTCCGACGCCTCATTCACACGATCCGGAAAACGCACGACCTCCGCAAAGCCCAAAAAATCATTGAGTCTGATCAGAGCATTCACACCAGCTGGATCCGGAAGGAGCTCCGTAACGTTTCCGTAACGAGTCTGCTTTTACCGGACGCTGCGCGCGGAAGTGAAAGAAACTACATGAGCCTGACAGGAAGTGAGCTGTAAATTTCCAGAGACGTTCTGCACACAATCCGCACTTGTTAAGTCATTTGCTGCCAGCGTTTCTCACCGTTTTTACTGGTTTTTTAAGTCACAGAACGTTGCGCGCTAGCATGATGTCGACGCCAAAACAACCAAAACAAAGCGGAGACTCACCTCTTACATCAGGAAGAGTCCGCGTGTTTCGAGCGTTATCCGTTCTTTCATAATCCGTTGTTGAATTGTGATCGGCAGAAGCTTTTCCGGTTCGCGTCTCACTTTTTTTTTTACAGCAGCGGCCCAAAACGATCTCCTAACACATGGATGTTCTGCTTCCTGATCACGTGACGTGTGACGTACGCGGATGAAGATCTGAGATGTTTGTTCTCACGGAGCGGGGGCTCGTCCGACGCCCACACAGTAAAAACATGCATTGGCAGTGAACGAGTTAATGGAAGTCCGTCTGGAAGCCGTAGAGAAACCAGACCTTCAGAAGGTCTGATCCAGATTAGGTCCACTTTCACAGATTATAGGAAAGTTCTGGAAGGACTGGGTCGGCAGTTTTAACATTTAAATATATAAATCATTTTACAGGTGAATCCTAGATTCTCCTGCCGCTGTATTTATTCTTACCTCCGAAACATCTGTTGCATCCATTTACTGGGATTCTGTCCCAGATTCCCGTCACCGTTGGAGGTTTATTTGTTTCCTGTTTTCTGCAGCGCCCAACTCCTCCCAGGTCGGGAGTCTTTGCTCTAAAGCACTTAAAACCAAAGATAACAAATACATCACCAGATGTCATTTCTGCTGACTCATCCCTCGCACCAACACACACCGCTCCTTTAAAGTTGTAAAGGTGTTTCTGACTAAGAGAAGAAGGTTTGGATTAGGCAAAAGGCCCACTTTCTCAGTACAGGTCAGGGCCGCGTTCCACTCCTGTGGCTAGCAAGCACAACTTCTTCTAAATGGAAAGGAATGCAGCCCTGACTCGACTGATTCAGACTCATAATAACATGAAAATTATGAATCAGATTTTATATGTTAGTTATTAAAAGTGTTTCCTGTTTAGTTTTGGTTCAAACTTCAGCCTGAGTGCGTTAGAATAACGTCAGGAATACATAATCTTATTTTTATTAGTAATTTAATCCAAATTTCTTCTGACTGCTTGGTGTAACACTTCACAGGTTCGGAGCTTTACATTCGACCTAAACTTCCTGTTTTATTGTTTTTTATACAGAAGAGGTACAAGCGGATCCGTAGCTCCGCCTCCAAACACCAAGAGCCTTAAACTTAACGTGTGCCACTTTAGCTTTTTGTACGGTGATCGTTTTAGGAGATCAGGGCACGTCGGATGGTTTTTGTTGTTTCAGGGGTACGTTTAGTGTCTAAGTCTGATCCTTCCTACAAACTATGCAGTCTATTAAATTGCACTTTGATTGTATAAATATGCCGATGTACAGAACTGAAACATTTGTTTAGAACATTTATAAAATAAAAATTTGTAATTAAAAGATCTGGGAACAAAAAATAAATCAGCCCACTTTTCCTAAACTGTGTTTGTATTTATTATAAAAATGTATCTCCTTATTAGCCTGGCAAGCTGTCCTATAAATGTTGTTTTTGTTTTTTATTGATGAAAGAAGCATTTACAAAACATCAGGAACTTTACCATTTTTTGATAGTTTCAGATGCAAATAGATGTTATATAATTTTGTAAAGAAGGGAAAATTAAAAGAAAGAACAAAAAGAAACAGAAAAAAGGATGATGTGGCGTATAACAGATACATTTAAAACAACAAGGATTTTGTCATTTTTTCGTCCTCTAAATGTGAATAAATAACTTCTGGTCTGGTTCCTAAACCATCAGACTGAAGGTCTTCTCTTCAGCCACTAGATGGCAGAAGAAACTAAATTTAGCATCCAGAAGTTCCTGAAGAGGGAACCAGGACCCGCAGAGCTGAAGCTTTTGCAATGGTTGCTCTAGATTTATAGCCTAGAAATGTCCTACTAATGGGGAAAATGTGTCGTGTCTTTGATTCTGGGTCTGAAACTATATACGATACATATAAAACATTCTTCATTTCAGAAATAAAAACTGTTTATTTCTTGGCTTTTGTGGACTTATTTGTCTAATAATAACAGAAAAGAACTTTTTTTCTCAACTTATCTTTATTGATAAAATTGTAACATCAAAAAAATTGTATAAAACAGTGAGTGATATTTAAGCACAATGCAAAATAAAATGGTCATTGAAACACATCAAGTGAAAAATAAGTGAACAAAAATAAAAGAGAACAGAAGAATAACATGAACATCACACACCAGGGGGAAAGTTAACAGACCAAATAGCTCAAACAGAAAACCCATACCACTGCTTTAGGTAACATTTTACCATGAATGACTCATAAATTAAATGTAGAGCACTCAGCCAACGGTTTTAAGGCTTTTTTATTAGAAGAATCTCTGATGGAGGAAACATTGTCTGAGCTCCTCTTGAAAGTCAATAAAAATGGGCTTTCTACTTGTAACCTTACACTTGTGAATATGGAATTTAGCTAGCAATATTATAAGATTAATAATGCACTTTTTTAGAATTCTCAATATTTTTGTTAGTTTCGAAGAGCCCAAACAATACACCTCTCCAATATAATTTGAATCCAATATAATTAAAATCAGTGATCTTCAGCCCAAATTGTTTGATAGCCTGACAATTCCAAAACAAATGTACAATAGTTTCTGAATAGTTGTTACAAAAACAGCAATTCACTTCGATGTCCTTAGGTCTAACCTTTGTGCGGGGGTGTTTAGTCTGTTTCAGTACACGGCAGGAACTTGCATCAGATGTGTGAGGAAAGACCCGGATGTTGACGTGAAACCCGGATGCACCGTTAAACTGAACGGTTGCTAGCATTAGCTAGTAGCTGTTTTCATATCTACCTAATTAATGTTCAGCCTTTGTAGCTCGTTTTTACATCGTTGCACTTTAGAAAATCTGTGTGATCATTTTAATCTAACCTAAATTATGAAATATGTCATAAAGCAAAGCGTTGTTGTTTTGTAGCCGTTTATTAGCATCTTTATTTAAGTTAATAACCAAGAACAGAAGTTTAACATTTTTATCGTTTATTTTGCCTAAACGGAACAAAATGCTTAACTTTACTTTTGACTGGAGGAGTTACTCATTTTTTAGATTTCTGTTCAATTTCACATTAAAACTTGAACCTTTAATCACTAAATTAAGCCAATTTTAAGTCTCAAATAAGAGTTGCAGCATTTTAAAGTCAAATTACGATTAAAAATAACAGCAACATAAGATCAGTGAGGGTTTTTTTACAACTGAAATATCTGAGACTAAAGTCCTCTGGCCTTTTATTGTCAGCTACCCAGAATCAGCTGGAAACTGATCAGGCCTTCAATCTGAATAAAGCCGCAACAGTGACTCATCTGTCTCAGGTGTTTCATGCATGTGACTGACACCCCACCCTCGCAACATTTAGGATGTGACACAAATGCTGATTTTTATCCCTGACATTAACGCGATTTGTCTGCAGGCAGCCGGAGTTCTGACCCCAACAGTGTGGTGTAAATGTGCTTTATTTGCATTAACGGTTTCCCCTCCAGCTGACAGGATTTTCATGCAGCATGCTGACATTGCACATTCAGATTGTGTTACCTTCGACTCGTTCGTGTGCTCATGAATGCCAATGATGTGGGTTTTTCTGAGAGCTGGCAGTGATTAGTCTGTGTGTCTTCTCCCTGCACCCACTCACACTTGTGTTTCTGAAAACAGGCAGAACAGGATCTCAGTGTACCGACTGCAGCTAAACCTCCAAACTAAATCTGCCCCACTGATCGTGCATAAGAATGTGTTCGACCTCCACTCAGGAGGTAAAGTTACTCAGTTTCCACGTGAAATGAGTTATAGTGAGAATTGTGTCTTTTTTATTGTTAAAACTGAGAAACATGCTTGTCTTTAAAGCTGTTTGATCCAGAACAGAGACAAAACCTACTTACAGTTTACAGGCAGAGAGTTTATGGATATAAGAATTATATTTATTTCTAATCTCATGGTTCATAAATGCATCAGCAGTAAGTTTGGATTCAGAAAGTTGTTTATATCATCAATGATGAGGGAATTTATTAATAACCACTGTGTGTAGTGAGTATCTATCTATCTATCTATCTATCTATCTATCTATCTATCTATCTATCTATCTATCTATCTATCTATCTATCTATCTATCTATCTATCTATCTATCTATCTATCTATCTATCTATCTATCATCTATCTATCTATCTATCTATCTCAGCTGTGCAGCTCCCTGTTGCCATGACTACCGCTTAAACACGATGACTCATTGCTGGCAAACTGAGACCGGCTGCTGGTCAGCCTGTTCAATCACATTCTTCATTTCTCACTCTCACTTCACTGGTGTACCCGCCCCACACACACACACACACACACACACAAAACACACACACGCACGCGAACCTCCAGACACTGGGTTCATCCATAGACCTGCTGACGTCTTTACCTTTAAATGCTCAGACAGGAGGATAACAGGTGATCTTATTTAAGTTAAATTGGTCGGAGATCATTCTCTACTTCAGAACCAAGTAACTCCACATAGAATTATTGTTTTGTTCAAGCATCAGAGAACTCAAAAGCAAGAGCTTTCTGACTTATTATTTGCTTAATTTGTCTAAAAAGACAAAGAACAAGAATCTAAGTTAAAGAAAAGAAAATCATGAAGTCTTTTTACTGTGTGAAAACAGCCTAAAGTCACCTCTAACGTCAGTCCCAGAGTTTTATTCCACCCAAATGCACCACAAGGAGGCATCGCCTGGTTGACAGAGGAGGTGGAGCTGTGGCAGTGAGTGAAAGACAAAGACAGATGTCATAACCTGGGCGTACACTGTGCGACTTTTTCACTTTTTTGAGCCGATTTTCCACTCGTGCGAGAATCCACGAGATCGGGGCGAGTTTAGCGCCGAGCGTCGTGTAGTGTACAGGGGGTTACGAGAGGCGATTAACACCACGTGACCAGCTACCGATCAGCAATCGCGAGCTCGCACAAACTTCTGGCGTGTTTAATATTTTGCTCGTCCCTCGTGAGGCGTGAAGCGGCGCTGCGTGCGGCTGCGACCCAAAAAGTATCAGAACTGCTCACGGCGCATGCGCAATCCTGCATCAACACCGCTCGCTCGCTATTTCCCTAATAACACACGTTGTTCGTTTTTATTTCTACACGTTTTTTTACTCACAAAGATTGTCAACAAAGCGTGTTTGTCGTGTTCATGTCAAATTAAACTGATCACAAAACACAGATTTACTTCCTTTATTTCGTTTTCCTCCTCCAACCCCCATAAATCCCTGTGTGTCCTCCTGCAACTTTCCCGAAGGACAACAGGCAAAACAAGACAAAAAAGTCTGACGTGTTGAGTAAAAACTGCTATTTTTAACATATTTTTAGGTCCGACGTGTTGCTACCACACGTACAGCGTGAGCAGTCAGGTCGCATTCAAGAACTGGGTCGTGCAGTGTGAGCGCATGACTCGTGAGATCTGCCCTGCGAGGAAGTCGTACAGTTTGAGCCGAAACTGAGTGCTACGAGTGAAAAAGTCGCACAGTGTACGCCCGGCTTAAGGCAGCGCTGTCATTGATGTCATTTAGGTTGGGCAGCCATATTGAGCATAAACAACTGAAATCATAGATAGATCATCAGCTGAATATTAGGCATTATTTTTGTTAAAGTTTCCTGTGGAACACGTGAAATTAGAAGTTCATTCATTTTAGCAGATGCTTTTGTTCTAATTAGTTAACAGCAAACCCAGCATGAAGACATTTGGACTGTGTGAGCTCTGTAACTGTGAAGATGACTGAATTGGAGACATTTTTTGTGTTTTCTGAGATCACAGAGCAGTGGCGGCCATCTTGAATTGGGTTGCCTCCAACTCTTAATCATTTGTAGATCTTCATTCAGTGGGATATCCATTAAAATTCATTAAAAGCCAATCATCTCTTGAGATCGATGATGTCACCATAACTCAAACGCAGCACACCAGAGCTCCAGGGTTATCTGAGATGAGGGACAAAGTTCGTTTGACGTTGATATGTGGAGATACATGTTGGCCAAGAAAAATGAACGTTCCTCTGCTGGGAGACTGGATCAGGTGTTTGTGTCACCCTGAGTCCATTCTAACGCCCTGGTCTACTTCCCCACTTCACCTTTCGGAGGCGTTGACATCACTTCCTGTCTGGCCCCTCACCTTTAACACCCAGCAGAACTGATCCATTCCAAAACAGGAAGTGTTTTATCCGTATGTATAATACTGGTTTTATATGAGCGTTTGATAATGGTAGACCCATTAGTGAGTTAAAATAATAATCTACTTATTTAGTTTGATCTTTATGAACATAAATTATGTATAGTACCGAATTCCTGGTTAAATTGATGAAATATGTATAAAAGTCGTGTTTACCTGCTTTCCAGGGTGTTCATTTCCAACATGTCTACTGAAAAACTCCTCCCACCTAAACATGTGTTTTTAGGAGTTTTCAGACACAAACTTTCCACTAATCTGAAGTCAGCCTGAAGGCTGGAATCAAATCTACATTTTTACGTTTACACAAGTTTCTCCCCGACGGTCAAACAGAAAGTCATATGTTGAATAAAAGTTTGAGTTTTAAGTTTGAGACTTGATTTGATTGATTTGTCTCACTTGTTCAAAGCTAATTCTGATGATTCATTAGAAAAAAATACTTTACTTTAAAAAATCTCCAGCTAAAAAAGACGTTTGACCAGTGCACATCATATAATCCTAACCCTGTCATGGAATAAATTAGATTGTGTTTGTCTGGATTAAAATGGAACCTTTTTATTTTCTGTAGAACTTTTAGAAATCCCTGAAAGCAGCTTTTTACAAAAGTACCAGCATCAGATCCGTAGCTTAGCCCCACATATGAAGATGTCAACACAAACAAGACCACCATTCTTTTTTTGTCAGATGGGGACCCATGGTCTCGAATCATATGGGCGTGACCAAGGCTCACCAAATGATACAATGATAAACAATACGATATCAAATACGACACGATACCAAACAGTACAACATGATACCAAACAATACGATATGATGTGATACAATACGATACGGTACCAAACAATATGATATGATACCAAACAATGCAATACAAAATGATACGATATGATACTATACGATAAGATGTGATACGGTACGATACCAAACAATGCAATACAAAATGATACGATGCGATACGTTACGGTACGGTACAATACATTACGGTACGATACAATACCATTTGATACGATGCAATGCACAGATGGGATGTAATTAAATATGTATAATTTCTCAACAATGAATCTATTTGAAACTTTAATAATGCAATGTATAAAATAATGTTAATTTGAACCTAAAGCTGGGACTGGACGGGACCTGAAACACCAAACGGGGTCTAGAGAGGGACTCCAGAACTACTATTTTGGTTTAATGTGTTCTTTAGCTGTGTTTCAGAATCACACCTATGACGGTTTGGGTCACAACACTCCCCAGCTGCTGTTCTGTTCAACAGAACCTGAAAAACATGAGAACGACCGTTATAATCTCTTAGCAATCTGCCAAATTACATTTGAGCCTTGTTTAGCACATAAACTCCAACTACGTTACTTTAAATAAAATCCTAAATGCTAATTTGTTGTGGAAATGATCTCTTTGTTAGAGTGACTCTGGTAACCCCAATCCTATAATGTTGGATGTGAACGGAGCTGAGTCAGTCTGAACCAGAGCCGGAGAAACCTGTTGATGACCTCAGCTCCTAGAGATGTCTCCATGGCGGCGACCTATGAGAAGACCTACGTCCAGCTTTGTGTGTTCATAAAACCACAACACCAGACGAGTCTGACAGGTTTGATGGACTTAAACCAGAACCTGTTCGTTCACCACGTTCAGCTCTTATTTTTACAAAACAACGGCGCCTGCCTGTGTGCTTTTTACTTCCTTGGCTGTTGTAGAGCTACACATGTCCTTTGCCCAGCTCCCTCCCTCTTCACCGTTCTGTCCCGGGTTGACTGCAGCAGCAGCTGCTGGTACCTGAACAACGACAAAGTCCAGCCAGCAGAGGGATGTCAGCTGCTTCGTGTGATGGAGGAAGAGGAAGAGTCTCACCTCCTGACCCTCAGACAGCATCCTGATAACAGACAAGACACATCTCTCAGACTCATCACATGTTTGAATCAACCTAATATAATTAATTATATATACACTTTATTGTATGTGAGCTAAATGAGTCCCAGTCATCACACCCTGCTTGTTCAGCGGAGCCAGAATCGTTCTAAAAATACAGCTTTTTAGCTTTGAAGCCCTTTATACTTGTGTTTGTTCCCCCGTGAACCAGTTGCAGCATAAGAATTGACTTTCATTCAATCAAATATCCAACTATGCATCTGCTGGGCAGCTATGCAAATGCCTGCTGATAAGATGGTGCCTTAAGACCAGCAGGGGCTCTGGGTTTACGTTCAGCTTCTATTTGAATGCAGATCTCTCCTGGACTAAAGTAATCAGACAAACCAGTCGTCCCTCTGATACCAGCAGGTGGGAGGCAGTGCGTCTTGCAGGGGCGGTGGTCAGTTCAGAACCTGTGAAATAGAAAAGATTTTTTTAATCTAAATTTTTATACAAAGGATTTCCTTCTAATGCACTCAAAACCCCTTTTACCACTCAGACTGGTAAAGGACAGCAGGCGGTGTCTGTGTCACAACTGGACATGGAGCAGAAATGAGTAGCTTTGTGGTCATACATCATGATTCTCCGCTGGCTGGCTGGTCTGTGAGGAACCATGATGGTGTGTTTTTGTGTGTTTGGAGGCTGACATGAACCCGTCCAGATCAGACACCACGCATGTTTCACACGCTCCATCCGGCGGCTGCGTGATGACGTTTTTACAGGAATGCGTGTGATTTGCAGGCTTTGCTGACGGGACGTCAGGCTGCCTCCCATCCTCTATAAAACCCCCCAGTCCGACTGCAGGCTTCCTCTTTCTGTTACCTGGCTAGGGGTAGCTGCTTTGGCCGTGAGAACCCTGAAACACCGGTAAGTTCTGCTGTGATTCATCACTTGGATAAGACGGTGGAGCTCGGTACCGGCTACGTTACAAGGAGCGGTTCTTGTGCTCATATTTTAGCTCTGACTAATTTAAGCAGATTTTCGGTTACGTAACCCAACGCGGACCTGTGGAGGTTTCTGTAATAAAGCGTATGCTGTGTTTAGTTGTGACCACACTCGGTCGCTTGGCTAATTTTGGTGCTAGTCGCGGTGTTTTAGTGATGTCTACTTAAGCTTTTTAACAGTAGCGATGACGTGAGGAACGAGAAACCGGGAAAAGGAACAAAGGAAGCTGGAAAAGGGAACACTCGAGGATGCTCTTAATGGCATTTCTTCCCTCTCCTCTTCTGAACAACTGGACATGATTCCCAGTAACAGGTGTTGGTAGTCTGGACGAGTTAGACTCTAGGTATTCGGAGGTCTTTGTAACTTTATCCGACGTGGCCGAGAGAACACGTGTCTCGGCGGGCTGGCCTGTGGCCGAGTGCGGCCTACCAGCCTCCGCCTGCTAGCGGCTAAAGCTCAGAACTAATGAGGCCGAAAAGTGATTAAGACGCACCTTAATACAATCTATACAGGACCTCTTCATTAAATTACCGCTCGTTTGATTATTAAAATGATAATCCTCTCAGGGGCGGTCGGAGTTGATGCTCGCGTCCGCTAGGCTAACGTCATTTAGTGTTAATGTGGCTAACGTCATTTAGTGTTAATGTGATTAATTTAGACGTTTGGTGTTGTTAAATCATAGAACTGAAAAGGTTTTGTTTATATTGCCTGTTTTACAGTAACTAACAAAATGGGAAAGGAAAAGACCCACATCAACATCGTGGTCATTGGCCATGTCGACTCCGGCAAGTCCACCTCCACCGGTCACCTGATCTACAAGTGCGGTGGCATCGACAAGAGAACCATCGAGAAGTTCGAGAAGGAAGCCGCCGAGGTAAGCGGTTAATTGTTATTTCTCAAATGTTTAAAGCCTACTGAAACGTATCCAAGATGGCGGCACCAGCGTGCCCGACTGGCCGGCACGAGGGTGTAGCACGCGCCGTGAGCGCGCACGCGGGGTGGGGCTTCATGGCGGGAGCAGCTAATCGTGATTGTGCACTTCTTACAGTTTAGGCTGAAAGACATTATAAACTTAAGTTTGTTTAAATGTTGTAAATGAATTTCAGTTGACCTAATTGTTTTTAAACGGGGTTACATCAGTTTGACATTTACTAAATTCTGTAATTCAGGTATTAATGGTTTTAAAACGTGGTTTATTCAAGTACTTTTGTGTTTGCAGATGGGCAAGGGCTCCTTCAAGTACGCCTGGGTGTTGGACAAACTGAAGGCCGAGCGTGAGCGTGGTATCACCATCGACATCGCTCTGTGGAAGTTTGAGACCAGCAAGTACTACGTGACCATCATTGATGCTCCTGGACACAGGGATTTCATCAAGAACATGATCACTGGTACCTCCCAGGTAAAGATGGAAGATCTGAGCCACGTCCTGAAGTGGGTTTGGAGGATTTCTCTCCAACATCTTGTGTTTTCCAGGCTGACTGCGCCGTGCTGATTGTTGCTGCTGGTGTTGGTGAGTTCGAGGCTGGTATCTCAAAGAACGGTCAGACCCGCGAGCACGCCCTGCTTGCTTTCACTCTGGGCGTGAAGCAGCTCATCGTCGGTGTGAACAAGATGGACTCTACCGAGCCCCCTTACAGCCAGGCCCGTTTTGAGGAAATCCAAAAGGAAGTGAGCACCTACATCAAGAAGATCGGCTACAACCCTGCTGCTGTTGCCTTCGTCCCCATCTCCGGATGGCACGGAGACAACATGCTGGAGGCCAGCGACAAGGTAAGGATACCAATGTGTGTCCAGGTGTGTAAATGGCAGTACCTCGAAACTAAACTGTTGAAATTTTCCATAGATGAACTGGTTCAAGGGGTGGAAGATTGAACGCAAGGATGGAAACGCCAGTGGAACCACTCTGTTGGAGGCTCTGGATGCCATCCTGCCACCTTCTCGTCCCACCGACAAGCCCCTCCGTCTGCCCCTGCAGGACGTCTACAAGATTGGCGGTACGACGCTAACCGTAACACGTTTTTAAAGAAGGAATTCAATGTGGAGCTCACTGATTCTCTATTTTAGGTATTGGAACTGTACCCGTCGGTCGTGTTGAGACTGGTGTCCTGAAGCCCGGTATGGTCGTCACCTTCGCTCCCCCCAACCTGACCACTGAGGTCAAGTCTGTGGAGATGCACCACGAGTCTCTGCCCGAGGCCGTGCCTGGTGACAATGTTGGCTTCAACGTCAAGAACGTCTCCGTTAAGGAAATTCGTCGTGGGTACGTTGCTGGTGACAGCAAGAACGACCCACCCAAGGCTGCTGACAGCTTCAACGCCCAGGTCAGTAGTGTTTGAGCAGTGTTTCGTCCAAAAGTTGTTTAAATGTTTCTAAACCATGAACATTTGCAGGTCATCATCCTGAACCACCCAGGTCAGATCAATGAGGGTTACGCCCCCGTGCTCGACTGCCACACAGCTCACATTGCTTGCAAGTTCAAGGAGCTGATTGAGAAGATCGACCGTCGTTCTGGCAAGAAGCTGGAGGACAACCCCAAGTTTGTCAAGTCTGGAGATGCTGCCATCGTCAAGTTGATCCCACAGAAGCCCATGGTTGTGGAGCCCTTCTCGAACTACCCTCCCCTTGGTAAGTTTCTGTTCTGGGATCCTGAACCGTGAGCTGTTAGTGTAAGGCTTGTCTAACACCTGCTCACCTGTGTTCTACCTGCAGGTCGTTTCGCTGTTCGTGACATGAGGCAGACTGTGGCTGTTGGTGTCATAAAGGCTGTGGACACCAAGGAGGTCTCCGGAAAGACGACCAAGGCTGCAGAGAAGGCCCAGAAGAAGAAATGAATGGTCGTGCAGGACGTCCAGCAAGGCGTGGTGTGCCGGCAGCTGCGGGCCACCTCCTCCCCCATTTCCTCTCACCACCCTGGGTCATCTCTGAGGCACAGCTCTCTACTCAAGGACTGGCTTATGCTGATTAAAACCCATCGCAAAAGTTTTCGCAGGAAAAAAAACTCTGGCATTGTCGTTTAGATCACGGGATGGTGCCTCTTTAGGTTGACTTGTTTAAAATTGTATCAATCTTTAAAAATGCCACAAATTAATTGGGAAGAAAGCTGCTGGTAACTAATAAAATAAATGTCTCTGAAAAAATCGCAATTGGCTTGTCTGTGTCCTTAAGTGTTGCAGTTGGCGCGAGGTTGTATCTGACTGGCGAGCCTGGCTTGCAGCTGTTGACCAGCTACCCGGGTGCGGTTGGTCATCCAATCCCCTCCACAGGAGTACCCCCCTGGCCAATGGCACCCCTTCACCAGAGCCTGGGCTGCCCTCCCTCTCTAGCTGCAGTATAAAAGCTGTGCTCAGATCCGGTTCTGTCCTTTTGCCCCTTCAAATTTAGGATTTCTTTGTAGCTGCTGGGAACAGGTTGGTGTGTTTCTAATTTTAGAAATCTAAACGTTTAACTTAAAGGTATGAATGAGGACAAAGCTAATTTAATCACCTGATGCCTGAGATTGTACTTTACAGTTAGGGTTTCCTGAAAAGATTGCCATTGAACTGCTGAATCGAGCTGTTGAGTCTTTTATGGGATTTGAAAACGTGGAAAGGCTGCAGATTTCTGATTCTCAGTCATGCTCGTTCATATGGTCGGGGGCGCGCTCAGTGAAACGAAGGATAGGCTGCATGCGCGCTCCCGTCAGAAGACAACATGGCGGCTGTGTGTAACATGGAGGCTGGTTGCCGGTGGTCGAGCGTGACTCAGCGCCGCTTTCGGGTGTCACGAATGAGCGATTACAAAATGTTTAAAATGAACTTTGGGTTGGGCTCTACTGTTGTACGAGCTTGTTCTGCAGGCATGACTCGGCCAAAATCTGGAAGGTTTAAAAATAAATGAAGGGGATAATCAAATTGGATCGTATTTGGTGCATTTTCCCATGTAAAAGTTTTAAAAACAAGTCATTACACCGTGGCGGATTGTTTTAAGGAAAAATTGGAATTTTAAAAAACTTCCCGTTTGTTTGTAGCCGGTGAACCGAAATGGGAAAAGAGAAGACCCACATTAACATCGTGGTCATCGGCCACGTCGACTCCGGCAAGTCCACCACCACCGGTCACCTGATCTACAAGTGCGGTGGCATCGACAAGAGAACCATCGAGAAGTTTGAGAAGGAAGCCGCCGAGGTTTGTATTCTATCACAGGTTCTGGTTCACTGTTATAATCACGATGCATCAGCGCCCTCTGCTGGTGGGATAGTGTTTCACAGGACGAACACAACCCCTCGTTTATGACAGGATAACAGCGCCCCCTGCTGGTGGGTACTGGCTTTTGCTGCAGGAGGTTTTCTGGATTAAAAGAAAAATCTTTACATATTTGGCTTTTAGAAGCTCTTATTGATTTCACCGGATTAAAAAGTCTTATTTTTGTAAATATGCATGTCAATTCATTTAAATGGAAATGGACTGACCACTTTTTGGATTTGTTTTTTTAAACTCCAACAACACCAAATATTTGTTTTTAATATCTGAAGCCAAAAAGTCATAACCAGAAAATATAACCAGTGACAAAAATCATTAATGTATAACATTAAGTAAATTAGTCTGGTAGGAATCAGTGGTAGATGTTCCTATTTAAATTGCTGTCTACATTTATATCTAATGTGTTTGCAGATGGGCAAGGGCTCCTTCAAGTACGCCTGGGTGTTGGACAAACTGAAGGCCGAGCGTGAGCGTGGTATCACCATCGACATCGCTCTGTGGAAGTTTGAGACCAGCAAGTACTACGTGACCATCATTGATGCTCCTGGACACAGGGATTTCATCAAGAACATGATCACTGGTACCTCCCAGGTAAAGATGGAAGATCTGAGCCACGTCCTGAAGTGGGTTTGGAGGATTTCTCTCCAACATCTTGTGTTTTCCAGGCTGACTGCGCCGTGCTGATTGTTGCTGCTGGTGTTGGTGAGTTCGAGGCTGGTATCTCCAAGAACGGCCAGACCCGCGAGCACGCCCTGCTGGCCTACACGCTGGGCGTGAAGCAGCTCATCGTCGGTGTGAACAAGATGGACTCCACCGAACCGCCTTACAGCCAGAAACGCTACGAGGAGATCACCAAGGAGGTGAGCGCCTACATCAAGAAGATCGGCTACAACCCCGCCACCGTGGCCTTCGTCCCCATCTCCGGTTGGCATGGAGACAACATGCTGGAGGCCAGTGACAAGGTGAGAGACCGAACCGCCTCCATGGTGTCTTCTTTTGACCTTCTTCTTGGACTTCACAGCAAACCAACTTTTACTCACATCCTTTACAGATGGGCTGGTTTAAGGGGTGGAAGATTGAGCGCAAGGAGGGCGGAGCTACGGGCGTGACCCTGCTGGAGGCCCTGGACTCCATCATGCCGCCCAGCCGTCCCACTGACAAGCCCCTCCGTCTCCCTCTGCAGGACGTCTACAAGATCGGCGGTAAGAGCAGCAGGCTTGATTTACTAGATCCTGACCCTAAACCCAACCTTCAGCCACAACGACTGGCTTCTCCTCCTCCTCCAGGCATCGGAACCGTTCCCGTCGGCCGCGTGGAGACCGGCATCCTGAAACCCGGTATGGTCGTCACCTTTGCCCCGCCCAACCTGACCACTGAGGTCAAGTCTGTGGAGATGCACCACGAGTCTCTGCCTGAGGCTCTGCCCGGCGACAACGTTGGCTTCAACGTGAAGAACGTCTCCGTGAAGGAGGTCCGGCGTGGGAACGTGGCCGGAGACAGCAAGAACGACCCCCCACTGGCCGCCGAGAACTTCAGCGCCCAGGTGAGCCGCATAGACGCATTCCATTAGATGATCATTGGCTAACTCTTCCTCCTCCTCCTCCTCAGGTCATCATCCTGAACCACCCGGGTCAGATCGCTCAGGGTTACGCCCCCGTGCTCGACTGCCACACCGCTCACATCGCCTGCAAATTCAGTGAGCTCAAGGAGAAGATTGACCGTCGTTCCGGTAAGAAGCTGGAGGATAATCCCAAAGCTCTGAAGTCTGGAGATGCTGCCATCGTCACCATGGTGCCTGGAAAACCCATGTGTGTGGAGAGCTTCTCCCAGTATCCTCCGCTGGGTGAGTCCAGGAATAATCCGCTGAGCAGAAAAGACTCGATCTGAAAACATGACTTCATTCTGACTTGTTCTTAGAGGACCCAGGGTTATTTTCTGGTTTTCTTCCTCCTCTCAGGTCGTTTTGCCGTCCGCGACATGAGGCAGACGGTGGCCGTCGGCGTGATCAAATCCGTGGAGAAGAAGGCGCCTTCCGGAGGGAAAGTCACAAAATCTGCACAGAAGGCCGAGAAGAAGAAATGAAGGATCGTGCGGGAGGTCCCGCAGCAGGTCCCGTCTCCTCCTGTCCACCCAGCGCCGTCTTCCCGGAGACACAGCTCTCCTCTCAAGGACTGGCTCACGCTGATTAAAGCTCATCGCAAAAGCTTCCGCAGGAAAGGAACCTGGTTTTCCTGCTTCAGCGGGAAGCGCTGGTGTTCAGTAATCAAATAAACATCCCAAACACGTTCCTGCTGACTCCGTGTGCTTCCGTCAGACCCAAACACACCCATAATCTCTCAGATTTAATCCTGTGTTTAAGTCTTTTTATTCTGGAGAAGTTCACAGATTTTAGGATTTATTTGAGATCCTGAAGCTGCTTTATTCCTTTTTTATTCTGATTATATTTAAATAATTCTGCCAAACAGAACTGACTCAATCTGGGACCCGTTCAGCTTGGGATTAATCAGATCAGTGGATTATAATGATAAACAAGTCAAATCCTTTTAGGGATGAAATTAATGATTATTTATTTCAGTTTGAACTCAGGAAATTATTTAAAATAAATCCTACATTCTGGATTTTAACCTTCGTGTTTCATCTGGAGACCTCCATCGTCTCCACCGGCTTCTTCACTGGTGGATTTATCTTAATGCAGTAAATTAGAATGAAAAATCACACAAACTTTAATATATAATAATTCATAAGTATGAGAAATATACTTTTATTTTGTTATAAATAAAAGCAAATATAAAATGTCATACATTATAATAAAAATGACTAAAATCACATAAACGTCTTTTAATTGAATGAATTTATTTTTATCTTCATACTTGCTTTCAGACCAAATTCGCTGTTTGTTTGTTTTTTTTGTGCCAAAACTTAAATGTTTTCAGGTAGAAATTTAGCTCTTTTATTCTGAGATGCTGAGTCAAATATATTTTAACCAAAGTCCACCTTAAAGGAAAAGAAAAATCCTAAAGTGGTGGAGGGAAAGTCTGACATAAATATTTATTTATTTATTTATTGGAGGGAAAATCTGACATAAATATTTATTTATTTATTGGAGGGAAAGTCTGACATAAATATTTATTTATTTATTTATTGGAGGGAAAGTCTGACATAAATATTTATTTATTATTTATTTATTGGAGGGAAAATCTGACATAAATATTTATTTATTATTTATTTATTGGAGGAAAAATCTGACATAAATCTTTATTTATTTATTGGAGGGGAAAATCTGACATAAATATTTATTTATTTATTTATTTGTTAATTTATTGGAGGGAAAATCTGACATAAATATTTATTTATTTATTGGAGGAAAAATCTGACATAAATATTTATTTATTATTTATTTATTGGAGGGAAAAGCTGACATAAATATTTATTTATTATTTATCTATTGGAGGGAAAATCTGACATAAATATTTATTTATTATTTATTTATTGGAGGGAAAATCTGACATAAATATTTATTTATTTGTTTATTTATTGGAGGGAAAATCTGACATAAATATTTATTTATTTATTGGAGGAAAAATCTGACATAAATATTTATTTATTATTTATTTATTGGAGGGAAAAGCTGACATAAATATTTATTATTTATTTATTGGAGGGAAAATCTGACATAAATATTTATTATTTATTTATTGGAGGAAAAATCTGACATAAATCTTTATTTATTTATTTATTGGAGGGAAAATCTGACATAAATATTTATTTATTGTGACAAAAGGAAAAAAAAGATTAAATTAATTAAACTTGCGCAGCTTAATTGAAAAGTCAAGGTAATAAATCAGTCATGTGTGAGAATAAAGTAAAATTCATGCTAATATATTTAGGATTAAAACCTTCCTAGACAGGAAGTTGGTTTCACCTGAACTGAAAGTGAAACCCGGAACACCTGGATCCGATCCACCTGCCGCAGGTGAGCGCTGCTCTTTAACGCGTTCATTTACATCAAAACAATAAAAACAGGATTATTTCAGGAGGTAGTTGGAGGTTCTGCATGGGAAAGTCCCGGATGTTTCCTGAAAAAGGTCAAGTGAGAATGGATCCAAGAGCTGTCATCTAAAATCAGCTGATTCATTCATTCATTCATTCATTCACACAGGCCAGCCTGAAGTTCAGCAGCTCACCTGCGCCTCCGTGAAGCTGACCCCCACCTACTTGAAAAGTACGAGCCAATAGGCTTCGTTTGTGCTGCTGCGGTTTATGACGCATGACAAGTTATTAGGGGGCGATGACGTCACCGTCCCCCAGGTAGCTCCCAAATAAACCGGATCGGTCTCATTTATTAGTGCTGCGTTTGTGCTGCTGCGGTTTCTGACGTATTAAAGCTTTATTTACAAGCTACACCATGACAACGACAGCTCCTGCTCCACCAGCTGCTTTACGCTCCGCTGTAGAATCCACTTCCTGTTGCTAGTTTTAGTTTTTATGAACGTTTCGTGTGTTTCAGCACATCAACTGATGCAGTCAACAACAAGGTGGATACTTCTGATCAAACCAGAGCACCAGGCAGGCTAAAGGTGTTTGTTTCAGGTGAAAACTGACGTCACAGGTGAAGGGATACTGTCACAGAGGTCAGTTTGTTTGTCTGATTTACTTTAATTAGACCTGTAACGTGTCTGACCTGGGACTTGGTCATGAGATCATCACGGCCTTCAAGAGGACGCGGGGGAAGCTGAGTGGGTATGGAAAGCAAAAAGACGTGAAAAACTGAACCTACTGATGACACAAGTTAGCCACGGTGAACACATGAAAATGAAATAAACGAAGAACAAAAAAAGAAATGTGGTTAAAAGTTAAAATAGATGATTGTACAAGTTTAAATAACTCTGAACATTTAATAACAAGGAGGCGTTCTTCATTTATTTTATTTTATTCTATTTTTGCAGAACTTTATTGAAGATTTACACACAAAAGGCACGGTCACGTGTTTTCTCCGACACCGCAGCACGTCGTAAAGGATGCGAGTGAAGATCACGCTCAGGAGGTGGAGGAGAGCTCGGGACGCTTCAGCACGACTCAGACTCATCATATTCATGTTTTCACTTCCGGCGGCTTTTATTCTCTTAAAGTTTTCCTGAAAAACAACTTTTTGAGATTTTTGAAAAACTTTATTTCAGTTCCGGTGTCAGAAACACGTAAAATGCGATGATCCTGCATGTTGAAGCTGATTTAAACAGTTTTTTTTAATGTAAAAACAACCAAAAAAATCATTTTTCAGTAAATAAAACAATTAATCAATCTAACTTTATTTATAAAGTGAGTCAAAACAATCAGAACCTCAAATTGTTGCTTCATAGTAAATAAAATCATAAAGTTTTACAAATCATAAAATGGGAGAAAAGGTTATTTCAGGTCACCAGAACCAGAACCCGTCCTTACTGGATCTGCTGATGAGGTTCCTGAAGGCCTGATTCAGCTCTAGAAGCAGCTGGTCCTTCCGTCTGATCTTGCTGATGTAGGAGGAGTTATGGACGGAGAGGACAGCGGGTCTCCGAGACTCCCACCTGTGAGACAAAGACAGGAAGTCCAGCAGCAGCCCTGAGGTGAACCTGCAGGTTCTTCAGAAAGTTCCTCATCTCACCATCTGAGTCTCGTTGCAGTTAGGAGCTCCTCAGTGGTGGAGCAACCCGTCTCTGTCCCCTCGGACCTGGCAGACTGGATCAAACTCAACGCCAGGGACCTGAAGATCTCTCAGAGGGACCGCCGCTGGGCTGCAGAGATGGTCAACGGCTTCCGGGAACACCTGCTGAAGTTCCTGAAGAAGGAGTCGCTGTTCCAGTCTGTTGAGTTCCTCAACACAGGAAGTTACTTTGAGAAGGTCAAGGTGAGGTCACCATAACCACCTTCTCCAGACCTTCACCCCTCCCTTCTGCCTCTGCCGTGTTTCAGATCTACAGCCCTGACGAGTTTGACATGATGCTGAAGTTTCCGGTTCTCACCACCACGGAGCTCGACGGTGGCCTGTTCCACCGGATCGACCTGGTCCACGCCCCTCAGGGACCCATACGGGACTACCTCCTGGAGAACCAGCTCACCTTCCACTCCTGACTGAGATGTTCCGGCTGGTCCGCAAGTTCCTGAAGACCTACAGAGGTTCTCCTCTTCACCTCCACATGTTCTTTGTGTGTTTTTACTCGGTTCTGGCTGAAAGAACCCTCAGATGATGTCAGTAAGGCATCAAATCCGTCCCCTCCAGCGGAGGAACATCTGGGAACCTGGTTCTGATTGGTTCTGTTTAAGGTGTTTTAACTGAAGCTTTTCTTGAGTCCAGTCCCTGACGACCAGCTCAGCTGTCACTGGGAGGTGAACAGGAAGACGCCCAACTCTCCGGCAGACCTGAGACCAGAGGAGAGGAGCTGATCTCTGTGGACGTGGTCCTGGCTCTCGAGGTAATTCCCTCATCTGGAACGCGTTGATCTTCAGAACCAGCGGCATCACATCGGCTGTAAAGGTCAGGGCTTCTCTTTATTCTCCAACTCAAACAGAGGAAACGTCCGTAAGCTTTAATGTAAAGGTTGAAGACTTCTTATCCTACAAAATAAAGGTCTAAGTAGGTTTCAGAGTCCATGGCCTGTATTTGCAGCGCCTGCTGAGGGTTCTACAGCCCCCCAAGGCGCTTCACAACACACTGATGATGGCCTGGGGCGCACTGACAGGTGAAGCCTGCTGAGCACCGGCGCCAGCCGTCCCTCCGACCACCAGCAGGCCCGGCAGGTTTAGATTCTTGCCAAAGGACACAACAGCAGCATTTTCTGGTTGGAACCGGGATCTAACCTGCAACCTTCTGATTACTGGACAACCCGCCCTTCCTCCTTAGCTACTGCTTTATTTATTTATTTATTTATTTATTTATTTATTTATTTATTTATTTATTTATTTATTTATTTATTTATTTATTTATTCATGTGTCTGAAGAGTCAGAGCTGGCCACCCGCGACCCGTACCGGTCCAGATGTGGACTGGGAAAGAAGAGTCGCCGAGAAATCAGGAATCAGCCGTGTTACTTTGTCCCGAAAAGGCTGAAAGGGGCGACACCAGAGCAAAGACGCAAAAGGTGGGAAGAAGTTCCGTCTAATTTAATTACTATCTGGTTCTAACGGGTCACTCTGAGTGTTTCATGCAGGCTGAACATGAGAATAGTCTCCTACACCGATCTCCCGCATCAGCTTCTGATAGGAAACAGACGGTGAAACTCTAGGATTAGAAAAACCTGACAGATCTACGTCACCCTGTCACTAACAATCATGCACTCACCCATCTCAGCTAGTAGAAGCTAACCGTCAGCATTAGCAACTCCACCACACAGCAGAACTCCTCCAGGCTTGTGTTATTAGTGGAGATAAAACATCAGCGTTGCAGAGCAGACAGAGTCGGTGGTAGAGTCGTGTTGCTGTTAGCCAATCGGAGGAGAGACGTCCACATATCAGGAAGTAAGACTCCAGATCCTGCCGTCTGGAGTTCCTTTCTCCTCTGACTGAATTCTCCATGCTGAAACGGGAGCACCGGAGCTTTTTTTCCCCCCAGAGCAAGACTTAAATGACACTCATTCTTAACAGAGACCACTGCATCGTGGATCAGGAACCAGAGCAAGGTTTAGGACCAGAGGTCAAACATTCAACCAGAAACACAGAAAACTAAAGTCTCACAAACCAGCGTCAGTCAGGAACGACCAAATTAGGTGTTGTAGACTGCTTCCTGAGCAGCCTCTGTTCACAGAAATAGAGTTTTCTTCCTTCAGGACTGACAAGCTAACAGCTAGTCTGAGTGTGTTCTTAAAGTGGCTCAAATCTACAAAATCTGCCCGACGTTATTTAACCAGCTTCCCATTTGTGTGGAAATTTACGCGGAATTCTGTCTGAATTTAACTTGGAATTTTGTGTGTTTTGCACTTTTTGTTCAATTTCGAGTGAAAATGAAACGAACTTCAAAATGAGCCTAAATTAATATTTTTATTTGTTTTATTTCAGCAGTTTCTCAGCTTAATGAAGAGACACAGGCTCTTATTTTGACAGGAAGTAGGAAGTATGTTGTTTGTTACGTGAAGCTGTTGGTCTGCCTGTTTTGTTAGCACGCGGTTTTTGGTTCTTCTGCAGAGAGTTGAAGATCATCACATCTCACGGTAACAAGAAAACCTGCTGTGAGGGTCACGGCACCAAGTGCTGCCGGTGAGTCCGTCAAATCCGTCCCTCGTTATGTTTTTGGTGCGTTAGAGGACAGACAGGACTTCAGAGGATGTGATTATTATTTTTTTTACCATCACAACTCCTAAACGGTTCTTTTTACTCGTGTAAACCTGTAGATTAATGCGAGCCACAGGTTTTTACTGTTTAAACCCAATTTCCTGTTCTTCTCTCAGAAAGCTGTGCTTGATGCTGCTGAAATCTCCGATTGAGGGTCTGAAACAACGGTTTCCCAAAGAGCTGGATGAGCTCTGCTCCTACCACGGACAGACCGTCTTCCTCCACGCTTTGGCCTGCAGGTGTTCCTCAGAAACATACGTTTGAATTGACATAACAGAAAAAATCTGCAGAACGTCTAGAAAACGGGACTACAGTTGTTAGAAAAGATTTCTGTTCCTTGTTTAATTTTTGCATCATCCTGGCCAGATGTGATGACTCCCAGTGGGTCTGTCAGCAGCTTCCTGTACCTGGTCGATGCCCTGCAGGACCACGCTCGCAGAGGGGACCTCCCTCACTTCTTTGTGCCTGAATGCAACCTCTTCTCCCCGACCATCTTCCATCGCAGAGCTCTTGCTTTTCTCGTCAGGGCTCTGGATGAGCAGAAGAGGGAAGGTCTGCCTCTGCTGAAACCCCCAGCTCTGGTTTCTCTTCTGAAACCATCCACCGCTGCAGCTCACATCATCCTGGAGAAACCCACTGAGAAATCCTCCCTGCCCACTGCTTCCTGTCTGAAACTCACCCTGCTGTTTTTTCTGGTTGTTCTATTTGCCTTTTGCTGTTTTTGGGATTAAACGATAAAAACAAGATTAATAGATGTAAAGATTTAAACATAAATAAAAGATAAACTGGGTGACAATTCATCTTCTGTAAATCCAAGAAAAGGGCTGAAGTGAAGCAGGAAGTGCTTATTTAAAAACTTTGATTCACACTGATCGTCACCGACGTCTAATATTCAAACTATGTTTTATTTTATTGTGTCAAACTTTTCTTTAAATGAAAAATCATTTGAAGTCCGTAGTGATGTTTAGCTACGTTTTTTATTTTGAAAGTAGAGGAAAGGAGTTATTTTACTACTTGCATTTATTTGGGTTTGTTTCACTAATTTTCTTTCTTTGAATTAAAAACATTTTGGCATACTGTAGCAAATTTGTTCTTAGCGTAGAAACTATGATTAAATTTACATTTGTACAAGTTTTCTTTGTTGACCAACATTTTAAATGTAAATGTAGAAAAGTGCTGCAGGACTGCGGAAATGTTGGGTAATATTATAGAATTAATAAAATATTGATAAAATATCAGGGTCATTTTTTAAATATATAATTTTAAAAGAAATACGTGTTTTTGCGTTTTTTTTTCTCAATTGTCTGCGGATTGTTCGTCAGTCGGAACCGACGTTGCTGCGTGTTGTTTTCCAGACCACATTTACAACGGACACCCCCTTATAAAAGCGTTCCGCCGGAAATGATGCGCCCTCTTCTAAGCTATCCAATATGGCGGTGAGTATCTGCTCACGTCGAGCGACATGAAGTTACTGATTTAATCCACAATCATCGGGCCTGAACAGTCGCTTCAATCCCAGTTTGGTTTTCAGGCACAAAGAGATTGTGATGAACGATTAATCTAAAGTCATATTTGTTCGATAAACATTACATTGTTATTTTAAAACCGCTAAAGTGGGTGATGCTAACAGGCTAACAACTTTAGCTGACAGTTCCTGTGTTGTTAACACGCAGCTTAGCAGTTTAAGCACGATGACCTGCATATTCATTCTGTGTAGTTCTGACTCGTTACGGGGCTTTTTAGCCTGAGAACAAGAGTGAGATGTGTGCCGATGCTAACGACATTAGCAAAGAGAATATGTCCGGGCATGTTCTCCGTCCGGCGTGTGTCCGTAATCTGCCGAACAACCGGGCAGGCGACTGTCTAAAATCAGATGTGTGAACCATCGATCATATTAATTATGTTTCCGGTTACTAACGTTCTTTATCTCTGCGTAGCAGCGGCTGTCTTCAGGCTTAACGGGCTCTGACTTGTTTATTTGCAGGACCAGGGTGAGAAGAAGGAGAATCCCATGAGAGAGCTCCGCATCCGTAAGCTCTGCCTGAACATCTGTGTGGGTGAGAGCGGAGACAGACTGACCAGAGCTGCCAAAGTGTTGGAGCAGCTCACGGGACAGACACCTGTCTTTTCCAAGGGTTCGTGTCCAGATGATCCCAACCAGGGACGGGAAGAGTTCTCACAAAGCCGGAGCTGGATCCTAACTTCCATCTGTTTGTGTTTCCCCCTCTTTACAGCCCGCTACACTGTCAGATCCTTTGGTATCCGCAGAAATGAAAAGATCGCTGTCCACTGCACCGTCCGCGGAGCTAAAGCTGAGGAGATCCTGGAGAAGGGACTCAAGGTGAGCAAATCTTGGAGGTTTTCTTTGAATCTACTTCACATTTGTCACGGTTTGGATTACCTGGATGGGTAGCTGTGGCTCTTATGAATCAAATTTGATTGAATGGCTTTAGGTTAGAAGGAAGGGCAGATCAGCTGGTTTTTGAAGCAGCTGTTTGGTGCAGTGGGCTCCTGTCCTCTGGTGCTATTTAATGTGTTTTTAGTGCAGCTAAATAAGAGCTTAGAAATCTAATCCAACCGTAGCGGAAACAACTCGATTTTTCTCAGTTCAGTCTGTCGTTGGTGCGAAAAGTTTTGTCTGGCCATTCGCAGCTCTTTACATTTGATGGGCAACGCATAAAAACAACAAAAATGGTGTCTGCTCAGGTACAACAGCTTTGGCTTCAACTTAAGACGGTTTATTTCAACGACAGAATTCATTGGGGGTTGGTGTTGGTCGCCATGACGACCCCGCACTTGTACAGTGTGAACTGTTCCGTTGACTGTTTTCTGTCGTGATGAGTGAGTCGTGCTCCGGTTGGTCCTAGTGCTGTCCGGTTGGTCCTAGTGCTGTCCGGTTGGCCCCAGTGCTGTCCGGTTGGCCCCAGTGCTGTCCGGTTGGCCCTAGTGCTGTCCGGGTGGCCCTAGTGCTGTCCGGGTGGTCCTAGTGCTGTCCGGTTGGTCCTAGTGCTGTCCGGTTGGCCCTAGTGCTGTCCGGTTGGTCCTAGTGCTGTCCGGTTGGTCCTAGTGCTGTCCGGTTGGCCCTAGTGCTGTCCGGTTGGTCCTAGTGCTGTCCGGTTGGTCCTAGTGCTGTCCGGTTGGCCCTAGTGCTGTCCGGTTGGCCCTAGTGCTGTCCGGTTGGCCCTAGTGCTGTCCGGGTGGCCCTAGTGCTGTCCGGTTGGCCCTAGTGCTGTCCGGTTGGCCCTAGTGCTGTCCGGTTGGTCCTAGTGCTGTCCGGTTGGTCCTAGTGCTGTCCGGTTGGCCCTAGTGCTGTCCGGTTGGCCCTAGTGCTGTCCGGTTGGCCCTAGTGCTGTCCGGTTGGCCCTAGTGCTGTCCGGTTGGCCCTAGTGCTGTCCGGTTGGCCCTAGTGCTGTCCGGTTGGCCCTAGTGCTGTCCGGTTGGTCCTAGTGCTGTCCGGTTGGTCCTAGTGCTGTCCGGTTGGCCCTAGTGCTGTCCGGTTGGCCCTAGTGCTGTCCGGTTGGCCCTAGTGCTGTCCGGTTGGCCCTAGTGCTGTCCGGTTGGTCCTAGTGCTGTCCGGTTGGCCCTAGTGCTGTCCGGTTGGTCCTAGTGCTGTCCGGTTGGCGCTAGTGCTGTCCGGTTGTGTGCGGAGACGGTCCCGCTCCTGCGAGTGAGCCGGTCCATGGTTCATAGCTAGACTAAATATTATAGGATGGCATGGCTACCTAACTAAAACAGTGAGTGATCACCTGTGACTGACGTACCGTAATGTGTACGACACCTAAAGTCAGAGCCCTAACGATTCAGAAACGTTCTGCTGCTTCACCTCCAGCTTGCTGCTGTTTCCTTTCACAAATGTTAGACGGTGTTAAATCGGTATCGGGCTCCAACCCCGTCCTGGTATCGGTGCTTTATCTGTGAGATTTTTTTTTTTTTTTTCACTTTTGAATCCGTTATTTGTCTGTCAGAAACTCGTACCACACCTGAAGTGATGTTGGGATAAAATCCTGAAGGGTTTTGGTAAAAAGCTAATCTGGATTAGAGACGGCTGACTCTGGGTTTGTTTATTCTGACGTTGGGAGACTTGTCGGTCCAGTTAGGCCTCAGGTCTGGTTTCTTCTACAATAACAAAGTTCCTCTGTGGCTTCCAGGTGCGCGAGTACGAGTTAAGGAAGAACAACTTCTCCGACACGGGAAACTTCGGCTTCGGTATCCAGGAGCACATCGATCTGGGCATCAAGTACGACCCGAGCATCGGTATCTACGGACTGGACTTCTACGTGGTGAGTGGCTCCAGAACACAAACCCGACGGTTGTTGAAGGACGTCTTCTAAAGCTCTGTGGTGTGAATCCAGTGTTTTATCCTGATCCTGCAGGAATGAGCTGAGACGTCCAATCAGTGAGATCCTTGTTTGGTTCCGATCCAAACGAGTGTTTGTGCTGAGCCAAATCGTTTACGTTGTTTTCATCCCGCTCAGGTTCTGGGTAGACCCGGTTTCAGCATCGCTGACAAGAAGCGGAAAAGAGGCCGTATCGGCGCCAAGCACCGCATCCGCAAAGAGGAGGCCATGCGCTGGTTCCAGCAGAAAGTGAGTACAGAGGTCTGGGTGGTTCTGAGGTGAGGGCAGCAGGTCGGGTCCAAAGGTGGCCGTGAGACCAGAACCGTTGCATTAAAGGCCAAAGAAGATCAAACGTAACCTTTGATGCTGTTTTAAATCAGACGTGTATCGTTGGATTTCAGATGAAGCTTGTTTTGAATGAGCAGTTTGGTCTCTGTGGGCCACCGTACACCTGGGTGTTCACTGGGACCAAACCTTCAGAGTTTATCAGCTGTTTAGTTTTAAATCTCTGATGTTTGACTGAAGCTAGACGAGCTTCTGGCTGGTCTTTATGTACAAATATTTAAATGTGGTTCTCTCTTTTGTGGCGTTTCAGTACGACGGCATCATCCTCCCCGGCAAATAAAGAAGCTCCTCGCCATCTTTGTAACAAAGTAATAAAAGTAAAAACCAAAACGCTCCTTGTTCTGTTTTTAATGAGACGTTTTCTGTGGTTCAACGTTAACTTCAGCTATCAGACGTGGATGTTTGATGTCTGATTAAACTTGGGTGTTCCAGCGAGCTGCTGCTGCATGACCCGAAGACCGTTAGAGGACAAGTCTGAGCTGTAGGAGCAGCGTTTGGTCATCAAACTCAACATCCAGCAACCTGGTGTCAAATATGCAGTCCAGTTGTTGGGATGAAGTGGAGTTGGAGGATTTTTCAGGCTGAAGCAGCAAGTTTAGCTTCACAGCAGCTTGAATGTGTAAATGGTTGCAGAGTGATGTTAGCTTTCAGGGGAGAAATACAATAAAACTCAGATGTGCTGCTGCAGGAAGCCTGGAGGGACTCCAAACCGGAAGTGTGGAAAACCAACCTTCAGTCGAATATGGGTGTGAAGCTTTTCACCACAAGGGTGCAGCACTGAGTCATGCAGATGTGGCGTGGGCTCAGCAGGTACTTTCAGGCAAAACCGGAAGTTCATCCTCATCAGATGGAGAAAAAACGCAGATTCAGCTGGTTTTAGTTTTCTTTTATTCAGTGAAACTCGAGCAAACATCCAGATTTTCACTTTACAGCCTCTATCAGAGAAATTCTGTCGGTGAATAAAAGCCCTCTTGAGTTCCTCCCGCAGGTGTTGGTCTCACCTGGTGGCTTCAGGATAATTAGTGTTTGGATGAGAACATAAACTTTGTCCAGTTTCCTAATTATAGAAGTTTTATTCAAATCTGATTCTAGTTGCTTTTTAAAGTAAAAATTAACATTTAAAACGTTTTTATAAACTTGTATTTTACTGATTAAAACCGTGTTTTTAGTACTCCGCTGCATCCTCAGGTGCATCGGTTTCACCTTCACCTGATGTTCTTCAGACACCTCATCAGCTCTTTCTCTCCACCCTTCACCTCCATCCACCTGCTCCACCCCTCAAATCCACCTTTACCTTCTCAGACCTTGCAGGTTTGTTTCCTTCCAGCCTTCTCCTGGATCTGCGACAGGATTAAAGATCATTTGATGTTTTCATCAGTAGAAATTAAAAAACGTATCAGGATTTTGTAGCTTTATTTTTTTTTTTTACTTTTTGTTTTAAATTAATTTCTTTCTAAAACAAATGAATTCCGTGTTAGATCCCGCAGACCTTTAGAACCGTTCTAGTAACGGTGTCGGTTCCGACCCAGCTCTCCCCCCTATGCCCTGCCGGTGTGTGTTGGGGTCTCGCTGCGGTTCTTCCCGGCCTGCTGCGGGTCTTCGTGACCGGGTGTGTTGCGGTGCTGCTGCCGGCGCGGGGCGTGGCGGGGCGGGAGGCTGAGGGTGCAGCAGGACACCCCCACCGTGGGCTCCGGGAGGTCCTCGGCCCTGGACCAGCTGTCTGTGGCCGGCTCGTACGTCTGCACGGCCGCCTTGTAGCGCTTCTCTGCCTCGTTCCAGCCCCCCAGCAGGTACAGCTTGCCGGCCAGCGGGGAGAGGCCGGCGGTGCTGACCCCCAGGCGCAGCGGGGCAGCCCGGCTCCAGGTTCCGCCCTCCGGGGAGAACACCTCCACCGACAAGACATCCACCCGCTCCCCTCCGGGCCCCAGCTGGCTTCCACCCACCACGTACACCTTCCCTCCGAGGGTGGCGGAGCAGTGCCAGCCGCGGGGGGTGTCCAAGGGGGTCTGCTCGCTCCAGGAGTCGCTCTCCAAGCTGTAGCGCGCCACGGAGCGGGAGTAGGCGCAGCTGATGTAGCCGCCGGTCACCAGGATGTCTCCGCAGGGCAGGGTGGCGCTGGAGTGGCAGCAGCGGGGCGACTCCATGGGTGCACGCATCTGCCAGGTGTTGGAGGAGGGCAGGTAGCTCTCGGTGGTGGCCAGGAGACCCTCCACATTACGGCCGCCGATGGCGAAAAGGCGGCCGCCGCTGGCAGCCAGGGAGAAGTGGGTCCGGCGCTGACGCATGCCGGTCAGGTGGAGCCAGGTGTTGAAGCGGGGGTCGTACCTGCAGACGGGACAGAGTCAGAAACAGGTAGGGCATGTAAACCAGCATGGCCGCATGTACGGGCGCTGATGGGAAAGTAAAACATTCACATGGAGAAAAAAACAACAACGTTGAATTAAGTTTTAAAATAGTTAAAATTTTAAGGCTAATTTTAAATATTTAACATAAAATCTAAGTAAAAAGGCAACTTCTTTTAGACTTTCAGAGTGGTACCCCCAGGTCTCAGGCGCTGGTAGATATTTTGTGGATCTTCTTATTTCTGTGTTTTCAAACCCAGAAACGTAATAAATGATCAATCACCATAAAATGGCTTCTGAAAACATTAGTTTCCTTTTTTTAGTGTTCTAACAATTTAAATCAGTCTGTGTTTGCTCTTTAACTTGAATTTAACTTCATATGTTTAATAAATTAAATATATCTTCATGTTTGTATAAATATTCTGACATAAAATTGTATTTTCATGAATAAAAGTGAGAAATGTATTATTTTTTTAATCGGTGCCCCATACCAACAGGCTGATGAGGCCATGTGTCTACATAAGACATGGACGTAATTTGGGGGGGGGGGGGGGGCATGTCCCCCCCCCCCCCCCCACACACTTTTTCCAAAGTCAATTGACCCCTGCACTTTTTACCATCCAAAAACAATATTACACTATATTAAATTGACACTGGTTGAGCTCTAGGACCAAGCGGAAAGCAACCGTTTGTGTTGAAGCCTGTTTCCCATTAGAGCATACTGTAAAGATACCCCCCCTCGTGTCCCCCCACTTCTAAAGTGAAAATCACGTCCATGACATAAGATCACAGCTCTGGCTCACCCCTTGAGTTAGGAGCTATTTTCTTACTGAGGCAGGTGTTTTACCTGCTGAGTGTGCTGACAGCGTGTTTGGCCTGGTTCCGAGCGTCATTCTGGTCCTCTCCTCCTGCCACGTACAGGAAGCCGTCCATCACAGCCACGCACTGGTTGAAGCTCTTTGCTGGCAGCTGGGTCAGGTGGCGCCAGGTGGCTCCTCCTTCACGAGGGTCCCTCCACAACACCTGGACAGCAGGGTCAAAGGCCACTGAAGCGTCTCTGTTTCGTGTGGAGTGAGGTGTGTGTTGTCGTGTTGATACCGACCTCACGGCTCAGAGCTCTCTCAGTCAGAGACGGGCGTCCTCCGATGGTGAGCAGGGTCGGCTGGCTGGCGCGGACCTGAGTGCGTCGGGACTGCAGGGTGTTCTGCTGGTAAGGCAGCAGGTGGTAGTTCATGGCGTCCACCAGCAGGCGGTGACACTGGGGGTCCAGCATCATACGGGGCACCGGCTGGATCTGGCTCACCAGCTCGCTGGCCGGGATCGTCTCAAAGTGGACGTGGGACAGAAGCTCGGCGGCGTGAGGCTGACGAGAGGCGTCAAAGTCCAACCACTTCATGGCGAGCTGAAGGATGAATTAAAAACATCCCAGAAACACACAAAGTTCAAGTAAAAAGAACCCAAAATCTCCTTGTGATAAGCCCCGCCTCTTCAATATCAACCAATGGGAAGTTGCCAAGAGTTATCTTAGTAACCAATTAGTTTTTTGATGCTTTAAAAAACACCTCATCTGTGGTCAGGTGGGCGGGGCTTTCAGTGCCACGTCCTTCATAATTGACTTGAGGCGGGCTAAGTTTTAATGTAGTTTTTTTTTAAGTTGAAATAATTCCTGCTTTGCCTGTCGTAAACGGCTTCCCAAAAAGCCTCGGCTCAGAGGAATAGCGTTTAGTCTTGGTTGTGCTCTGACTAGCTGTTAGCTCACCGGACCTGAAGAACGTACTTATTTCTCTGAACAGAGGCTGTTCAGGAATGCCGGTGTAGCCTATGGCAACACTTCAGAATGGGTGAAATGTTCCTTTAGATTAAGATCAAATCTGTAAAAACCAAACTTTTGTTCCTCATCTGGAACCACAGGATTAACGGAGGTTTAGGCTGATTATTAAATTATTCATCAGATTTTTAGATCGTTTATTTGAGGGTCTGATGAAATAATTAGCAGTAATAACTTTTATCTGTGGAGCAAAAGTTAGAACGATCTGTTGGATGAAGTGATCTGTAGCGGTGGTGGTGCAACTTTTCCACAGCTGTTGTGTTCCTGACTCTCTGCTCAGCTGCTCGTCTATTCCGGTCCTAAAGGTGCTATTAAAGCAGCTTCCTGCTAGCGTACAGTCGGAGCTATACTGGAGGATTTCAGCTCACGGCTGAGCAGCTGGTCTGAGGTCTGTTTATAGGTCTGGTCCTAAATAGAAGATACAGGAAGTATCAGCAGTGTTGGGCCGCGGCTTCATGGAATGACTATTTAGGGTTCTGATTAGGACTGTAGATGGATTTAAACTTTTAAGGAATCGAAAATCTAAGCTCGTGATTTGACCTCTGACCTGGAAGGCTGTGAGCTCTGATGGAAGCAGCAACGAGTCATCCTGAAGGAAGGCGGAGATCTGCTCCAGGGTCAGCTGTGTGAAGAGCGGCGTCGCCGCAAACTGCACAAAATTCTCCAGGACGAAGCGTCGGGCGGCATCGCAGACGGGACGCAGGCCATAGGCGGCGGCGATGTTCCAGACGTAGACGCAGGTCTGCACATTGAGCTCTGCCAGCAGGAAGTCCATGCACATCTTCAGCAGCTGTGGGATCTGAAGGGTGGCGGCGGCGGAGACGGTGCAGCCGATTGTGTAGAGGGACATGTGGACGCGTCCCAGGTAGGCAAAGGTGATGACGTTTGCAAGACCTGCAGATGAGAGAAGAAGAAAAAAACTCGTCCATCATCAGCAAAGAGGTTTACATCCTCAGGTAGAAGGCACTAAGACACACCCAGAGGGGAGAGAGAGGGGAGCTCCAGCCGCTTCATTCCAGGGTCTTTGGCCAGAATCTCTCTGAAGTACTGGCTGATGGAAGAGATGACCAGCTTGTGGACGTCGAAGGCTTTAGTCTTACAGGCCAGCTCCAGGTCCGTCAGGAACCTGAAGATGGGCAGAAGACGACAAGTGCATGGTTATCATCTAGATGCACGAACAAAGAAGAAGAAGACAAGATCTTTTCTATAGCGCCTCAAGATAAAAATCACGAGGCGCTTCACTAAAACAAACAATATAAAAATGTAAAAAATAATTTAGAAAATGGTTAAAAATATATTTAAAATGAGCAAAAATAGACAATTGTGATAAAAAATGTAAAGAAAGAGAGAGAGTGAACGGGAAAGAGGGAAATCAGTGGATCCTGAGGAAGGTGGAATAGGTGGGGAGAGCAGAATAAAGAGAGAGAGGTGAAGAAGGTAATCCAAAAGCCAGCTTGAACAGGTGAGTCTTCAGCTGCTTTTTAAAGGAGACCACTGAGTCCACTGATCTCAGGCTCAGGGGGAGAGAGGTCCAGAGTCTGGGGGCCACAGCAGCAGATGATCTGTCACCTTTGACCTTTAGCCTGGTGCTGCACAACCAGTAGGCTTTGATCACTGGACCTCAGGGACCTGCTGGGGGTGTAGGGACTAAAGGTTGGTTTATGCTTGACGCGTCCGCGAGGTCCGCACGGCTCCGCGCGGAAAAGTTGCGTCATTTTGCGTCATTTTAACAACCACGCCCCTCCACCGCGTCTCCGCACGGCCCAAGATTTCCGCAACGCGCACCTCGGAAAATTTCTAACCACGCGGACGGTCGGACGCGGAAAAATATGGCGGACCGGCACGGCAGAGGTTCGTAACTACAGACATTTGTATGATTCAGCTCTCAGAGATCACCGTGATCAACATGTTGTTAATAATTCTTGGAGAGAAATAGCTCGCACTGTCGGAAAAGACGAGGACGCTGTTAAAAATGCTGAAATGCCATGTTGTAAACAGTAATTTCTACTTCTACTATGGTGTAGTGTTGGATGCATGCAGTAGAGCTCCATGCTGCCCCCTACAGTTTGGGAGAATATTGGCTCACCGCAGAGACAAGCCGCACAAACCATAAACGCTGCGAGTTGTGAAGCGCGTTCCAGCCGCGAGCCGCATCACCGCGCGGAAAGTGAATGCGTCAAGCATAAACCAAGCTTAAGAAGATCACCAGTGTAAGATGGTGCTTGTCCATGTAAGGCCCTATAGACCAGAACCAGGATCTTGAAATGAACCCTGAAGTTGACTGGCAGCCAGTGAAGCTGGAGGAGAAGCGGGGTGATGTGGGTGTGTTTGGAGGACTTGGTCAGAAGCCGAGCACAGGCGTTCTGAACCACCTGTAGACGGTTCAGGGAGGTTCTGCTCAGACACGTGAAAAGAGAGTTACAGTAGTCTAAGCGTGAGGAGATGAAGGTGTGGAGAACTGTCTCAAGTTCAGAGCGGGACAGAATGGGACTCAGCTTAGCAACGTTCCTGAGATGGAAGAAGGAAGAGCGAACAAGAGAACTGACATGAGAATCCAGGGTGAGAGCTGGGTCAAAGGTCACGCCAAGATTCCTGATGGAAGGTTTGGTGTGGGAAGCAAGCTGACCAAGAGAGTCTCTGACTTTGGGAACCAGCTTGTCTGGGGCACAGATGAGGATCTCAGTCTTATCTTCATTCAGCTGTAGAAAGCTCCCACCATCCAGGTTTTGATAGAGTCTAAGCAGGTGTGGAACAGCTGCAGCTTAGACATCTCATGGGGCTTAAAGGAGATGTACTGATGTACATTAGACTTTTGTGATTACTTCACTGTAAAAGTATTACTTACTGTAGCTTCAAAACACACAAAACCTTTTCTGAAGTTATAATTGTGGAGTTAATGATAATAATTATAATCAAGTCTAAAGTCGGGTGTTGATGGTGATAACTGACTTCTCTTGGCGCATCTTGCTGAGCTCCTCCAGAAGAGCGTTCCCGTGGAGGGGTCGTGTGAGTTCACTGCCCAGGCCGAGGCCGCGCTCCCCGGATTTGACAACGGGCGGTGGCAGCGGCAGGTTCAGGCTGTTGAGCTGAGCGATGTCCAGCGCTGCCATCTGCTCGATCTTGTTCACGCCGCTCTCCACCACCACCACGCCATCTCCTCGACTCTCCACCGTCAGTGATGCCGAGCCAGTCTCCATGGCGACCTGACCGACGGAGTCCATGCCAGCTTTCCTCGGACGAGGAGCCCTCTTCTTAGGCGCCATTGCTTTGCTGCAGATCTCTTTACCTCACAGCAGATTAAAATCAGAGCCTTCCCTCAGACACGACACACAGCACCTGGAAGAGTTCAAAACAGGATCCTTTCAGACGCGGTTTAAAAGAGGTTTCATGTGGCGCGGCGTCAGTGGAGGCCCAGACCGAAACATGATCTTATTTTAACAATCTCAGTATTACACACATAAAAACAGGAAATAATGAATGCTTTCGTTGTTGTTAATAAAGTTTGTTCAAACCTCTTCTTGGTCAGAAACAAAACATTCAGGATTTGTGTTCTCACTCTTAGAAGCACGTTGCTGTACAACTCAGAGCAAATTAGCAAAAACAACTCAGGGTGATGAGGCACTGGTGGTTACCATGGAGACTCCAATGAGTCTCCAGCAGCAGCTTTGACATTTCTGTTGAACTTTCACTGTTTTAAACCTTTTTTTCTGACCCTTTGTGGGTGACTATCCTTTACTGACACGAGTCTAAACCAGCTCCAGATTCTCTGAAATCTGAATTTTGGTTTTAGGTTCCGACTTGTGGAGAAAGTAAGTCACCACCTCAGCTGCCGAGTGCCATCATGGCCAGAGGTGAACACAAGAAGAACACATGATTCACCCTTTTCTACGTTCCTCCTTAAATAGCCTGTCTTGGCTCGGACACCGGCAGGATCCACAAATGGACCGAAGTGTGATGGAGAGGGCTGCAGCTGTTGTTGGTGTCACACGAGGAGGACGGGTTCGTCGTTACAGACGCTGCTGCTGCCCAGCAGCTCAGATTCCTCCAGTTTGTGACGCTTTCTGATGTTAAATTCGAGGAAGAGGAGGAGAAAACTATCAGAAGAAATGTTTTTATTCAGATGTTCCTCCTCTTTCTGCACAAAAACACAACTTTGACAAGATTATTAAAGAAAATAATACAAATTTTCGTAGTTAAAAAAGCAAATTATTCAGAAATGATCAGTAATTTAAATTAAATATTTTTCTGTTCATTATTGTTAATATTATTATTATTATTATCATTATTTAATCTGTGATTTTACCTGCAGACTCTGGCCTTTTAATCCACATAAAGTAAAAATAATAGTTTAATTTTTTCCTTGTTTTAATCTTTATCCTCTTTAAAACAAATCTGGGTATACCAGCCCGATACCAACTTCATGTGGCAAGGTGGAGAAGCTAGGGCCCGGGCGGGATTTGATCCCCAGACTACCACGTGAGAGTCATATGCACTAACCAGTCAGCCAAAGGGACATCCCCTTGGCCAAGCAGCCAGGGCGCATCATCAATCGGGACACTGTGACAGGACGCTCACACTGCCACATTTAGTTAAACACCAGCCTGGTACCAACTTTAGTTAAACATCAGCCTGGTACCAACTTTAGTTAAAAACCAGCCTGGTACCAACTTTAGTTAAACACCAGCCTGGTACCAACTTTAGTTAAACACCAGCCTGGTACAAACTTGAGTTAAGCACCAGCCAGGTACAAACTTGAGTTAAACACCAGCCTGGTACAAACTTTAGTTAAACACCAGCCTGGTACAAACTTTAGTTAAACACCAGCCTGGTACCAAATTTAGTTAAAAACCAGCCTTGTACAAACTTGAGTTAAACACCAGCCTGGTACCAACTTTAGTTAAACACCAGCCTGGTACAAACTTGAGTTAAACACCAGCCTGGTACCAACTTTAGTTAAACACCAGCCTGGTACAAACTTGAGTTAAACACCAGCCTGGTACAAACTTGAGTTAAGCACCAGCCAGGTACAAACTTGAGTTAAACACCAGCCTGGTACAAACTTGAGTTAAACACCAGCCTGGTACCAACTTTAGTTAAAAACCAGCCTTGTACAAACTTGAGTTAAACACCAGCCTGGTACCAACTTTAGTTAAACACCAGCCTGGTACAAACTTGAGTTAAACACCAGTCTGGTACCAACTTTAGTTAAAAACCAGCCTTGTACAAACTTGAGTTAAACACCAGCCTGGTACCAACTTTAGTTAAAAACCAGCCTTGTACAAACTTGAGTTAAACACCAGCCTGGTACCAACTTTAGTTAAACACCAGCCTGGTACAAACTTGAGTTAAACACCAGCCTGGTACCAACTTTAGTTAAACACCAGCCTGGTACAAACTTGAGTTAAACACCAGCCTGGTACAAACTTGAGTTAAACACCAGCCAGGTACAAACTTGAGTTAAACACCAGCCTGGTACCAACTTAAGTTAAACACCAGCCTGGTACAAACTTTAGTTAAACACCAGCCTGGAACCAACTTTAGTTAAAAACCAGCCTGGAACCAAATTTAGTTAAACACCAGCCTGGAACCAACTTTAGTTAAACACCAGCCTGGAACCAACTTTAGTTAAACACCAGCCTGGTACCAACTTTAGTTAAACACCAGCCTCTTACAAATTTGAGTTAAACACCAGCCTGGTACAAACTTGAGTTAAACACCAGCCAGGTACAAACTTGAGTTAAACACCAGCCTGGTACCAACTTAAGTTAAACACCAGCCTGGTACCAACTTTAGTTAAACACCAGCCTGGTACAAACTTAAGTTAAACACCAGCCTGGTACAAACTTTAGTTAAACACCAGCCTGGAACCAACTTTAGTTAAAAACCAGCCTGGAACCAAATTTAGTTAAACACCAGCCTGGAACCAACTTTAGTTAAACACCAGCCTGGAACCAACTTTAGTTAAACACCAGCCTGGTACCAACTTTAGTTAAACACCAGCCTCTTACAAACTTGAGTTAAACACCAGCCTGGTACAAACTTGAGTTAAACACCAGCCTGGTACCAACTTTAGTTAAACACCAGCCTGGAACCAACTTTAGTTATACACCAGCCTGGTACCAACTTTAGTTAAACACCAGCCTCTTACAAACTTGAGTTAAACACCAGCCTGGTACAAACCTTAGTTAAACACCAGCCTGGTACAAACTTTAGTTAAACACCAGCCTGGTACCAACTTTAGTTAAACACCAGCCAGGTACCAACTTTAGTTAAACACCAGCCTGGTACCAACTTTAGTTAAACACCAGTCTGGTACCAACTTTAGTTAAACACCAGCCTGGTACAAACGTTAGTTAAACACCAGTCTGGTACCAACTTTAGTTAAACATCAGCCTGGTACCAACTTTAGTTAAACACCAGTCTGGTACCAACTTTAGTTAAACACCAGCCTGGTACCCACTTGAGTTAAACACCAGCCTGGTACAAACTTTAGTTAAACACCAGCCTCTTACAAACTTGAGTTAAACACCAGCCTGGTACCAACTTTAGTTAAACACCAGCCTGGTACAAACCTTAGATAAACACCAGCCTGGTACAAACTTTAGTTAAACACCAGCCTGGTACCAACTTTAGTTAAACACCAGCCTGGTACCAACTTTAGTTAAACACCAGCCTGGAACCAACTTTAGTTAAACACCAGCCTGGTACAAACTTAAGTTAAACACCAGCCTGGTACAAACTTGAGTTAAACACCAGCCTGGTACCAACTTTAGTTAAACACCAGCCTGGTACAAACCTTAGTTAAACACCAGCCTGGTACCAACTTTAGTTAAACACCAGCCTGGTACCAACTTTAGTTAAACACCAGCCAGGTACCAACTTTAGTTAAACACCAGCCTGGAACCAACTTTAGTTAAACACCAGCCTGGTACAAACTTAAGTTAAACACCAGCCTGGTACAAACTTAAGTTAAACACCAGCCTGGTACAAACCTTAGTTAAACACCAGCCTGGTACCAACTTTAGTTAAACACCAGCCTGGTACCAACTTTAGTTAAACACCAGCCTGGTACCAACTTTAGTTAAACACCAGCCTGGAACCAACTTTAGTTAAACACCAGCCTGGTACAAACTTAAGTTAAACACCAGCCTGGAACAAACTTGAGTTTAACACCAGCCTGGTACAAACCTTAGTTAAACACCAGCCTGGTACCAACTTTAGTTAAACACCCGCCTGGTACAAAGTTTAGTTAAACACCAGCCTGGTACCAACTTTAGTTAAACACCAGCCTGGTACAAAGTTTAGTTAAACACCAGCCTGGTACCAACTTTAGTTAAACACCAGCCTGGAACCAACTTTAGTTAAACACCAGCCTGGTACAAACTTAAGTTAAACACCAGCCTGGAACAAACTTGAGTTAAACACCAGCCTGGTACAAACTTAAGTTAAACACCAGCCTGGAACAAACTTTAGTTAAACACCAGCCTGGTACAAACCTTAGTTAAACACCAGCCTGGTACCAACTTTAGTTAAACACCAGCCTGGTACAAAGTTTAGTTAAACACCAGCCTGGTACCAACTTTAGTTAAACACCAGCCTGGTACAAAGTTTAGTTAAACACCAGCCTGGTACAAACTTTAGTTAAACACCAGCCTGGTACCAACTTTAGTTAAACACCAGCCTGGTACCAACTTTAGTTAAACACCAGCCTGGTACAAAGTTTAGTTAAACACCAGCCTGGTACCAACTTTAGTTAAACACCAGCCTGGTACAAAGTTTAGTTAAACACCAGCCTGGTACAAACTTTAGTTAAACACCAGCCTGGTACAAAGTTTAGTTAAACACCAGCCTGGTACCAACTTTAGTTAAACACCAGCCTGGTACAAAGTTTAGTTAAACACCAGCCTGGTACCAACTTTAGTTAAACACCAGCCTGGTACCAACTTTAGTTAAACACCAGCCATGCTTTGCAGGAGAGCTGAGAACCCGACCTCTCCTCTTTCCTGCTGAACATTGTTTCTTATCTCATCAGTATTTATAGCAGCTGAGCTCCATAGCGACTCCAATCCTGACTCCAGACAACCAGACTTTCATTTAATTTGTCAACATGGTTCTGGATCAGTGGTTTTCCAAAACCTTTGGGGTCAAAAGGAGGTGACATTTCAGGCCTAAATCTCTCCAGCAGATGAACAGAATCAGAAAGTCTGTGAGAAGCAAACAAGCATCAAAAACCTGAGAGACGTTTGGTCCTTCAGCCTGTTGGTAAATGTTTGGAGGCGGGAAGCAGACTATGGCGTGGAGGACTTAATGAATATCTAAACCTCAACAAGCTGTAATAAAAACCTGTTTACCTGTTTCCTGGTAGTTTCCTGCGCCTCTCTGCTTTCTTCCTTTTTGTTTCCTGTTTTAGTTTCTGTTGTTTAATCCTGTTTCCTCTTTGCGTCGTCCTTCTGTCCGTCTGCAGGGTTGCTGTGTGTGTGTGTTTGTATGTGTGTGAGTGTGTGCGTGCTTGAGCGTGCATGTGTGTCAGAATCAGAGTCAAAGCTCTGACGTAGACCCCCCCCCCCCCCCCCCCTCCACACACACACACACACACACACACTTTCCTCCTCCATCTCCAAATGGAGACTCCTCATCGCCCTCCCCTCCAAAAATATCCCACAGCACCTCAAACACCCCCCACCCCCCAGAGCCGGTCTGGTTTCAGGTTGGAGGCTCTGTTTCCATCCGCTTTCTGAGCTAAAAGTTCTTCCTTTCAAAATAAAACATAAACCGGTTGATTAAGAGGCGAGAGCCAGATGCAGTTTTCTTTGTTACAATGAAGGATCACATTCATTTGACAGAATCCAGATTGTTGGATGTCCTGTGGGTCTTTATGATGAGACAGTTAGCTGGTTTCCATGGGAACCTCATCAGCAGGTTACCTGTTGCAGAGAGAAATGCACAACCTCATTTTGGAGGTTGATTCTGATCAATAAGCTAACAGCTGGTTTAGAGATTTTAGAGAAGCAATTTCTTTGTCCAAAGTCCTAAAGTATAATTGGTATAAAGTATAAATAAAAGTATATATATATAAAGTAATATATATATATATATATATATATATATATATATATATAGATATATATACACACACACACACACTTATTCCACCTTTCCCCGTTCCCCCCTCCCTTTCCTTACATTTTAATCACTATTTCTTAGTTTGTGTCATTTCAAATATCATTTAAAAATGTTTTAAAATCTTTTTTATATTTTAAACATTTTCTTTTTGTGAAGCACCTCGTGATTTTTATCTTGAGAGGCGCTATTTATACTCTCTCTCTCTCTCTCTCTCTCTCTCTCTCTCTATCTATCTATCTATCTATCTATCTATCTATCTATCTATCTATCTATCAATCATCTATCTATCAACTTTTAAAATTTCAAATATTTTTTTCAGTTTTTTTCCATTTTAAGTGGTTCATTTGATAGCGCAGAAATACCTAAATATGCAAATTTTTTATGCTAATTCGACTAGTTTTTACCAAAAATTCAGATTTTTGAAAGAAAAAATAAAATCAATAAATATAAACACGTAGACCATTAAACAATAATGTTTTCATTTAATTAAATTGAAGGGTTATTTTGACCGGAAGCCTTTGCTGTAGCCCCGCCCCCACCCCTAACCATTTCCGGGGGACAGGGTACCAGCAGTAAACATGGCGGAGCAGCTGCTGGAAACAGTGGAGAGACTTCAGTCCCGGATCCAGGACAACCCGGATCCCCGAAAGGTGAGCACTGCCCCGGTCACTACGGACCCGGTTTACGGTTAGTATAAAACTACTGAAGAGAAACGGTCAAAGCCGAGAAACGTAAGAAATCCGCGGATTCGGAGCTCGCCTAGAGTCGCAATGGTTTTTAAATGCCGCGTTCAAAGCCCACCGTCTGGCTCGGTCCTTTGGAATTCACTTAAGTAACTTCTTTTACGATTATCATCAATTGTATTTAATGTTTTGTTCATCAATGATCATATGTTTTATTTTTATGCCATAAAATCCATTTAAGGAGTAATAAAAATAAGATACTGTTATTTTGTGTGATTGTACTGAAGACAGCTCGGCAAGATAGTTTTAGAACTGAGAAAAAATACATTTCTGTTGAGTAGCAGTAGTTTGTCTGGAGTATCACCTGTCCAGCCTTACCTGAAGGGTTCAGGTGAGACATGTGACCAAAACAGACCTGTGAACAAGTCACAGGTGGAGGGAGAAGCCATAGATAAACATATGTTTATATACATATCTATGGGAGAACCAATCAGATGGGTGGGACAGAGACTCTAAAGAAGGCAAACTCACCAGGAGTTGATCAGAGCATCTCAAAGAAAATAAAGGCCAGTTTTCATTTATTAAAGCGTTGAGAAATTAAATATTTAACTAATAATATCAAACTATCAACTGATCATATTTAAAGATTTTCTGTGTTAAGATCAGTCAGATGTGCCAAATGTAATCAGTTGATAATAGCAGGACAATTTAAAGTTGTGGCAAAATAATTTAACTGAATAAAAATAGAAAATAAAATCTGGGAGTTTTACTGAAAAACAGCAATGAATTTAAAATGTATGATTATCATACAAAATTGTTTACGGTTATATATAAACAGTCATTATTGTTTCATATAGTATAATTAACCTTTAGTTAATTAATTTAGTTAGTTTTTATTTTAAAAAGTCGTTGCTATTGTTATATATTTACACTGATTGGACAGAAAATCCAGATTTTTCCCTTTATATATTAAAATGTTTCGTAACCACACTTTATTTGGACAGAATTTTATTTAAAAAAAATCACTGTGGCAAAAATTACAAAATGTATACAACTCTTATCAAGAAAACACAACAGAACGCTATTTCTAACCATTATATTTATGTTAAACGTTTAGCTCAATTCAAAACAGCACAGCAGCATCAATAAAATGTTTGTGTTAGAAATAGAAAATTTTAAAGTCTTCTAGTAAAGAAAGCAGGTATCAAGAAATAATTTTAAATGAAGTGGTTAATTAATTTCCGACAGTCCGTAAAGGCAACGTGGAAACGTCACACATTCAGTAGCTTTAACTTGTTAAAATCGACTTGTTTAACTCTCGCTAGTTGCTCAAACCAACCCATGTCAGCTTGTTAATCGGAGTGACTTTCTAACGAGCGTCACTGATCAATAACTAGGTTAACTAACGCATCTTAACCAGTTTGACCGGGTCTGAGTAGCTGTTAGCCGTCCTGCTAACTACCGTCAGCGCGGACTGAAGAGTCCGAGCGGCGGCTAAAGGCCTGAAATCTCCCCCTGCTCTGCTTCAGCGAGGCTGGAGAACAGCTGTGGAGTTAGACACTTCAGTCCGTTGTTGAAATCATGAGAGATTAAAGAGTAAACGAAGCTAAACCAGGTGTGGAGGCGCCTTTGTTTACTGCTGTTGTGTAACAAAGCGGTCCTGATGGAAGAGGGTACGGTTAGATTTAAAACACCTGATTGGTTTTACTCCTCAGCGTGACCTCATGTCTCCTCCACGTTATTAAACATGTATGCTTTATGTAAGCTGGTAACATGGAGTCTGCTGTCATTATGGAAAAAACCGTTTATAATCACCTGATTTTTCACTGAACTGAAGATGAAGTTTGACACAAATGAGTCCTGCGTTCTCTCTTCTGTTCATTTCTGCTACAAATCTGGCTCAGATGTACTAAAAAATGTTAAATAGTGTTTAAAATTGACTTTATTCATAACTTTAAATGAGATTAAAACTAAATGTTCATGTTTGGTCTCAGCGGCTTCGGTTTATTTGTTATTATTCATCATTTCCTAAAATGTAGGCAGCAAAACAAACAAACAAAAACAATAACACACCTGATTCTTTAGTAAAAGAAAATCGTTTCCACTTGTACTGGTGTTAACATCAGGGTTCTGCTCAGTCAAGTCTGAATGTGTCTGAAGGTTTTGTCAGAGTAAAAGCTGGTCCAGCTGGTTCTGTCAGCTCGAGCTGATTAATGGTTCTGGTTCCGGTGCTGCCTGAGGGGTCGGACCTGCTCCCTGAAGTTCTGCTCTGTAGGAGGAACCTGTTGACCCCCCGTTGAACGTCTCTGCTTGTCTGTTCCAGCTGCTGAAGTCTCTGAAGCGCCTGGGAGAGCTGCCCATGACCGTGGACATCCTGGTGGTAAGAGCGGCGCAGAAACCATTCAGATCAGAACAGTCAGAGCTCGGTGCGGCTATGATGTCAGATGCTTTAGACCAGGTGTGTTCAGGGAGCCAAAAAACAACAATCAGTAATGATTTAGTTCATTTAAAAGCACAACGTTCTCGTTTCCTGTGAGGACTTGTCCCACGTCTCTGAGTTTGGACACTTGTCCGTCAAACCGAGACTCCTGAGCAGAGCAGCTTGTTTTTACCCACCTGTGCAGGATGAACAGCTGATCCTGACCAACTAAATCACTGAAAGAGTCACACCTGTTGTCACGTGACCCTGGACTCTGGCTTTTGTCTGACAGGAAACGGGAGTGGGGAAAACTGTGAACTCTTTCAGGAAACACGAAGCAGCCGGAGACCTGGCCAAAAGCCTCGTAGCCAAATGGAAGAAGCTTGTTCCCCAGGCTGCAGACAGGTGAGTTCTGCTCAGCTGGACCATCTGCTCTCTGTTTCATGGTGGTGGGACCATCAGAACCGGCCTGAGGAGGTTCTGCTGGGCTTGGTTCTGACCCGGTGTGCTGTGTTGATGTTGTGTTGCTGTCATTCGGGGAGACGTCTCCATGGAGACGGAGGATGCTGCTGTTTGAGATTAACTCTCCTCCTCTCTCGTCCTCAGACCCAACAGTCACACCAAAGACTCCCGATCACACCAACTCCCTGGAGGTCACAGAGGTCACCAGGAGCCCTCCCCTGAGGAAGAACACTCTTACATGGAGGAGGAGGAGGAGGAGGAGAGAGGCTACCGCACCAACTACTCACCTTCACCTCCTCATCAGGAGCGGTACGGATCCCCACAGCCAGGAGGGTATCAGTCAGATGATTACGAGCAGGAGCCTGAGCCCAGTCCGCCTCCTCCCCCTCCTCCTGCTTTTTCTCCTCCTCGCAAGGAGATCCGCCACACGAAACCCAGCAGAGAAGTCACTAAGAACCATCGCCACGGAGACGAACACCGGGACAGAGAGGAAGAGCGGCAGCAGCGTAACGTTCAGGCGAGCGGTGAAGGGAAGAAACACAGAGACCGGGCGAGGCTGAAGAGCCCTGATCAGAAGAAGCACAGCAGGAAGTCCTCCAGCCACGACAGCAAAAAGGAGGAGAAGAAGAGCGATGGTGAGTTTGATCTCTGATGTCATCACCATCGAGTCTTTATGTTTGTGTTTAGCAGACGCTTCTGTCCAAAGCGCCTTACAGGTGATTATCAAGCCGGCAGGTTGCCCTTGAAGCTAACAACAAACACTATTCAGTCAATCCTAGGTGGCAGTGAGACAGCAGAATCAATCATCAATCAATCAATCGTTTTTAAACAAACTTCACAGATTAAACTTCAACAAATCATCAGATTATTAAGACAATCAGAGTTCATGGATCAACTCAGACCGGCTTTTCTCTCTCTGGACTTCCTGTTCCAGAAAATCAAACTGACTTCCTCTGATAGGAAGTAAAAACAGAAGCATTTCCTGATGTTTGCTGACTCATCGCTCTTGTTTCCTTCAGCGTTTCACTACAGAACATACCTGCTGAGTTTTAATGAAACAGAACCGATGGGTTCAGATTCAGGAGGAACGCGAGGATCTAAATTATAATAAAGAAGGAGTCCACTGATCTCAGGCTCAGGGGGAGAGAGGTCCAGAGTCTGGGGGTCACAGCAGCAGATGATCTGTCACCTTTGACCTTTAGCCTGGTGCTGCACAACCAGTAGGCTTTGGTCACTGGACCTCAGGGACCTGCTGGGGGTGTAGGGACTAAGAAGATCACCAATGTAAGATGGTGCTTGTCCATGTAAGGCCCTATAGACCAGAACCAGGATCTTGAAATGAACCCTGAAGTTGACTGGCAGCCAGTGAAGCTGGAGGAGAAGCGGGGTGATGTGGGTGTGTTTGGAGGACTTGGTCAGAAGCCGAGCACAGGCGTTCTGAACCACCTGTAGACGGTTCAGGGAGGTTCTGCTCAGACACGTGAAAAGAGAGTTACAGTAGTCTAAGCGTGAGGAGATGAAGGTGTGGAGAACTGTCTCAAGTTCAGAGCGGGACAGAATGGGACTCAGCTTAGCAACGTTCCTGAGATGGAAGAAAGAAGAGCGAACAAGAGAACTGACATGAGAATCCAGGGTGAGAGCTGGGTCAAAGGTCACGCCAAGATTCCTGACGGAAGGTTTGGTGTGGGAAGCAAGCTGACCAAGAGAGTCTCTGACTTTGGGAACCAGCTTGTCTGGGGCACAGATGAGGATCTCAGTCTGATCTTCATTCAGCTGAAGAAAGCTCCCACCATCCAGGTTTTGATAGAGTCTAAGCAGGTGTGTAACAGCTGCAGCTTAGACATCTCATGGGGCTTAAAGGAGATGTGGTGGAGGACCTAAACTTGGAGACGGCCACAGAAAAGGAGCGCTCAGAGAGATAAGAGGAGAACCACTCCAGAGCAGATCCTGATAGGCCTACCCAGTCTCTCAGCCTCTCCAGTAGCAGGTGATGGTCAACAGTGTCAAAGGCTGCAGTCAGGTCCAGCAGGACCAGAACAGAACAGTCCCCTGCATCACTGTGAGTCAGAAGGTCATTAGAGACCCTAAGAAGAGCTGTTTCAGTAGAATGAGCCCTACGAAAACCTGACTGGAAGCTATCATAGATGTTATGTTCATCAAGAGCAGCTGTGAGTTGTTTAGCCACAACCTTTTCCAAGATCTTGGAGATGAACGGAAGTTTAGAGATGGGTCTGAAGCTGCTATGGAGAGAGGGGTCGAGACTCGGTTTTATAAGAAGCGGGTGGATTACAGCGTTCTTAAAGTAAGCAGGGACCTGACCAGAGACCAGAGAAGCATTAATTATAGAGAGCACGCTGGGACCGATGGACTGAAAAGCACTTTTAAACAAAGATGAGGGTAAGATGTGGAGGGGGCATGCAGAGGTCTTCATAGAGTTAACTAGTTTGGTTAACTCAGGCAAAGAAACCGGAGCAAAGCTATCTAGGATGATGGGCCTGGTTGGAGTCGGGAGAGGCGGCGATAAGGCTGAAGGAGAGATGCTGGATCTGACCTTATTGACTTTGTCCACAAAGAAAGACAGAAAGTTCTCACAGTCTGTAACAGAGTGGATGGAGGCTGTAGGAGAGGCAGGAGAGACAATGCTGCTGATTGTGTTAAACAGCACCTTGGGGTTCCCTTTGCTCTGGGACACCAGGTTGGAGAAATAGAAAACCCTGGCGTCTCTGACTGCAGAGTTAAAGGATGTCAGAAGATCCTTTAGGTGCAGCAGATGGACGTGGAGACGGGTTTTCTTCCACAAACGCTCAATTTTTCTGCATTGGCGCTTCAGGCTGCGAAGGCTGTCATTAAACCAGGGAGTAGGGTTCACTGCAGGAACAGGGGTCTCATTTATCAAACATGGCGTAGAATCCTTACTAAAACCGTACTTAAGCTCAGCAGCAAAAAAAAAGTACTTACGCCAAGTAGGTTTATGATCTATCAAACATGGAGTACGCACAGCTGCACGCAATCTCCGCTTCATAAATCAGAAACTATCTAGAAACGTTCTCAGCTGCATTTTAGTCGCATCCCGCCCTCGCCACGCCCACTTACTGCCATAAATAGTCAATGCAAAGTGCCTTGTGGACCTCATGCATATACATAAGCCGGCTGTTGCAGCGCTCCGCCAACGACATGACGACCGTAGATCAAGGCAGATTAAGGAAGCGCTATTTCACAAGCAGAAGTTGAGGCACCTGTGGGTGAGGTGGAGAAATGAAAGGAAATGCTTTTGCAAAACAAATAAGAGAAAATCCACGGAGTGGCACAGCGTTGCTGAAGCCGTCAATGTTGACTTCTTCAGAGAGATCTGTGGTGGATATAAAAAAAATGGTCCAATCAGGATTTCGAACCCCAGACTCCCGGGTGAAAGTCACACACGCTAACAAGTCACCCAAACAGAGATCTTCCTTGTCCAAGTAGCCAGGGAGCATGATCAATCGGGTCACAGTGACAGAACACACACACTGTCACAGATGTTCTGTCTCAATCTGTCCCCCTACTGATGTTCTGCATTCTGTATTCTTCGCCTCAGGCTGTGTGTGTGTGTGTGTGTGTACAAGTGATAATGCTGCAGGATTTCATAATTGTATCTTCTCAGCAGCAGCACTGCAGGTGCTCTCCATTTCCAGCATGTGTGTAAGCCAGGTCCTTAGTCAGCTTAAAATTGCGCACATTTTTCCGCTAAGTTTTCTTTCATAAATCGCAAAGTTTGCGTGGAAAGTTGCTTACGCAGTTTTCTGACCCTGTTTTGTGCGTAAGCTAGCTTGATAAATGAGGTCCCAGATCTGGTTCTGACAGGACAGATGTTGTCCAGAATGGAGAGGCAGTGCTTGTTGAACTGAGAAGTTAAGGAATCTGGGTCGTTATCAGAAGAACAGGGAGGACCAAAAGCAGCAGAAAAATTGCTAGCTGTGCTCTTATTAAGAAAACGAGAACTAACCATACGGCGAGCAGGAGGTGGGGACGCAGAAACTGACAAGTTAAAGAAAATGCAATGGTGATGTGAAATATAAACGTCCTCAGGACAAACACTGTCAGCATTTAGACTCAGGGTAAAAACAAGGTCTAGAGTGTGCCCCCTGGTGTGTGTGGGGCCAGAAACATGCTGGGTAAGGCTGAAGGAGTCCATAAGGCTGGAGAAATTCATGGCAAAGAGATCGGAGGGATCATCAACGTGGATGTTAAAGTCACCAACAATCACCAGTCTGGACAGCTTCACAGTGGAGGACAGAAAGTCACTAAACTCCTGAAGGAAAGAACTGTTTGGACCAGGTGGATGATAGACCACAGCACAGTAGAACGGGTTCTTACGCCCGACTTTAATCAGCTGCAGTTCAAAGGAGGCAAAGTGACCAGAGGTTGTAGAGCTACATGGAAGATGGTCTCTGAAAACAACAGCTAGGCCTCCACCACGACCTGAACCCCGGGGCTGGCTAAGAAAAGAATAACCACTCGGGCAGAGTTCAATCAGAGCAGAATAATCAGATGTTTGCTGCCAAACTTCAGTCAGAAACAGAAAATCCAGGTTTTTAGAGAGAATTAGATCATTGAGCAGGAAGGACTTATTGTTAACAGAGCGGGTGTTTAATAGAGCCGTGCTGAGTGAGGAGGAGGAATCAGAAACTACAGAAACAGCTGGAGTTAGTGGACGTAAATTAGCAGGGTTAGATCCACGGTGTTTATAAAAAAAATTTATGGAGGGAACCGGAGGAGAAACCACTGAGGAATGAGGATAAACCGACCTTAAAAAACTTGGACGGAGAAACCGCATCCCAATGCGGCCTGGCGGGAATGCGGAAGTGGAGCTCAGGTCGCCAAACAAAGGACAAGATAATAATAATAAAACGCTGAAACTTGAATCTAAAAACATGTAAATCCCATTTTATTTATTCCAAAATTAAAACCTTATTAAAACCCTATAAAAACCTCAAAAAATATGAATTATATATATTTATGACCATATATTTCTACGGATGTTAGTAAACCTGAGCTCCAAAGGGGGCGGGGCTTTCTCGCCTGGTTCTTGTTGTTTCGGGCCACTCCTGATATCGTCTAGGATCTACCGCTTGTGTTGAACTGATCGCTTCATTTCTGATTTCTCAGGACGACCTCGAGTTCCGAAGGACTCTCCGTCCAAGGAAGAAGAGGAAGACTTCGAGAGGCCGACCATGTCCTTCGAGTCCTTCCTCACGTACGACGCTCCCACGCCCGTCAAGAAGAAGAAGAAGACGACACCGTCTTCGTCGTCTCACAGCCGGGTTTCTCAGTCCTTGTCATCCTCGTCATCGTCCCGTCAGACGTCCACAGCTCCGCCCGTCTCTTCGTCTTCGTCCAAATCAAGCAAGAAGAACAACGTTCAGAGCAGCAAACGCCCTCGCTCAGACTCGTCTTCGTCAGAGTCCAAACCGGAGAAACGCAGGAGGGTGAGATCCGAGGACAGGCTGTGAAACCATCCTGAGCTCACCTAAGGAGGTTCTGGTGTTGACCGGAGGTGTTTTTGTTTTTACTTCCTGCAGGTAGTTGAAGCCCTGCCGACTCTCCCCGACATCCCTCTACCCGCCATTCAACCCAACTACAGACCGCTGCCCTCCATCGAAACGCCGCTCTCCCCTCAGAGACGCAAAGGTACCAACACCTGATTGATTTCTTTACCTTTCTGCTCCTCCTCCAGAGGGAGAGGGGCGGAGCTACCCCTGCACAGGTTGCTAGTCCTTCCCAAAAGTCAGGAGATGGTCAGAACCCAAGCGGGAATGTTGGTTTTAACCACTTCAGGGATTTTCATCTCATTTGAGCTGCAGCTCACTTGTTGGGAATCCTGGCAGCAGGATTGGACGTTTATTAACAAACTAGAGAGGAGCAGATGCGATGAAACCAGGATTATCTTGAGTGGTTTAGCAGCAGCTGTTGGTTGTTACACAGCTGTGATTCAGGTCTGTAAACCCTCGTCTTTTCCAGTTCCTGTGTGCAACGACGAGGAGGATGCCGGCTTCACGGGGAAACGCTTCAACTCAAAGATGATGGTTTACTCCGGCTCTAAGACGTCCTACCTGCCCAAGATGATGAGTCTGTACGATCAGTGCATCCGCGTTCTGCAGAACAACATCGACTGTGAGTCGCTGCGAGGCAGCAGAGCCGCCACGGTTTACTTTCCTCTCAGACGAGAGGCTGTTGGGGGTCTGATTACCTGTTTTAAGGTGGTATTGTTTACTTGAGTCGTCTCAGGTGTAACATGAAGTCCAGCTGTTTTCTCCTCCTGGTTAAAACAAACCGTTTCACCGTCTGCTGTCTTTCTGCTCCGTCAGCCATTGCAGAGGTGGGCGGGGTCCCGTTTGAGATCCTGGAACCAGTTCTGGAGAGATGCACCCCGGAGCAGCTGTACCGGATCGAGCAGAGCAACCAGGTTTGTTCGCCACTGAACCCGGAGATGTGGAAAGTTTTATCCAGGGATTATCGATCATCAATCAAATCAATCAAAGCTTTATTTATAAAGCGCCTTCCGCGAGCGACCCTGTCGGGAAGCCCAAGGCGCTGAACACGGTACGTGAGAGAAACAGGTAAAAACATTAAAGTAGAAAGCAAACGGGTAAAACGAGATAAAGAGACCGATGACAGCTGGGAATTAAAATCAACATAAAAGAGGGCCGAACTCAAAACACGTTCAGGAAACGCCAAGCGGAGGAGGTGCATTTTTAGGTGATTCTTAAAGACTGGCAGAGATGGGGACAGCCTGACTGAGGGTGGCAGCTGGTTCCAGAGTGTTGGTGCTAGGACTGAGAAAGCCCGGTCCCCACGAGTACGACACCTAGACCGAGGGACAGCGAGCAGGCCTTGGTCAGAGGAGCGCAGAGCGCGTGATGGGGAGTGTCTGTTCAGGAGCGTGGCCAGATAGGGGGACCACCACCCTGGAAGAAATGATAAACAAAGACGAGGAGTCTGAGTTGTGAACGATAGCAAACCGGAAGCCAGTGCAGAGAGGCCAGAACCGGACTGATGTGGTCCCGTTTCCTGGTCCCAGTCAGGAACCTGGCTGCGCTGTTCTGCACCACCTGTAGGCGACGCAGTGATGACTGACACAACCCTGCATAGAGAGAGCTGCAGTAATCAAGCCTAGAAATTACAAAGGCATGCAGTACCCGCTCCAGGTGGGCTCTCGACAGCATAGGTTTGATTTTTGCAAGGCGTCTCCGATGAAAGAAACTGGACCGGATCATAGAATTGATGTGAGCATCAAATTTAAATCCAGCATCCATTTTCACCCCCAGACTGGTGACAACTGAGAGGGCCAAGATCAACATAACGATCCACATTCCTGCTGTTGGGGTGAAAAACAATGAGCTCTGTCCAGGGGTGGACTGGCCTATCTGGCGTTCTGGCACTGTCCCGGTGGGCTGCTTGCCCAGCTTGGGCCGACACTACTCCACAGCTGGTGATCTGCAGAACATTAGCTACATGGTAACCCCAAGCTAACAGAGTTTTTCCAGGCGTTTTTAGCGAGAAAAACGCGGTAGAGCGATGACGTAGGAGTAGTTTTACCGTGTTAGCGTGTAGCTAATGTCCCGCTGATCTCTGCCTATGGAGAATGAGCTGATCTTGAAGGTCAGGGCTCCCTGTCGCAGCGGTCTGGCACTGCTTGTAATTTGCTTGGAGCACACGGGCAGTCCAAACAACAACGCCATCCGTGAGGTTCCCAGCTGGATCATAATATCTCTCATCCTCTCAGCCGGGTCTAAGAACAACCGGGTTCCTCTGGGTGTTGTGGGAAAAGCCCACTTCTCGGGGGTTCTGATGCGACCTGTTTGTCCTTTTCCTCCAGTGTTTTACGGAGGACTCCGATGAGCTCTGGATGCGTCACTGTCGGCGCGACTTCAAGCGCGAGTCTCCTCAGGAGTTCGAGTCGTGGCGTGAGATGTACCTGAGGCTGCACGAGGCGCGTGAAGAGCGACTCCGGATGCTCACCCAGAACATCTCCACGGCTCACGCCAACAAACCCAAAGGTAGGAGGAGCTTCTCTGCGGGAGCGTTGTGAGGTGATCGGGGTCACTGAGTCATGTGTCCTTCAGGGCGGCAGGTTAAGATGGCGTACGTCAACTCTGTGGTCAAACCTCCCCGAGACGTTCGCCGCCGACAGGAGAAGTTCGGAACCTCCAGCGGTTCATCTTCCGCCTCCACTGCAGCTGCTTCTCCCATCAAGTGAGTCAGCATCATTTAAACATCAGTCCTGACCTCCTCCTCCTTAATTATGTTGGAGGAAGGCTGCAGCCTGAAGCATCTTTGTCTGTTTTTCTGTTTCCATCGTGGTCCACCTCCTGCAGCTTTGGGAAAAAAGAAAATGGAATTTTTCAGGAATGGTGTGCTGTAGCTTTAGCACTGGTGCTTCATACAGATTAGGTGAAATCAGTCAGAATAATCGTTTCTGTTCAGAGTGAGTGAGAAAGCCCCGCCCCCATCCTCATTCAAAGTTCATGTTGGTCACAGGAAGTTAGAAGTTGGACGTCCTTTCCAGCGAGGCGACGCCGTTTTCGTCGTCGGCCCGTTTTCAGAACCCTTACTATGCAGCTGTTTCATCTTTTAAATCATTTTCTTGAGCCAGAATGTGCTAAAATTACCCTTTACAGGGATAATGAACTATCACTCAGACCCCACTGCCCTCGTGGCTAGAATACTGCACTTGCAACTTCAGAGTTGCCAGACCTGCTGGTGGAGTGGAGCTGTCTGCTTCCAGCACGTTTCCTGCATGTTTTAGATCGTGAACACAGCTGATTTAGTGACGTCACTCCTGTAGACACTATCGAAGGCTGAGGAGACATTTCAGATTAAGGTGTTAAAACGACCGACGCACAGCGAGGAGATGAGTTTCACTTTTGCTTTGACCAGAGAATAAATAACTGACACTAGGGGGTGCTAAAAGCAAGCAAAACTGCCAAGTGTGCCTTGCCTCATTCACTGCCAAATTTGCATGCTTTTACTGCGTGGGCGTCGGACGAGCCCCCACACCGAGAGAACAAACATCCCAGCTCTAAAGCCGATCTTCATCCGCATACGTCACACGTCACGTGATCAGGAAGCAGAACATCCACGTGTTAGGAGATCGTTTTGGGCCGCTGCTGTAAAAAAAAGTGAGGCGCGAACCGGAAAAGCTTCTGCCGATCACAATTCAACAACGGATTATGAAAGAACGGATAACGCTCGAAACGCGCGGATTCTTCCTGATGTAAGAGGTGAGTCTCCGCTGTGTTTTGTTGTTTTGGCGTCGACATCATGCTAGCGTGCAACGTCCTGTGAGTCTTAAAAAAACAGTAAAAAATGCTGGCAGCGAATGAGTTAAGTGGCTTTCGTCTGGTATTACCGACTAATGTTTGAAATGAAAATATAAAATCTGAACTTTTGTGAGTCAGTATTCACTTTTTTATTGACACAACTTTTATTTACCCCACACACTTTAGACAGCCACGTCGCGTCTCACTCAACACACGAGAAAAACGACTGATTGATTTATCGTTTGCACCACTGGCCCAATGTTTTTGGAGTAATTCTTGTATTACCGCCTGTCTCTTTCAGAATAAAAGCTTCCACGGATTTTTCTGGTGAGTCAAGTCGCTCCGCCTCCTCCCTCTTGAGCCCTCCTGCAGGTTTGTCTCGCACAGCGCCGGGCGGAGGAGGAGGAGCATTAGCAGCAGGAGGAGGAGGAGTGGGGCAGCACGCCGGCCGGGAAAAGCCACAAGTCAAAAGTATGTTTGTCCTCCATCTTTAATCAGATAATTCACACACACCTGTTTGTTCCGACCTAACTCTCCGCCCTTCCTCCTGCAGAAATCGCCCCGATGATGGCCAAAACCATCAAAGCGTTTAAGAACCGATTCTCCCGACGGTAATCTGAAAGAGACTCTGAAATCCTGATGGTTTTAATTTCGTTTTACTGGAGACCTCGTTGCTCAGCAAACACGACGAGCGCCGCTTTCATTCTGACCCCACGGACAAATCGCATGAACGCTGTTCTTCTTCTCCTGGTTTCATTCCACAAGAAAATAGTGTTGAAGTCCCTGACAAACACACTCGGTCTGTTACCGTGTCCTGCTCTTCAGCAGATGCTTCTAAAGGATCGTTGAATCTTTTTAAGACTCGGGACACGATGAGATTCCTCAGTCGGCCGGATCAGAGCGGAGCACAAACACTGGAAACGGCCGTATCAGCAGAAAGTGGCTCTAGAGGCGTTCTAGTCCAGTTCAGGCATCAGATCACGTCGTTTCAGAAATCTTTTTCTGTGGAAACGTTTTTATTCAGTCCTGATTTTTTTAAATGCTTTTTTCCAGTCAGCCAAACATTCTTGTTTAAATATTTTCAGCTGAAGACGAGGACTGGAAAACGGCCACAGACTGGATCGGGACTTGTGCTGCACCCATCTGTTGGTATATATTTATGTATGTGTACACGTATGTACATATACACACGTCAGTAGGAAGTGGCGCGTGGTTTGTTGGGATTGTTCACTTTCCAAATCTCCTCAGTCGTAGTTTTCACACAACTGTGTGTGTGTGTGTGTGTGTGGGTGGGGGTGGGGGGGGGGCAATAGGGTGTTTGTTTACTGTTCGACTCACCTGAGCTGATGCTTATCAGGAAAACGACACATCACCTGTGTTACTGCGCCCCCTTCTGGTCACATGACTCTGCCTGCTGCCTATTTTACTCCTCTGTTGTTCAGGAATCCATCCTAGCAGAGTTGAGTCAGGCTAACAGTTTCCCTCTGTTTCCAGTCTTTGTGCTAAGCTAACAAGCCTTGAATTCTCAAACTTAAATAAGTTTCATCTTATTCAAGTGTCAACAACAACAAGAAACAGTCAAAAAGTCTAAATTTTCCTTTAAAAAAACAGAAAAGTACTTTTTAATTTAATGAAAGTTTATTTATTTTCCACTGAGACCAAAAGACACAAAGATATTCGAGTTTTACACCTTATTTAACTGCTGAAAGTCTCCGATTTTAAACAAAACCTGCTTATTTAATCCTGTTTTAACTGGCGACGTTTCGTTGTGTGTGTGTGGGAAATCAGAAACACACCTTGTTGGCTTGTTTTAACTCTTCCTGTGGCTTCAGACGTTTGTTTTCTGCTGTTGAATGAATCTGTTTCTGCTTGACTGTGACAAACTGATGAAACGAGGGATGAAGTCTGTAGGAAGGAAGGTCACAGTTCCTCAAACACCATGAGATGTATTTATTTTAAACAATGGAACCTGGTACCCCCCAACATGGGCCCGAGTAGATGAAAAGCTGTAATTTTATTAGATTTTAATAAATGTTATATGGTCATTTTAATTATTAAAATTGACTTATGCCCTTAATGAGTCTGTGTTTGTTCTGTTTGAATGAATATATGTTTTAAAGTGAATGCAGGAAGTGGTTACTGTAGCCCTTTTTTATTACGGCTCATTTATTCTAATGTTTTATAATTGTGTATAGTCGCAGAGATGTTTTCATTATTGGAATTAAAATTGGAACATAATCAAAGCCATCTGCCCTCTGATTGGACAATTTAATGTATACCTTTAAAGGTACGGAACACCATTTTTAAATGATTTCTGATTGTAATCGGTCACTCTGACCCCCACTGAGCACTGGAAGCATCAGCGGCGCGCAACGGCACTGCTTCTAGTAGAGTCCATTGTAGTCTGGAGGGTTTCAAACCAGCTGCGATGCGGCGATTTTCAGACGCGCTGCACCGCTAACGATGGGATTGGGTTCTACATTTCTGAGTTGCATCAATTACCGCAGTTAACATAGGGTTAGACAACAAATCATACACGGTTTCAGTGTAAAATCCCCAGTAATTTTCAAAATAAAAGTATTGCAGCGGTGTGTTTCCATGGCTTTATTCCTGGCAGTGGAGAGGAACATCATCATATGTGACGTCAAACAGCGATAATGTGATTTCCTTCTTTTTGGTTTATTGGCGGATTGCATAAACAAACTGTAACTTATGAAGTCTGGAGGGATCTTGAACGAGGAGCACGGCAGAGAAGCCACTTCGCCTCTGAGACTCTCCCGGAGCGCACTGATTGTTTCGAGTAAGCCGTTCCACGCAACTGATGCCTTCAGTGTGCAGCCGGGGTAAGTGTTTCATGCAGGTTGAACATGAAAACAGTCTTCTACACCTCTCCTGCATTAGCTTCTGATGTCACACCATGAATTTGCATTCATGGCCCCGCCCATCTTGGCTCACGCCCGCCCACAGGAAGGCATTTTAAATTATTTTTTGCGAGGATAGAGAGCAGTGTCTTGGTACTGATTTTACTACATGGCTGGGCTGAACGCATTCTTTTAACCAATGGGAAGTGAGGTGTGTGCATGTCATTAATAATGAGTAATCCTGCTGTTTTCAATCTACCTGTGCACCAGCAAACTTCTGCAACTAAGAACAGGAGCTTCATAGTTTTTTAATGAGTCTTATGGCATTGATTTACACAAGAAAACACTGCAAATGTGTTGGATAAATGAGTAAACCACACCTTTAAAGCTTCTGAGATCTTCCCTCAAACAGGATATTTTTATCATTAAATTTAGAGTTTCTTGTGTTTCTTTTGTCACGTTTGTAAACAGTTGTCATAGTAATTGGATAATGAGCCAATAAGAAGCCAGAGCTCTTTGGCTCCTCCTTCAGTGCAGCACCCGATGTTTTCATATGACGCACAAAAAGTCTTCAAAATAAAACGCAAGCTTACTGCATATATGTATTATAACCAGAAAACAAAGCAAAAGTTATATAAGGTATGAAAAAAATTAATGATTAAAAAAAGAATTAATTTTATGTGAAGATTAACACCGTTCATCCTTAGATTTTAAAGCAGCTTAAAACTATTTTGAAAATCTCGAACCGGAAGTGAAGTCTTGGCCTCGCTACGCTTGACTCCGTTTTGTGAAGCGAAATTTGCTGATTGCGGCGCACTTAATAAAAGCAGGGTTAGTTTGTTTGGTTACTGGTGAGTGCATTGGTTTGAGTCCATTATGGCCGGGCACGGGCACAGCTGCGGGTCCGAGGGGGAGCACGAACCCGCCGAGAGGGGTCTGGAGTTCGGACTGTACCGTCGCATCGACCTGGAGAAGTTGCAGTGTCTGAACGAGAGCAGAGATGGAGACGGGAAGCTGGTGTTCAAACCGTGGGACAGGCGGAAGGAACGAGACCAGGTAAACGCCACGAGGAGCTTCCCCCCGCATTCATGCTGCTGGCGTCCCCCTACACCTGCGCGGTTAGACAAGCTAAAGGTTTACAAACAGGGTTAAACCGGGTCCACGGTACATCTGTTAACATTAAACCATTGAAAAAGACACGTGCTTTGCTTTTCTGTGTGAGATATTTGATTCATTAGTTTATGCATGTTTTGAACAGGCGTTGATGTGGGAGGCTCACAGGGGACCTTCAAAGGCGTAAACAAGACAAGGTTCACCCTTTGCACGTGACGTCACGCCACACACGTGACCGCCCCCTTCGCCATGATGGACGGCAAAAAGACCGTTTACAACCGTAGAAACTCCAGTGAAGCTAGTCAAAACAAGCTAGTTTTTAGCCTTTTATCGCTTTTATAGAGTTGATTTGACAGTAAAATGGTTTTAGCTTGCTGCGTGGTCGGCTGCACTAAGAGACAATGACGTAAACTCAACTCGTTTTTTTAAATAACGGATGGATCTCAAAAACAATTAATTTTCCCTTTGTTTAGTACTGGTGTGTTTACATGCTTTTGCCGTCCACCATGATGAACCCACGTGATTAGGTGACGTCGGTGCAAAGACACAACTAAAAACAAACACTATTCATAAAATCCAGATTAGTCATTATCCTTGTAAAGATGTAAACTTGATTAAATAAACGGATATAAAATGGATACGCCATGTTGTTGTTTACTGATTTTATGTAGGATTCAGAAACTGATGCACAAAACTCACATCAAGCTGCTAACCTAGATTATTTATCCTCTAAATGAAAAAGTTAATATAACTCTGAGTAAAAAAAAAAAAAACAGCCCTAAATGTAAATCAGAAAAATACACAACAGCTGATTTCGTTCTGCTTATTTTTAGTATGTTGAGAGCGACTCCGATGAAGAGCTGCTGTTCAACATCCCGTAAGTCAACCTGAACTTTGACCTCCTGCTGTCTGTCTGCACACAGAGGCAACGTGTTGTTGTTTTTTGTGTTAAGCTTATAGATGTAAGTAAAGATATAACGGATTAATTTCCTATTTTATTTCCACCTGAAGCTGTAGCTTTATCTTCTCCCTCCTGCAGCGTTCTCTCTGAGTGAGTTAAGCTAACCGTATCTCTTCTGTTTCAGTTTCACGGGCAGCGTGAAGCTGAAGGGAATCATCATCTCCGGAGAGAACGACGACTCCCATCCCGCTGAGATACGACTGTGAGCTTCTCATTCTCGTTTGCAGGTTTTATGAACACATTTTTAATGATATGTGGGAATTGGAAAACAAAATCCCCACGGTGTGGCTGTTAGCTTTCTGCAGGTATTTCCATCTCCAGGTGACAAAACCTTAGGCTCACGATGTTCTGTTGGACCTCGCCCTTTTCTTCAGATACAAAAACATCCCCCAGATGTCGTTTGACGACACCGGCAGAGAACCTGAACAAGCCTTCAGACTCAACAGAGACCCTCTCGCTGAGCTGGAGTATCCAACCAAGTGAGAGCACACGAACGGCACGAACGGATCAGAGCTGACCCGGCTCATCGGAAACGATGAAGCCGCTTGAAATTTGATATCTTGTTTGAAACACACGATCCTCCTTTTTTTCTGTGTTTGATGCTTGTGATCAAGCAGCAACGCCTCCTCATATGACCTGTTTCACTCTGAAGGTGCTCATCCAACCAGACCGGGCCAGTTCACACGCCCCACAGAAACCAATATATTAGCTGCATATGTGGGCTGCATGGTGACGCAGTGGCTAGCACTGTTGCCTCGCAGTAAGAAGGTCGCAGGTTTGAAACTCGGCTGTGGCCTTTCTGCGTGGAGTTGCGTGTTCTCCCCATGCATGCGTGGGTTTCCTCCGGGTACTCCGGTTTCCCCCACAGATCACAACACGCCCTATAGGTTATAAACTGTAAGTAGCTTTGGATAAAAGCATCTGCCAAATAAATAAACATAAACATCTGTTTAGAAACACAATATCTGGATAAAGGTTGTTTTTGTGAACCTCTGTTAGATGCATTTTTGTGTCATCTAAACATTTCCACCAAGAAGATGAAACGTTGATGTAACATTTACACCTGAAGCTGATTTTATGATGAGATGTCCATCACAGGTTTTAGAATTGAAGGAAGCAACAGAAGCTCTGGTGCTTCTCAGTCTGATCAGATCGGTCCAACGCCAAGCTTTGTGTTAACGGACCGAAGACTAAAAGCCTCTTTTTGTGAAGAAATGTAAAAATCACCCAACTCATGTTGTTGCTGCTTTTTGAGCGTCTTCCTCTTTGTGTCATGGTGTGCAGGATTGCTCGTTTTACCAACGTTCATCACCTCTCCATCCACGTCTCCAAGAACTTTGGAGCCGAGAACACCCGGATCTACTTCATTGGACTTAGAGGAGAGTACACGGAGGTTGGTTTCAGGCTGCGCTCATCACCTTACACACATCCCATCAGTTTATTTTCATCCTGTTGACAAACATTTCTTTTCTTGGTGCTTTTTAAGGCTCACAGGCATGAAGTGACCATCTGTAACTACGAGGCGACAGCGAACCCTGCAGATCATAAAGTGGACAGCATCTTCCCACAAACCAACTTCATTTCTTGAGTGCTTTAGGGAGGAGGACGAGAGTTTTCGGAGGCTTTGGCTGACTGTCAGAAAGCCAGATGATTTCATGGCTGCGTTCAGGCAGCGAAGTCGAGCTCAGATGGAAACGAGCTCCGAGGCCGCTGGTTTTTGGTCGTCTCTTAGAGCAAAGCTGCCTCTCTGTTTCTATGGCAACACGGTGTGAGGCTTATTGTGGGCTAAGGAACAAATGCGTGACACGTTTGACAGAGATGAATTCTGCTGATAAATAAAGATGCACCGAATGCTGGAATTGTGTTCCTTTTATTAATAAAGATTATTGGTTGCCATGGCAACACTTACATTCCCAATCATCTAGACACAAAACTGAGTCAGTGGATCCAGATATGAAGTAGATGCAGAGTTTTATAGTTTTTATTATCATTGGTTTTAAATCCTTGAGAAAACAAGTTTCTGAGAAGTAACACGACCCGACCTCTGCTGGATGATGTTCTCGTCAGCGTTCGTCTTATTTTTTTGGTCTTTTTGATACAAACGAGCCTAAAACACAAAACCATCAACACTTTCATTTGAAAACTATCGCTGCAATTTCTTTTTTCTAAAGTGTTGATTTATGCATCTTCTGTCCCTGCATATCGGCTTTGGATCAAAGATGATTTATCTGCAATATTAAAAAAAAAAGACAAACTCAGTTTCAGCCCAAATAAAAATAACGACATTTATACAGTTTCCTTTTTTTTACATATATATATCTGAGAATCAAATTTCAGGACATTTAAATCAATAAATTGGTGCTAAACGTTGATCTTCAGGTCATTCGTTGATCAACAGCCATGGTTTGGAAAGTGTTGATGACATTTTAAGAAATATTGATCAAATCTGGGAAAAAAAAATCTTATGTGTTGTAAATATGGTAATGTGGTAGATTGCACACAATTTCTAAAACTAACAAACAGTATGCCTCAAATATTTACATGGACACATCAAATAAATTATAAAAAGCTTTTGACTGAAGTTAAAACAATATTTGAAATTTAGTGTGAATTAATTGTTATAAAGTTAATGAAGGGAAAATAATTTAATAACGAAAAAATAATTTAATACATATTTGTACAGTTATGTTTTTTTTTCTCGTTTTACAAAATGACCGAACAAACAAGCAGGAATAAAAAAACTAAAGTAAGCGTAACAGTGACGTATCGCGACGCGCAGTGGCTCCTCCCCCTGCTGGTGTGCGGTGAGTACGGGAAGTTCCGCCCTGTTGTGAACTGGGACAGCAAGCGGTGAGTGGAGGATTTTCTGTTAGCTAGTGGGCCGCGGATGCGGGTTTTAAACACTTTAACCGCGTTCTGAATGAGCGGTAATGCGACATTTAGGTGATTAGAGGTTTGTCTCAAAAGCGGTTCGTGTTTGAGTTTACCGTTCGAACCGTAACGGAGTCCGGGGAGGCTCAAGTCGGACACCGGCAGAAGACAAGGCTTTGACGTGTGTGGACGTCGTTAGCTCACAGCGCCTCTCTCTGCCTCCTACCCGGTGTGGGTGTGTGCGCGCGCGGAGCCGGATTAAACCCCGGTCGGGTCGGTGTTTTCGTGGAGAGGCTTTGTGTCGGTGAATGCTAGCAGCGGCGCCGCGGCTAAACTCAAACCATTCATTGTTCTTCGCTCGTCGACAGCCGCTTCCTCCGCCTCCTCCTGACGCCAGCGCAACCAAATCAGATTAAAATCCGGCTTTGAGTCGATCTTTTGACCTCAGCGGAGCAGCAGCGGGCGGCCGCTGCCGCATACGAATTGTCCCGCTGATTCCCACATCTGGGATGTTTCTGCTGAGCGGAATTACAGAGACTCGTGATTCTGTTGGTTTTCTGGCACTTCAAGTGACTGAACATTAAACCAGTCACGTGATCCATCTCTACTTTCATACAGATCTCACTTTCATTTACTAAACCTCATATTCTGAGGAGCTGGTGTCATCGTTGGACACCTGGACAGGTGTCCGGTCCATCACCAGGGACATTTAGGGACTTCACCTAACACGCATGGTTTTGGTCCGTGGTAGGCACTGGAGGCCACAGGCGTGCATGAGGAGACCATTCAGAAAGGCTGCAGCCAGGATTTAAACCTGCAACCTTCTAACAGTGGTGCTAGAGCGCCTCCACCTGCAGCCTTTCACACAGATCTGCAGGATTAGACGAGTTGAAAAAGAAAAGAACCGCTGAGTGAGACCAACAGAGTGGTTCTCGTTCCCAACAGGCAGGCATCCGTAAAGTTGTCCCAGTCGGGAGGTTCTCTCTGACTGGAGTCTGGAGGAAAACCGAAAGGCTGCTGCTGGTTTGGGTTCGGAGTTGGGCTCATTATTCTGTGAAAAATCACTCCGATAATCTGAAATAACCCGGGGAAGTACTCCCAGAGAAAAAGCGTGAGCAGGGAAAACCCTTTTCACTTCCTAAACTTATTATTAATCAGTAATGATATTAATTACTGACTCATCAAACCCTGAATTAAGTGAGCCGAGGATGCTTTTATTTTATAAACTATATAAATCTGAACGCAGCACAGAGCTGTAAACATCCAACACTTCACTTCTAAATCTAATCTTTCTGATGAATTACAGACGGATCCCGCAGATAATCCACAGAATTCGTTTTTCTCCACCACCTCCATCCTGAGCTGCAGCTATTTTTAACCGGCATCCTCCTCCAGACACACAGCGAGCGACTCCGCGTTCTCAGAGCCAGCGTTTAGCCCACACAGCGATGCTAACTGGTTTTACTGGGAGTTATGGATCTGACAGCTGGTCTCAGAGAAACCGGCGGGTGTGAAGATGAGCGGCGATTAGCGGGAAGCTCGTTCTGATTTCCTGAACTCCTTCCTCTTGTCGTTCCCGTCTTTCACATCTTCATCTGTGTGACTGACGTTCGCTCTCAGCGGTTCCGACTCTTGTTGCTTTCCAGAGTGGATCCCAGGTTGGAATTACGACCCGGATGCTTTTCGGAGCTAAACGCGTGTGAGAAAACATTCTCACAAACGCACCGGTGAAGGTCATTCATCGCCTGTTCTGTAGGAGAAACATTATGAGTCACTTCATCCTGAAGTCAAAGTTATAAATAATGACTGTTTTGCCTGCCGTAGCTCGCTCCTTTTCAGAGAAACAGAGTTTCTGCCCTTCAGGTCAGAGGAAAGTGGGATTTATTTATAACTTTTATACAGAAACACACAAAGAAACGTTTTAAATAAAGAAGAGGTGGAGTTGAGCCGCCTTTACACACAGATTCTCTTCCTGGAAGTTCTTGTTTTTTTTAGCAAAGTGAGGCGTTCAGCGTTGGCTAATTCAAGCCGCTCCTAATGCTCTGCTTGTTCCTGAGAAGGACGGAAACCTCAGAGGTTCAGACACCATTTCCTAAAGTGGGAAAGCCATAAAATCAGTCGAACCGTCTCCTCCTCAGGAGTAAGATCCGGTTCTAAGTGAAGGCAACATGCCGGAGGAGGAGTTCAGGTGTTCTAGTTCCTCTCTGCCTCTGGCTGGAGGAGCTTCTCCTTCTGGTTGTAACACCTCTGAGCTGAAAGCTGCTTCCTGTTCAGCGTTTACTCACCAGCGTCGCTAACAACCGCCTTTCCTCCACACACTCAAGTCACTCATTTACTGCCCATTTGCAGACGTTTGTGCAGTGGATGTGACCTTACACACACACACACACACACACACACACACACACACACACACACACACACACACACACACACACACACACGGCGGGTTAAACGATCAGAGTCTAGCTGCTCTGTCGTAACGACGGTGGAATTTTAACACTCAGGAAGTGATGTTTACACATTAACCTTCAGGTTTCAGTCCTTCGTCTCCTCATCCGCGTTCACCTATTGGGCCGTGCGCCGTCCCCGCCTGTCCTCTTTGTCCTGTCCCACATCATCTGCAGCTTTTACAGCTGGACTTGACTGTAAAACAACATCCTGGTATATCAGCGGCTGAGTGGCGGCGGGCTGCGCTCCATTTACGGACTGCAGTAGAGGAGGGGAGCGTTCCATTTAGATGACAACTTCTGTCTGTCTTACCTTTAGAAATGCGTTTTTGTCATGCTCTGTGCTCTTTGGATAAATAAGTGAATTAATGTGGATTACAGCGTATCCGCGGGTCCTTAAAAAGTCTTAAATGTCTTCGTCTTCGTCTTCCTCCGCTTATCCGGGTCCGGGTCGCGGGGGCAGCATCCCAATTAGGGAGCTCCAGGCCGTCCTCTCCCCGGCCTTGTCCACCAGCTCCTCCGGCAGGACCCCAAGGCGTTCCTGGACCAGATTGGAGATGTAACCTCTCCAACGTGTCCTGGGTCGACCCGGGGGCCTTCTGCCGGCAGGACATACCCGAAACACCTCCCCGGGGAGGCGTCCAGGAGGCATCCTGACCAGATGCCCAAACCACCTCAACTGGCTCCTTTCGATCAGGAGGAGCAGCGGTTCTACTCCGAGTCCCTCCCGAATGTCCGAGCTCCTCACCCTATCTCTAAGGCTGAGCCCGGCCACCCTACGAAGGAAACTCATTTCGGCCGCTTGTATCCGCGATCTCGTTCTTTCGGTCATTACCCAAAGCTCATGACCATAGGTGAGGATTGGGACGTAGATCGACCGGTAAATCGAGAGCCTGGCTTTCTGGCTCAGCTCCCTCTTCCCCACGACAGATCGGCTCAGCGTCCGCATCACTGCAGACGCCGAACCAATCCGCCTGTCGATCTCCCGATCCCTCCTACCCTCACTCGTGAACAAGACCCCGAGATACTTAAACTCCTCCACTTGAGGTAGGACCTCTCCCCCGACCCGGAGGTGGCAAGCCACCCTTTTCCGGTCGAGAACCATGGTCTCAGATTTGGAGGTGCTGATCCTCATCCCAGCCGCTTCACATTCGGCCGCGAACCTACCCAGCAAGAGCTGAAGGTCAGAGCTGGATGAAGCTAGGAGGACCACATCATCCGCAAAAAGCAGAGACGAGATTCTCCTGCCACCAAACTCGACACACTCCACACCACGGCTGCGTCTAGAAATTCTGTCCATAAAAGTGATGAACAGAACCGGTGACAAAGGGCAGCCCTGGCGGAGTCCAACCCTCACTGGGAACAGGTCCGACTTACTACCGGCTATGCGGACCAAACTCACGCTCCTCTGGTAAAGGGACTGAATGGCCCTCAACAGAAAGCCACCCACCCCATACTCCTGGAGCGTCCCCCACAGGGTGCCCCTGGGGACACGGTCATAAGCCTTCTCCAAATCCACAAAGCACATGTGGATTGGTTGGGCAAACTCCCATGCCCCCTCCATCACCCTTGCAAGGGTATAGAGCTGGTCCACAGTTCCACGGCCAGGACAAAAACCACATTGCTCCTCCTCTATCTGAGATTCAACTATCGATCGGACCCTCCTCTCCAGTACCTTGGCGTAGACCTTTCCCGGGAGGCTGAGGAGTGTGATCCCCCTATAGTTGGAACACACCCTCAGGTCACCCTTCTTAAAGATGGGGACCACCACCCCGGTCTGCCACTCCCTAGGAACTGCCCCCGATGACCACGCAATGTTGTAGAGACGTGTCAACCATGACAGCCCTACAGCATCCATAGCCTTGAGATACCCAGGACGAACCTCATCCGCCCCCGGGGCTCCGCCGCTGTGTAGTTGTTTGACTACCTCAGCAACTTCTGCCCCCGAGATCGGACAGTCCATCCCCAGGCCTCCCAGCTCTGGTTCCTCCTCGGAATGCGCATTGGTGGGATTGAGGAGCTCCTCAAAGTATTCCTTCCACCGTCCGACTATAGCCTCAGTTGACGTCAGCAGCTCCCCATCCCCACTATAAACAGTGTGAGCGAGTTGCTACCTTCCTCTCCTGAGGCGCCGGACAGTTTGCCAGAACCTCTTTGGAGCAGATCGATAGTCTTTCTCCATGGCCTCACCAAACTCCTCCCACGCCCGAGATTTTGCCTCGGCAACTGCCACTGCTGCACCCCGCTTGGCTATCCGGTACCTGTCTGCTGCCTCCGGAGACCCACAGACCAGCCACGCCCTGTAGGCCTCCTTCTTCAGCCTGACGGCTCCCCGAACCTCTGGTGTCCACCAGCGGGTACGGGGGTTGCCACCACGACTGGCACCGGCCACCTTACGACCACAGCTAGCAACAGCCGCCTCGACAATCGCAGAGTGGAACAAGGCCCACTCGGACTCAATGTCCCCCACTGCTCTCGGGACGTGGTCAAAGCTCTGCCGGAGGTGGGAGTTGAAGACCGTCTTGACAGGTTCTTCTGCCAGGCGTTCCCAGCAGACCCTCACTATGCGTTTGGGTCTGCCAGGTCTACGCGGCATGTTCCCTTGCCATCTGATCCAACTCACCACCAGGTGGTGATCAGTTGACAGCTCCGCCCCTCTCTTCACTCGGGTGTCCAAAACATACGGCCGCAGGTCAGATGATACGACTACAAAATCTATCATCGACCTGTGACCTTAAATGTTAAGTCTTAAATGTGCTTTTCCAAATTTAAGGCCTTAAAAATCCATAAAAATTACAAATAATCCTCAAATACAGTTTCCAAAGGTCTTAAATTACCAAAGACCCAAGATTCTTTTATTTCTATAAAAATTTCATGAATTTCTAGTGTTCAGCATTTTTTGTGTACGATGTTGGCGTAAGCGGAACCGTACACATTCAGTTGGTTGTGAAAGGGGACTATTTTTAGATGAGCACATTAGCTGGTTAAGCTAGCGGGAGCGTGCGCCATGGGGAAGTGCAAGTGTAATGGTAACTAAATTGAAAAAATAAGAAGTGATTATATCACCTTCCCTATCGCTCCTAAAGGGAAAGAAGTCCAATTTAAAATTTTGAATAAAATTTACCCAACCAATAGACTCCTTGGGGATAGATTCAATATAGAAGCTGGTAATTGTGTATTTTGTGAAACAGAAGAGGAGGACTTAGACCATCTATTTGTTCTGTGCAATTTTATACAAATATTTTGGTTAGATTTTCATGCCTGGCTTTGTTCTAGTGGGATTCAAATTTCCCCATTTACCTTAAATATGATAATGTTTGGAGTGTTTTTGAAAGAAAAGAAAGTTAGTTATGGTGTTAATGTGTTATTAATTTTGTGTAAACAGTTTATACATAAATGTCGATTTTTTAAGACCAAACCAACACTAGCCTATTGGAAAAATGACTTAAAATTATTAGTTAAATCTTTGAATTTAGTTAAAAAGAAAAAGGCTGGTTTGTTTATTTCCTTTGTAGAAGATTTTGAGTTAGTAAGTCAATAATCTGTTAATTAGATGACCCCAGCTTTAGATTTTCTTTTTTTATTGTTTTCTTTTTCATATACGTGAAAATGTTGAATATGCATGTATTGACTATCTTTTGAATATATAATGTTAGGTGCATTTTGTTTGTATGTTATCTTCTTTAATAAAAAAAAAGTGTAATGGTAACTGGATGGCTAATCCCACGTTCGCTACGCGGTTAGCACCGGTTTCAGGCAATAGCTGGAAATTATAGCTTAAATTTAATTTAAAAAAATGCTTAAATTTGGTCAAAGTGGCCTTATAAAAGGTCTTAAAAAGTCTTAAATTTGTCTCCCTTAAACCTGCAGATACTCTGGATTAAAAGACTTTTATTTTGTTAAGCACATCCACAGGAAGGGGAAATTATTTTTAGCTTTAGCTCTCTAATTACCCAAGAGGCCAAACTCGGGTTTTAATGTTATATTTTATTATATTATAAAGTCAGATTTAATCTGATGTAATTAAACCAAAAATAATCTAATTAATTAGAATAACGTCTGTAATATTTACAGGAAATCTGTCACCGAAAGTCGTTTATCTCCTCTAAACTCCCGCCACATGAATTCCTGATGTAAGGAGCCATTTGTGTAGCTTTACTCTAAAACTGACCTGTTTTCTGGTTCCAGCACCTCTATCAGTGTATGTGTGGCAACAACATGTCTGTACCGCTGCTCGCCGAGGCTGTGACGGTGTCTGGAACCGAGAGGGAGACCGCGGCGGTGAGTAGGTCTCCAGTGGAGCAGAAGTCCACGTCGGCTTCTAGCTCTGATTTATCCACTAGATCGAATTTCTGTTTTTAATGTAGACTAAAAGTTAAGATGCTAAATTTAATCTTTTAAAATAATGAATTTCTCTGTTTTTATCATCTTCTGGAAAAACTAACAGCTTAAAAGTTCCTATATTAGAGATCAGCGTTCATCGCTTATCCTGTTTATTCATCAACAATCAATGAAAAACTGTTCAATGAAATTTTATTTATAAAGCGCCAAATCACGACAAATGTCGTCTCAAGACACTTCACATAATAAACATTCCAATACAGGTCAGTTCATTAAGCCAATCAGAAAAAAGTTTCCTATATGAGGATCCCAGCAGGTTGCATTGAGTCACTGACTATTGTCAGTCTTACCATCAATCCTCATACTAAGCAAGCATATAAGCAGCCATCCACCACGACTCACTGGGGATCGAGAAGACAGAGCAGACACACACACACACACACACACTATGGTTACATTGTGATTTCTTAGTAAATATTCTATTTGGTGAGAGATAAACTTAATTGTATTTATCCTAGTGGATCTATAATTAAACGGGTAAACTAGTAGTAGCACATCCAACGTCAAAGAGAGTAGGATGTCATTATCAGGAGAGGGAGAATGTTTAAGTGGTTAGCAGCAGTGTGCTAGACGATGGCCCCCTCCATGAGGCCACCACAGCTCAGCAGAACATCGTTGTAGCTTCTTCTGGGGAGAAAAACACTTAGAGAGAAAATAAAGTTAACAGCTGAAATAGCAGGAAATAATACAGTTAAAGAGCAGACTGTAGAAGAAAGCAGTAGAGTGTGAGAAGTGGTCAGTGTATCCTCCAGCAGTCTAAGCCTATAGCAGCATAACTACAGAGATAACTGGATAACCTATCCTATTTAGATGTAGGCATGTTGGAGGCAGGGCAAGGGAGAGCCGTCTTTACCGACTGTACACTCCACCTCCCTGTACTCCCCCACTTGTCCAGATTTAGGCTAACATCAGATTTTAACCATAGGCCCTATCAAATAAAAATGTTTTAAGCCTATTCTTAAAAGTAGACAAGGTGTCTGCCTCACGGACTAAGGCTGGGAGCTGGTTCCACAGGAGAGGAGCCTGATAACTAAAAGATCTGCCTCCCATCCTAAGTTTAGATATTCTGGGAACCACCAGTAGACCTGCAGTCTGAGAGCGAAGTGCTCGGTTAGGATCGTATGGAACAATCAGATCACTGATGTATGATGGAGCTTGATTGTTAAGAGCTTTATATGTGCTTTATAGGGCTGCATGGTGGCACCGATGTTAGCACTGTTGCCTTGCAGTAAGAAGGTTGCAGGTTCGAAACTCGGCTGTGGCCTTTCTGCGTGGAGTTGCATGTGCTCCCCATGCATGCGTGGGTTTCCTCCGGGTGCTTTGGTTTCCCCTACAGATCCCAACATGCCCTATAGGTTATAAATTGTACATCGCTTTGGATAAAAGCGTCTGCCAACTAAATAAAAACAAACAAATGTGAGAAGAAGGATCTTAAAATCTATTCTGAATTTAACAGGTAGCCAGTGTAGGGAAGCTAAGACAGGAGAGATATGATCTCTCTTTTTAATTCTCATCAGAACTCTAGCTGCAGCATTTTGGACAAGCTGAAGACTTTTAACTACATTCTGTGGACTTCCTGAGAGTAATGAATTACAGTAATTCAGTCTTGATGTAATAAATGCATGAACTAGTTTTTCAGCATCACTCCTGGAAAGGATGCTTCTAATCTTAGCAATATTCCAAAGGTGGAAAAAGGAAATCCTACAAACCTGTTTAACCTGGGATTTGAATGACATGTCCTGGTCAAAGATAACACCAAGGTTCCTTACTTTGTTCTCGGAGACTAATGCAATGCCATTCAGGTCAGGCGATTGGCTAAGCAATTTCCTTTTCTGGATTTCTGGTCCAAAGATGAGAACTTCCGTCTTGTCTTGATTTAAAAGCAAGAAGTTAAGAGTCATCCAATTTTTTATGTCCTCAAGACAAGCCTGTAATCTACCCAACCGATTAGGTTCATCAGGGTTAATGGATAAATATAACTGAGTATCGTCAGCATAACAGTGGAAGTTTATCCCATGCTGTCTAATGATTTTACCAATTGGGAGCATATATATAGTAAAAAGAATTGGTCCAAGCACTGAACCCTGTGGTACTCCACAAGTAACCCTGGAGTATGAAGACGGTTTGTCATGTACATTTACAAAAGGAAATCTGTCAGACAGGTAGGATTTAAACCAGCCTAGCGCTGTTCCTTCAACCACAATCCTACAATCTGTTCAGTCAACCAATAAATCAGTCAAACTATAATAAATCACATTTCTCGGTGTAACAATAAATACAAATAAATATAACAATAAAAGAACAGAAACATTTGCTCCATCCTTAATTTCTACATCTAGATTCAAAAATATATTTCTGCAATTTTAAAAATTAATTTGGTATCAGTATCATCTATGATGTAAGGTATTGTTATTTTATGCCTTGTGTATGTGTGTATATATATATATATAGGCAGAAGCCTAAAGTAGCCTCTAGTGCTGCATTAAGGACTCTGCTCAGGAAGCCCAGGTCCAGTAGTGCCAGCCCTTTGTTCTGTAATGCTCGTGTCAGGACCGTCCCAGCCCGAAGGAGGGGGCTGATGCACGGTTTTATCCTGCGTTAGAAAAGCTCGGATAGCAGAGATGCTGGTTGGTCCCAGTTTTAGTGCAGTGCCATACCCGTCATCCATGTGGAGACACTGGTGTCTTCTATCATTTTTATAGAGCTTTTTATGTTTTTTATTTATTTAATAATAATAATAAAGCTGATGAAGAGTCGGGATGAGTGTTTAACCTGCAGCTCTTTGCCTGTTGCAGGTCATCTTCCTTCATGGGTTAGGAGACACGGGGTGAGTACGCCTCATTCATCACTTGTGAGGTTTTATTTTAGTTTGAACATCAGATGAAAGGAGATGATGAATCTTGACTTTCCTTTTCTATGAAATTGGATCAAATGTCTAAATATAATAATTTTCTGGGTCTTTTTTCTGTTTTTCATAAAACATTTTTATAAATTATTAAGTGTAAAACATTATTCGTGCTCGCTGCACCAGTAGATGCTGAATGCAGAAATAAATAAATAAAGAGGTGAAATTTGTGGTTTACGATAGTAATCCCTGTCTGTTTCCGGTGTTTGACTGCTGAATTGACGCTAACATCATTAATAAGTGATCTTAAAAGAACCATAAGCAGATGTTTTTACTGTTTGGCGTCAGACACGGGTGGGCCGACACGCTGATGGGGATCCAGCTGCCTCATGTCAAGTTTATCTGTCCTCATGCGTAAGTCCTCCTCTTCCTCTCAAAGCCCGGAGTTTGTTCCATGAATAACAACTCTCTCTCTTCCTCGCCTCTGCAGGCCTAAAATCCCCGTCACTCTCAACATGAGGGCCACGATGCCCGCGTGGTGAGTCGCTGCGACGGGGGGGCGCCGCCTTTCAGCTCAACACCGGGTGTCATTGTTTCCCTGGGAACCACAAAAGGCTCCCATATTTCCTTTGACAGTGGTGTGATTGTGCCATCTGGGTGTGTGTGTGTGTGTGTGTGTGCAGGTTTGATCTCATGGGTCTCAGCCCGGACTCTCCAGAGGACGAATCTGGAATAAAGAAGGCAGCAGAAAACAGTGAGTTTAACGCTGAGCCTGTGAGCTTCAGTCAGGTTTGTTTAAGAGGACGTCTAAGAGCAGAAATCCGGCCCAGAAATGTGGACGGAGCAGTAAAAACAGGCTAAATTGCAGAACATGACAGTAAAATACAACAAACACGTTAAATGGAGATCAGATGCGCGTCATTAAAGCATCTGGAGCAAGACTGGTGCTGCTGCGTCAGCAGTAACGTACAGAGTGTGGTGGGTATTTACCAGTGTTGGGAGTAATGCGGTACAAAAGTAATTAATTACTGTAATGCATTGCTTTTTGCTGTACTGTGGTAATGTAAGGCATTACAGGGAAAGAAAATGGTAATATTTACTCGGTACAATTGTCAGTAACGCGGTAATTACAATGCATTTTTAAACCCAGAATCAAGATGCGTTCCTTAAAAATTCAAATTGCGGGAAACCCGAAGAAAGATCCAGTATCTGCATATATTACGTCATTTATGGACTCAGCTTTGCGGGCAGAGAGGACGCCGCGGTAACGGCTCAGCTGCGTCCTGCACGCGGCCGCTGTAACATTCACAAAATCGCTCCACTAAAACAAAATAATTCACTTGCGATCGTTCATATCAGCGCATATTCTCTGGTATTTTGTGCTTTTCTGACGTGCTTTGCCTCAGCTGAGTTCATAATCTGGGCCCCGGTGATTTCAACTCATTACTGCTGGAGCGCCGCGCATGTGTAGATCCCTTTGGCTGATCGTTAGAAAGTAGGAAATCTAGGAAACAGTTTTTCTGGAAGACGGAGAAAACTTGCAGCATGCAGGAAGGTTAGAGAGAGAAAGGGCCGGAAATTATTCAAATAAAATCAAGAAAAAAAGAAAAAAGTAGGTAGATTTATCCCCAATACACATTTTTACCAGTGAAAAGCAATAATATATAAGCATTTAATATTTATACATGTGATAGAATCAGATCACCCCACAAGTCAGTCCCACATCCAGGGCCGTATCAAGACATTTGGGGACCAAGGCAAATATAGGCTTGGAGCCCCCACCACCTCACTCCCTGCTCAGTTAATATAAGATGGCAGCGTGCTGAGAGTACAGATTGTTGTTGTTTTTATTTAGTAAACAATCATTTTAAAGCACTGTTATTATATCTGACTGTTTTTAACAGCAATCCTAGCTCAGACACCACATCACCTTCCACATATATGTCATGAGCTCACTGAGCGTCACATGACCAGATTCATACTGAAGTTGTTTTGGTGAAAGTAACTTAAAGTAATGCAAAAGTAGTGTAATGCCTTACATTTTAAAATCAGTAATATTGTAACGTAATGAATTACTTTAAAATGAGGGTAACAAGTAATAAATAATGCATTACAGTTTTGAAGTAACTTGCCCAACACTGGTATTTACTAGCATAAACATCACCTGCAGCAGCTAAATGTTTCTGTTGAAAGAGTCGTGAGATTAAGCCTAAAGTTGAGATTAAACGAGCTTGAAATCGTTTGTAAACGTGACCAAATCCGTCTGTCGCTGAAACAAACGGATGTTTAAAAGCAACGCTTGGTGTTGGAAAGGAAGACAGGATGTGATCTCATGTGTTTCGGTTTCAGTCAGAGCCATCATCGAACACGAGGTCAGAAACGGGATTCCCCCAGAGCGTATAATCCTCGGTGGATTCTCTCAGGTGGGATTAGAGTCGTGTTTTCTTCGCCTTTCCCACGACGGCGGGGTGTTTGATGAGGTGTGGTGTCTCTGCCTGCAGGGTGGAGCCTTGTCCTTGTACACCGCCCTGACCTGCCAGCACCAGCTGGCTGGTGTCGTCGCCCTCAGCTGTTGGCTTCCTCTTCACAGGAGCTTCCCCTCGGTACCGACCCACTTCAGTGGCTCACGGGCTGGTCCCGCTCTGCGGACTGTGATGACGGACGATAACTCGGGTGTTGCTTTTGCCCTGCAGGCGTCGAGCGGCAACAAGAACCTCCCCATCCTGCAGTGCCACGGGGAGGTGGACGTCATGATCCCGGTGCAGTTTGGCGCTTTGACGGCAGAAAAACTCAAATACATCGTAAACCCTCAGATGATCACCTTCAGAACCTACCCAGGGCTCTCGCACAGCTCCTGCCCTCAGGTACAGCCACCAAGTGTTGGTGATGACTCACCTGCACATCACTCAGCTGTGTAGTTCTTGTAGACTGACGTGCTAACGGCTAGGGCAGGAACAGAGTAGATCCCAGCTGTATTAAACAGGTCTGATGTGGGACGCTGTAGCAGCAAGACTCCGCCTCCCTGAGTTTCGGTTTCAGTTCAGCTTTAAAAAGGAGATTATAAACTACACCCCAGAGGGAACGTGCTTGTGAACATAAAAAACCCACATACACGTGAGATCCTTTTGCTGCTGGTGGAAGTCTCACATATTCAGCTGATAAAAAGCATCATCATGTAGCTGAGAGAGAGAGGAAGGCTGCACGAGTAACGAGATGTGCACAAAAAGGAGTCGCTTGGCGGGGAAAGGAGTGGCGCGAACGGAGCAACAACAAACAATTAGACAGATGTTGACGGTAAACTTCATATTTTGGAGCGATCCGGACAGATTTATGGTCTCTGCAGTTTAGTAGGCGTTTAGTAGGCTTTAATAAAGGATGATGAGAAGGATAAATGTCCACCAGGCGGTTCAGATAGTATGGCTGTTTTTTGAACTGGAAGCAGAGGAAGTGGGCGGAGACTCACAGCCGGAGTCTGAGGCAAATAGTGAGGATGTTGATGAGGATGTGGCAGATCCATCCTTCCTCATAGAAGAGTTGGGTCATGATGAGGTAGAGGATGAAGGTAGAGGTCCAGCTCCTCGGAGATCCAACCAGAGGAGTGGGCGGTGCCGCGCAGCTGTCAGATCTCGAGCTCCGCGGCGTGAGACAGAGCCACTCCCCACTCCAAAATGCATGCACATTATTGCCAAATTAATAAAATAAGTATAAATTCAGATAGTCCAGGTTGTCCTGAAAATAATGATACCCCATAAGGCAAAATTTATTGTTTTTATTAGAAAATACAAAAGAAAAACCAAAATGGGTCAGAAACAGTGATTTACACCCTGGACCCCAGAGGGCTAATTTATTTTATTTTATTTGTTATTTGCTATATTTATTCATATTTTTTATAAATATACAGTCTAGATTACCATTCTAAATTATAAAAAAAAACATTCGTCATAAATGTTTGTTGGTTTCACAGTAAAATAAACAACTTTTTTCCAATTTGGAATTTATGTTTTTGAGTGATTTAAGGTCTAATATGCAAGCCCTTTATGTCCAAATATAAAAAATAAGTATAAATTCATAAAGTCCAGGTTGTGCTGAAAAGATTGAGACCACATAAGGCAGTGGTTATGGTTTTTATTTTGGAAATACAAAGGAAAACTCTAAATTAGTCAAAAACAGCAAATTACACCCTGGACCCCAGAGGGTTAAAAGCACTCACTTCAAACACGATGGAGTCACGCTGGCGCTGTTATGTTGGTGAAGATCCAGCCACAGGTTCTACACGTTGCTAGCTAGGATGCTGTTTCTGCTCTAGGGGCCGGGAGTCTAAGTGCATCAGAAGTTTGAGACAGGATCCAGGATGTTTAGTGTTTGTTGATCACTTTTGTGCAGCGAGGTCCGATCCGATCGTCTGATCTCGTCTCTTACAGGAGATGGCGGCCGTAAAGGAATTTATCGAGAAGCATTTGCCCCGGATCTGACCCCACCTCATTCCCTCTCCGAGACACTGACCTCTGACCCCCGATCTGCTATTGTCCTGCAAGAAATGGCCTTGAGCATCCCCCTCCTCCACACACACACACACACACACACACATACCGCTCAGCAGAACCTCTCGATCGGCCCAATCTGGTCCTCTGAGGGAGAAACGGTGATTCCCACCACACATTCCCCGTTTAAAGCTGAATCCTCTGTTGGTTCGTCTGTTTTTACCTCGTCGTGTTTCTGCTGCTGATCGCCGCCCCGCCGCCGCGCCTCCCTCTCATCTGTTTAAGTTACTGGAGAGCCGGCAGAGAGCCGGAGTCAGAACCCCATCCCAGCTGCAGTCAGAGCCGCCTCCTTCACCAAAAGCACCAGAACCAGCGCCATCTCTGGTTACTCTGGAAGCGAGTGGATGTAGTGTGGCGTTGCTCTCGTTTGTCACGGCTGCAGGATAACGAGGACTTCCAGATGCTTCACCCACGATCACGCCACGTTCTTATCTCACCTGTTAGCCTCGCGCAGCCGCAGATCGTAGCGCTGATCTCCTCCTCGGGTCGTTTATTCAGACTTTCCTTCTAGATTTCAGACGTTTAAAGAGCTAGACTTGGGTCTGACTGCAGCTGACCTGCGGTGCTGGAGTCCGGTCTGACTCGGTAAACTGGGAGAGCTGGTTTTCCATTCCTCTCCCTGCAGCCCGTCTGGCTCTAACAGAGGCCCTTTAACTGAAACACAAGCCCACTGCTTCATTTTAAATTTATTTTCATCATTTCTATGAACAAAATCGAATAACTGATTCATATTTTTGCTTGTATTTGGTTTTTAGCGCTGTATTTTGGGTGTTGAAGTTGTGTGCAGACCCTGCTTGTTCCCTCTTCCCCCCATCAGCTCCCCACCACCGCCGCGCAGTTTGAGGTTCAGGATTTTAATTCCAGATAAAATCCAGACCGCTTTCAGCTTCTGTAATGAGCTACCGGACCCCACAGGTCAGATTTACAGTTAAACTTCATGAAAATTAGACGAGACGCGTCCAGCCGGAAGGTGAAACAGATTAAAGCGTTCATCTTGAACAACTTGTGGCTCCTGCAGAGTGAAACTCTGGTCTTTAATATTTAAACTGTAGGTTTTCCTTAGAATCTTTCCCTCTCGTGGTTCTTCTGCTTCTGCCAGCTGATTTCAAGGCTAAAATGTTTTGGAAGAGGAGGAAAGACGTCTGTTTGACTGTTCACTAACTGATGAATGTTCCCCTCGTCTCCTTTTATCTTTTCCTGTTTCTGATCATTTTTAAGTTGTTTTTGTACGTTTCGTGTTTTCATCTCACCCTGTTTTTGTCCATTTATCATGAGCGTTAGGAAGATGTGTTGAGGTGAGGCTGACGGTCTCTCCACTTACACCTGTCTGCTAATAAAGGACCAAAAAAGAGAAAAATGTCTGAGTTGTGCTTTTTAAAACTCCTTTTACATCCGAATGCACATGAAAGATAAATTACTTCTTCAAACCGGCGCCGTTTCAGTGTTAAACCATCTGATGGCTGTGGTAAATGGCCTGTATTTGATATAGCGCCTTCTAGAGTCCTGAAACCCCCCAAGGCGCTTTACAACACAACCAGTCATTCACCCATTCACACACACATTCATACACTGGTGGGGATGAGCTACGATGTAGCCACAGCTGCCCTGGGACGCACTGACAGAGGCGAGGCTGCCGAGCACTGGCGCCACCGGTCCCTCCGACCACCACCAGCAGGCAACGTGGGTTAAGTGTCTTGCCCAAGGACACAGCGACAGACTGAGCGGGGCTCGAACCTGCAACCTTCCGATTACGGGGCGAGCGCTTAACTCCTGTGCCACCGTCGCCCACATCTGGGCTAGGCCAGAGCGGTGAGTGCAGCCAAGATCTGGGCATCCCCGTGTAAAACTTATCATAACTACTTTTTATTTTACAGAAGTTGTACAGTTACAAAACTCGTAAATGTCGGGGACAACAGAGAGCCCAAGCCACGCCCACCTACGTGCTACATGATGGTCGGAGGGAGGGTGGCGCCTGTGCTCGGTAACCTCGCCTCAGGGCAGCTGTGGCTTCGTAGCTCATCCCCACCAGTGTGTGAATGGGTGAATGACTGTGTTGTAAAGCAACTTGGGGGGGGGGGGGGGGGGGGTTCCAGGACTCTAGAAGACGCTTTATCAAATACCGGATATGTACCATTACTCCAGGTACGTGGGTCTCCCACTGCCCAAAGTGATGAATGGGAGTATATCCGCAAATACAAATAATTTCATGTGCCATGACTCTTAAAGACAGCTGCACAGTGGTCAGCGCCGTTGCCTTGTAGCAGGAGGTCTTGGGTTCACATCCCGACCTCGGATCTCTGCAAGGAGTTTGCTTGTTCTCCCTGTGCATGCGTGGGTTCCCTCTGGGTACTCCGGCTTCCTTCCACAGTCCAAAAACAGGACTGTCAGGATCACAGGTATTCAATTCTGGTCCTGGAGGTCCGGTATCCAGCACATTTTAGTGGTTTCTCTGATTCAACACACTTGATTCAGCAGTGCAGCAGCTCATCAGGCTCTGCAGAAGCCTGTTAATCACCTGCAGATTGAAGTCAGGTGTGTTGAAGCAGAGTTAAAACTAAAACGTGCTGGATACCGGACCTCCAGGCCCGGAATTGAACACCCTGCTCTAAATCGTCCTGATGTGTTATCTGTCTTGTGTCTTTGAGTTGCCCTGCGACGGACTGCTAATCTGTCATGGGTGTCCCCCGCCTGTTTGCCCAAAGACAGCTGGAGATGTGCACCAGCCCCCTGCGACCCTGCGTGGAAAAGCGGGCATAGAAAATGGGAAGATGGAGTATTAAAGGCACGTTTAGATGCTTGTTTTTGACAGGCAGCAAAGGTTTGTGTGAAAAATGCACAGAGGACTCCGACTGCTGGTCTCGCCAAACTTTCGTCATCAAACCAGACACGAGGAAGAGGACAAGAGAAATGATTGGGTGTTAAGCGAGCTTCACATCTGTCTTCCAGGACAGAAGACAAAGCATTAAATGTGAAGAAAACTACTATAAACTATGCTGCCAGCAGCAGCTACGCTGGTGTGGAGGTTTCTTCCTGTTAAAGGGGAGTTTTCCTCTCCACTGTCGCTACGTGCTTGTTTAGGGTTAAGGTTTGCTGCAATCTGCTGAATTTTCTGAGGTAGGAAACTTTTAACTAAGTGGCATAATGAGGAGGAGACTCCACATCCCCTCACCAGAGCAGAGCTGTCTGTGATCCACTGGATGAAGAAAAGTAGAAGTGTTCTGCACCATGGCCATGAGAAAACATTCAACCAATATCTGACCAAACTAACTAGAAATGACCTGTTATTAACCCAAAGTGAACAGGTTACCTGAAGCACCAGCTAGCAGTTCAGCATGCTGATGCAACAAACCCTTTCAGAAATGGTGAAATTTAAACTAAAATTAATTACGGTTTTATTTTTTTATTCATATTTCAATGATGATTAATGAAATGAAATATGTATGAATTAAAGAAAAGTTTGGTCTGGTTTTTAAGTCGGCAGTGAGCTAGGAAGAAACACCACGACAGAAACGGGTAGCGGTAAAGATGAGGGTCAGGGTCAGGTAGACATCGATCAGCTCCACTAGGCTAGCCCAAAAGTGCCAAAACAAGTTTTCAAACGACAAAACATCTGTGGGAACCAATCCGACAATTCTAAATATTTGTGGGGACAAAATGATGTGAGGGGTTGACGATGGGTCAGGGCTCAGGAGCTCTCTGTAAATGGTGGTTGCTGCTTCGTATTCGTGCTTTTCGATGTTTATTCAAATTCAAAAATACTTTATTAATCCCAGAGGAAAATTACTGGTTTAATGAACATGTTAGGCATAGTTCCAGTTGATGGGAAGATTACATGTTTGAAGCTGTAAAGGTCAGCCTCCCACAGTAAATGTTAGGCTTTTTTTATTATTTCTACGTGAAGGAATCATTTCGACTTGATTCTGTCATTCCGTTGGGACTTCTCATTCGGAAGAAGCTCCTCCCTCCGAGCTAAACCAATCAGAGGCTCCTAGTAAATGTGGGCGGAGTTCGTTTCTTCTGGAAAGAAAGACCGACATCCTTCGACCGTTAGTCGCCATTTTGAGGATCTTTTAAAAGGCAACAAAAGACGTTTTACTCCGCTAACCTAAGAGGTTTTTCGTGTTTTGTCGATATTTTCCCACGTATTTAGGTTAAATGTCTCGATTTAACAACAACCGTGGAGCTTTTGGGATGAATCAATTTCAGCCACACCGAGGAGGCCCCGGCGGCCCGATGCGTGGTAGCATAATGGGAAATCCGTTTAGGAACCATCCTTTCCAGCATCCCAATCAAAACCGCAGAGGTGGTAATAACTTCAACAGACAGCCAAATCAAGGTTCCCATGCGGTGCCGCAGAAACCGGCAAATCAGTCGGAACCCATCATACCTCCACCGAGTCCCGGCCCGGCCCTCACGATGAAAGGCCCAATGGAGCAAAAGCAACCAACCCAGGAGCAGAAGAAACCAGAATCTCCAGCGACCCAGCCGAAGGTACAATCCCCACCACCGGTGAAATCTGAAGTAACCACCCCCCAGCCTAACCAGAACCAGCAGGTCAAGTCTTCGGCTGGAGATTCAACCGAGCAGCAGCAGCAAAAAGCAACACCCCAACAAAGCCCGAAACCTGTTCCCCAACAGAAGCCTCAGCCCAGTCCTCAGCAGCCTGGAAACCAACAGACTCAAAAGCCCGGTCCCCAGCAGCAGAACCAGAGGCCCGGTCCCCAGCAGCAGAACCAGAGGCCCGGTCCCCAGCAGCAGAACCAGAGGCCCGGACCCCCGCAGCAGCAGAACCAGAGGCCCGGGCAGCAGCAGAACCAGAGGCCCGGACCCCCGCAGCAGCAGAACCAGAGGCCCGGACCCCCGCAGCAGCAGAACCAGAGGCCCGGACCCCAGCAGCAGAACCAGAGGCCCGGATCCCAACAGAACCAGAGGCCCGGTCCCCAGCAGAACCAGAGGCCTGGTCCTCAGCAAGGCCAGAGACCCACCCAGTCGGAACCTGGGGCTAAACCAGAGGCGAAACAAACTCCCTCTAAAAGTGGGTCCGCCGAGTCAGACGGCGGCCAAGAACAGGTCAGTTTGGACTTTTTACTAATTTTCATGAGTAAGTTTAATGTTGAACCACTGCTGTTTTCGGACGGGCGGGGTAGTCGTGTTGTGCTGCAGTACCGTGCCATTCTACGTCTCCGGCAGACACGGTAGATAAAAACACGCGCACCTAATTTCGCTAGCTTTAGCGCGACGCCATTTTGTGTTCGGATGCTACATGCTAGGTTTGTTTGGTAAGGACAAAGGAAATTATGAAAACGATCTTTTATAAAACGCCTCACAAGATAAAAAAATCACGAGGCACTAAATAAAAATTTATAATATAAACAAATGTATGTGATTAAAATGTAAGGAAAGAAAGGGAAAACTTTATAAGAAAGAGTGAAATTAGTGTTTCCCGGGTAAGGCTGAATAAGTAAGAAGAGCAAAATAAGGTGATGTGGTGACGAAGGTCACGCAATGGTCGGCATGAACAGGTTGCGTTTTCAGCGGCTTTTTAAAAGAGTCCACTGATCTCAGGCTCAGGAGGAGAGGTCCAGAGTCTGGAGGCCTCAGCAGCAGATGATCTGCCACCTTTGGTCTTTAGCCTGGTGCTGCACAACCAGTAGATGGAATAAAGTAGACACTGTGGTGATGGATAAATGTCGATACACAATGTAAGAAAATCAGCAGAATGACATTTTTTCGGTGATAAAACAGTTTTTTGTTCTATTGAAAATGTCTGAGGTACATCAAAAAATAAATACTACTTAAACATTCATGACAGGGGTTCAAGGGGACGCTGTCCATGCTGTTGAAGCCGGGGGAGAAGTCCTACACACAGAGGTGCCGTTTGTTTGTTGGTAACCTTCCCAATGACATCACAGAGGAGGATTTCAGGAAGATGTTTGCAAAATACGGAGAGCCATCTGAAGTGTTCATCAACAAAGCAAAGGGCTTTGGATTCATCCGACTGGTGAGTGGATACGTAACACCTTTAATATAATAAACCCTCACACTTCCTTTTTCCATCATCTATCAGGTGTAAAGATTCAAAATCTCACTCTGGTGGCATTTGTTTGTGTTTCAGGAGTCCCGGGCACTGGCAGAAATCGCCAAGGCAGAGATGGACGACACTCCAATGAAAAACAGACCTCTGCGAGTTAGATTTGCTACACATTCTGCAGCTCTGTCAGTGAAGAATATTTCTCCATTTGTTTCCAATGAGCTCCTGGAGGAAGCCTTTTCCCAGTTTGGAATGGTTGAGAGGGCCGTTGTTGTTGTCGATGACCGTGGGCGCTCCACGAGTCGAGGCATTGTTGAGTTTGCTTCCAGGGCAGCTGCCAAAAAGGCCCTGGATCGATGCAATGAAGGCGTTTTCCTCCTCACCACGTAAGCTCATAATTTGCACTAATTCAGTACGTGATAATAAAACATTAAAATCATGGCATTGTGTTTTATTACCTTCCATTTTAGCTCACCTCGCCCCGTGATTGTAGAGCCTCTGGAACAGTTTGATTGTGATGATGGCCTTCCAGAGAAGCTGACCCATAAGAACCCTCAGTACCAGGCGTAAGCATGTCACCTTTGCACCATACCCTTTTCTCTAAGTTAGTTAAAATAAGCGTAGAAGCACGGTAGAATATTGACGCAGGAGGGTTTGGGGAGTATTTCATGCTTGATTTTCTTTAGTTGCAAAAGGCTGCTTGACCTTTTTGGGGGTGGAGGGGGGAAGAAGCTTAATCTAGCTGTAGATGCTTTTACTGTTGAACACGATTCCAGTTAAGCACCAGTGATTTTAGCGTTTGAGGTTCTGGGATTTCCAGCACTGAATGTTACGTTGACATTAATGTCATTCTAACATATCTTATGCCATGCTTATTGTGTCTTTAGAGAGCGCGAACACCCTCCTCGCTTTGCTCGTCCCGGAACATTTGAATTTGAATACTCTAAACGCTGGAAGTCTTTGGATGAAATGGAGAAGCAGCAGCGAGAGCAGGTGGAGAAGAACATGCGTGAGGCCCGTGAGAAGCTGGAGAGTGAGATGGACGATGCTTACCATGAGCACCAGGCTAATATGCTCCGCCAGGGTGAGTTTCATCAGTGTGGAGCTTTCTAAGCCAGAGCCTGTGGTTATTTGATGTAAAAATCAACACACATGCTCAGTATATTTGTGTTGTATTGGATAGTAGTATACCTTAAATGTTAAATGAGCCGCACTTGTATAGCGCCTCTCAGAGTAAGGACTCCAAAGCGCTTTACACTACAGTGTATCATTCATCCATTCACACACACATTCACCCACCGATAGTGATGAGCTACGATGTAGCCACAGCTGCCCTGGGGCGCTCTGACAGGCTTATCAAATGTGTTGTCTTTCAGAACTTCTGAGGCGACAGGAGGATCTGAGACGTATGGAGGAGATGCACAATCAGGAGATGCAAAAGAGGAAAGAAATGCAGCTCAGGTAGTTTCTCTTTCCTTTAACATCTAGATGCAGCTTTTTAAGAGTAGTTTTTTATTGATCATTAAACTTGGATCATTAAAAACCAGACAAGAAGAAGAACGTCGCAGACGTGAAGAAGAATTGCTTCGGAAGAGAGAAGTGGAGGAGCAGATGCGCCGCAAGCGTGAAGAGAACTACAGGATGGGCAACTTCGTCGATGTAGATATCTGACGACGCAGTTGATGGGAGGGTGTTGCTGTCCTGATCTAACGCCTTGATGTCTTTGTTTTACAGATGGAAAGAGAGATGAGAATGCACACCAGTGGAAATATGAACGGTGAGTTACGGTTTACTCTGTAAATTAGATCTGATTAATAAATATTTAAAGCTTAACAATAACTTCATTGGCTCAGCCATGTGCTGAAGTTGAAGTTTAGGTGAAATAAAGCAGAAGCTGCATTGTTCAAACATCAGCTGTGCTGACGACCTCATCATCCTGTGTGTGCGTGTTTGTGGCGTAGCGGAGTAAGACGTGCCGTGGAATGGACACAAATTATTAGACAGTATTTACTTCTCAACTTTTCCGTGTGTAATCATTTTCTTGAGCCAGAATGTGCTAGAATGAGCCTTTCCTGGGTTGATGAAGTGTCACTCTGACCCCACCGCCCTCTGAAGTTGCAAGTGCGGCGCAATCATTCTGCTACCTTTCGGTGCCCGTGTCAGAAGGGAAGGGGTGTGCGGCTCGTTCTGCTACTGTGCGTCATCCGTGACTGCGGGGGTGGGGGGTGGATGCTTGGGCTGGCGGGGGACCAAGCACCCGCCAGGCTTATGGGGACTTATAATGCTGGGGGGAACCCTGCATTAATCGGCAACATTGAACGTGACTGGAATGCTATGTGATCCAACTTCTGTTAGCATTATGAACTCTCATCCTCCTTACGTGTGATGTTTGTCACTGATTTACTGTTTTTATTCACTTATTTAGACATGTCCTTTAGTGCATCCAGTCAGAAGTTCCAGATGGGTGGACTCAACTTTGAAAGCCAGGCAGGAATGGCATCTTCTCCAGGAGGCCTGATCAACAATGAAATGGTAACGTATCCCACTTTGGGAAGACCAGTAGTAGATTAGTTGTCTTTCCTTTTGGTTGGAGAGACTCCCAGCTGATGGTAAAGATGGAGGTCAGCTGATCCAGAAGGGTTGCTGGTTCAAATCCACAGCTGTCTTTGGAAAGTTGGCTGCTTTTTGAGTCTTTCGGATCTGCTGCCTGGCTGGTAACACACTGCCCCCCCAAGTTCCGTTGAACCAGGCATTTAGTGAAAGATGGCACCATCAGTCTGCACTAAGCCATCAGACACTGCTCTCCAGTGTGTTTGTGCAAACGTCATGTGGCTCTGCTCACCTTTACAACATTTGTACCACAGATCTTTTGCAAGTCCTGTCTTTTGTGAGCTGGACAGGCGCTCATTCAAGTATTTTCACTGAAGTTTCAGTTGAGCTTCTAGAGACTTCATACACTGATGTGTTATTTATTCGTGAAACGGGAGTTTTTAAATCACAAACCGGTTTTGTGTACTTTTGGGTGGGATTGTGGAATCTGGTGGAGTACCTCTTGAGACCTGGAGTAGGGCTGTACTTTAATCTGCTCTGGATACTTTACCATGCCTTTTATCCGTATTGTAACTGAACTCTTGTGATGTTTTAGTGCAGATTGATGGTACAATTTCCTAAATCATGAATAAGTATTGGTAATAAACGATGGGGGCAGGTGCAGCTTTGTGATGTAGAAGTTTTCTGGGCTGAGTTGATCTTATTCTCTTGGACTAGATGGTTGCATAAAGGCTTTTGGATTACAGTCAACAGCTGAAGGGCTCCTCATTATGTTTTTAGCGTTGAAAGTTTGTCAGCTTATCGAACAAAGCTTTAAAAATTCAGTAGTTGATTTTCAACATTTTCTCGACCATCACTGATGACCCTTTAGATGAAAAACTGCCTGACACTTACACTTGCAAGGGTAGTAATGATTTTTGGCAGTCTGCATTTTTCTCATTAATATAGAGCTGCATGACATTGAAAGAAAAATCACATAATTTATTCTAATTTTAATTAAAAAGATACAGGAATTTTCAACAAATGCCCTCGGGAGAACTACACTGGAAGCATCAGCGGAACAGAAGCAGCAAAGTTTACTCATGATAATCGCTGCACTGGGGTTAGGGTTTCACACCGGGAGACTGAGTATGTCGTCCGCCGTTAAACTCGAAAGAAGGGAATCTTGTTTGAGATCGCTGTTTGAAGTCCTATATGATGTTGTTTCCCTCTACTGCCAGGATTGAAGTCATGAAAAACACACACTGATATAAATTAACCCTGAGAGCAGGTTGGGGGCTGGGGGGTGCAGCTGTGGTTGGGACAATTATTACATTAACTGATGGACTTGTAAATAAATAGTTTATAAATAAGGTAGAAATAAGTTCCTCACGCTGATAACTAATAACTAATCTCTCTGAGGACACGGTGCTAGTGCACTCTCCTACAGCACCTTGACACGACTTCAATAAATGTTATGCAACATTTTGTGATCATCAATTTATTTGCGTTTATTTGTTATAAATGCCACTGTATAATTCTTGTTGTCAGTATTTGCAAGATATTGGTATTTGGGTCTGTACTGGTTAGACTTAAATGAGTTAAACCAAGGTCTATAGCCCTTGGGTCATAAACTATGAGCTATGAGTATATTGGTCTTTTTATACTGGGAATCAGGAGTTATTTTACTGATCATCTTGTTTCTTATTTATTTTTATCCTGATTGTGCCCTGAGCAAATTTATGACTGAATAAAAACAAGTAAAATCGACAAATAGAAAAATAATCCTAAATAATCGTGATCTCAATTTCAGTCACCATAATCGTGATTATTGGTTTTGCCATAATCGAGCAGCTCTAGCTACAACCCTTTTAAATGGTCATGTAAAAAAACTCTGGCGCCCAAAGTGTTAACACCGCTGCAATAGACTTTTATTTTGAAAATTACCAGGGGTTAACACAAACAGTGTGTGATTTCCTGTCTAGGTCTGTTATAACTGCAGAAATTGTCTCGTCCCAGAAAGAGAGCCGTATCTTTAGTGGCGCGGCGTGCCGCCTCTTGGACACACTGCGTTGTGTCTGGTTTGAACTGCTCCCATAGACGTTCGGCGCCGCTGATGCTTCCAGTGTGCAGTAGGCGTTAGTAACAACCTGTCAGTGTTTTATGTACCAAGGATGGTAAACGGCCTTCTTCCAGGGGTTATTTTCTTGCTGTCATAATTGTAGATGTAGTAAACACTTTTGTCAAGCCGCTTGGATAAGCTAAATAACAGTTAGAAGCCTTGTCATTCAAAATAGAAAATCGTGACTTTTTTTCAGCAACAAGGGTCCAATTAAATATATAATGGCAAAAATACAAAACAAGCTATCTTAAAACATTTTTTCATGCTTCCTAAAGTTCTAAAATGATTATAAATATATTGTGAAGGTTAAAAGAAAATAATCAAGTGGTTCTCTTGCATTTTTATACAAACCTCAGTCACATGGTTAGGTCCAAAACTAACCATTGGACCAGGTTTCGTTCACATTGTTGGAAACCAACCAATAGACTACATCTCCTTGTACCAGGACGATGTTTCAGTGACGAACCAAAGCAACTGTTGGACCATCCGGTTGTCAGCTGTCAAGCCACCCTGGGTCCTCCATTTATTATGCACTCCCACATTCAGCACTAGAACACCACTGGTGTGAGAGGTTCTCCGCTCAGTAATATCAGAGGAGAAACAGCCGGCTGCTACCACTTCAGCTTCAGGAAAAGCAGCCTTTTAGAATTTCCAACTGTTTAGCACTAGCGATGGGTACCGAATTCGGTACTTTTTAAGGTACCGACCAAATTCCATAGTACCGACTGAGCACCGATTCACGTCATTTGAAACGGTGCCTCGTTTTGGTACCCGTCCTTCATAACGAGAACTTGCCTAGACAGCTGCGCAAGAGCGTTATGTCACTGCGAGCCAGTTGTAAACAGAGCAGCATGGTGGAAAGAACGCACGCTAACGCTTGGGTCCACTTCACTAAATGTGATGGGTAACTGGGTGATGATGAAACCAGCGACAACGATCTAAGTGAGACATCCTCATCTTAATCTGCTCCGGTAGGTAGATAAAATGTTTAAAATAACGTTAGCTTGATATGTTAGCTTCCGTTCCGCTAATGGTGCGTTCGCTTTCTCCTCGGAACTCGCATTTTTTTTCGGATAGAAGAAAATGAATGTGCTCTAAAGTTTGGCTTCACTTTACTAAATGCGACGGGTGATTGGGACAACGATCTAAGTGTGAGGCATCATCGTTTAAATCTGCTCCAGCAGCTAAATAAACTGTTTAAGATAACGTTAGCTTGATAAATTAGCTTCCATTGCCACCATTTTTATCAGCTAATGGTGCATTTGCTTTCTCCTCGGAAATTCTAACTTCCCAGTAGGAAAAATCAAAGAAAAAGGACGGCAAAAGGAATGAAGATACACAGTAAATTTAGTTCACAGTAAAGACGTTTGCTTCAGTTTAATTATCAGCTTATAAAACTACAAGGGCGATGTTACAATACAAACTGTTGTATGTTATTTATTGTGATATTTATCAAATATGGTTATATATTGAGAAAAAAAATTTTAATTATAAAAGAGAAGTAAAATATTAAACACTCAAAAGTATCTAAAATTGGTACCGTTAAGTACCGGTATCGATTCCTAGGTACCGGGAATTAGTACCGAATCGATTCAAATGTCAAAGCTCTGTTGTTTACTCTAGCAATGTGGATTCCAGTATCAGGCAGACGTGGCCCAGGGATGATGGTTGACATCAGGGTTGAGGTTCCATGATCGTGCTCATGTTTAAAAGCTAGCTTGTTTTCCAGCTTAAATGTCCTTCTAATAAAATAAGTTTTTCCACTACAAGTCTTCCATTGACAATCCAACATAACGAAAAGCTTACACACTCAAATCAACTTCAGACATCCTTCATTCAAGTTATCGTCACAACCACCATTAGTGTACTTACATTAGCTTCAAACTTTTGATTTACACCTTTCCTGATGCTCCAGCAGAAACCCCCTCCAACAACACACGCACGCGCACACACACACACTCACTCACTGCTGGGGCAAAACCTTCAACTATTGCCAATGGGTAAAAAGTGCCCCCCTTCTATTGTATGTTGATTGTCGATGATATTTGGAAACCAAAAACTCAGATTCCACAAACTGATTAAAAATGATTTTTGTTATGGAGGGTCGCTGCATGTCAGGTACCTGTAACATTAAGTCATTGAGTCCAGCGTTGATCGAGCATACGCATGTTGTCGATGCTCAAATGTAACATCGTGCAGCTCTACATTAATGGGAAACGTAAGAAAATTTAACTTTGTTGTTTTAACACTTTAGAGATGCACCGATTCTGCTAGTTAAAAATGTGTTCATTGTGCAATAGTCACTGTGTTTTTTTTTATTATGAAATGGGATTTACTGGGAACTCCCCCAGCTGCAGTGCTTGGTTCATTTAGATATTACAATATAAAACATCACTATGTGCCGGGGCGTCAACGCTCTCTGGTACTTTAATGTGGTTGTGTATTTGTAAGTGATCCGTCACACACTATCGGTATCATTAGCAGCGCAGCTGCGGCGTTACCTAGCTAAAATACATCCACACACCTGAACTGTTGGGTCACTACAACAACGTCATTAGCTGTCCTGTTTTTCCGTTCTGGGTGCTTTTGTTTATTTTTACCAGCTGTGTCTTACCCGTCACCTGCAGCAAGAGGTTCCCGCTACATAAACATTAGCCGTTAGCAACACATTGATTGGTCCAGTGTGGAGCGACACATGATATGATTGGCCGTTAATCTGTTGATGCCATTAGTTAGAAATAAAATCTGAGTCATAACTTTCTCATAATTTAACTACAAAGTCAGTCGGTGCATCTCTAGAGTTATGCTCAGTCACATGGTGTACTTTTTAATTACTTATTTTCTTAGTTTTGGTTGTAATTGTGGTGTCTTGGTAAAAAATGTATCAGTTTTAGTGTACAGTTTTAGTCCTGTTTACACATACATGGGCGTTAAATTAGCTGGACTTGCTGCGTCATTTGTTTTTACCAGATGCTGACATCAATCCTACACAGAAATAATCATTGTTTTTGGCTCTCTCCACCATGTGACACTATTGGCTTACTGCATTTGTACATCATCCTACTTTTTATATTGGCTGCTCAACTAAAATTTTCACAATAATTTCTTGTTTGACAGATTTCAGTACAAGTTTCTTTGCTCTTCATAACGTAATTTTTATACATACAAAATCGGATATCTTTCACACAGACTTTCCCTTATTGTAAGAAGTTGGGCTGCGTGTGTTCATGCTGACCCGCTGAGCAGTAAGCGCTGTAAGCTAGCCTTGGCATGCACTGGAGAGCAGAACAGAGCAGAACTGATGAGCACAGACTAACGAAAACATTACCCTCTCTTCCTTTTCCGTATGTAACCTGTGGCGCCTGTGGATCTTCTATTGGAACGAACTCTTTCATCGGATGTGTCTCCTGCTGGTTGTTGTATAAACCACCTCACAATATAACAAACCACATGTTTACACACCTCCACATGGACATGAACTGGTGCTTTCTGTGCACTGACCCCTCCTCGTCCTGTACTTTATTCCTCACCCCCTCCGCTCCATTCAAACAGCGCAATGAGCGCTTCTCCCAGGGCGGTGCTAGAGGAATGGGTGCAGGTGCCGCTGGGTTTGGCAGGGTCCGTGAGGAGTTTGACGGTCCTGTTAAGAAACCCCGTTTTTAAAGGCTGCTTTTTGAAGCTTCCAGCAGCACCACTTGTATAGAAACACCAAGACAAACATAAGTCGTACTTCCTGTATTTAAGTTTGAACTGTTGCATCGTTTTAGTCATTTAGTTGACTGTTTTTTTAAGTCAATATTTTCCTCCTTTTTAAAAAAAATGAGTTAGAATTGTTATTGGTGTGGAAACTGGTCACCCTGGTGTGATCCAGTTGTTCGTTCTGATCATGTATCCTGTTCCTTTCTAGATGTACATTGCTATGTGAATCGCCGTGAAGTGATAACTGTAACTTTCCTGAACCTCCCATGGCTGTGTTTTGTGCCATAGATTTGGAGTTGAAGCATGATTAAAATAAAGACACACTGGTTCTATCAGGAAACGGTTAAATTTTATTTCTAAAACTCATTTAAACACAAATTCACTGTCTCAATAGTAAACATGGACACATTGTGAGTAAGTTTAGCATGTTGAGTCTTTATAGGATTCTTATTTCCTCCATCAGTACTGAACTGTACACTTTACGGCTATCATCATCAGCTGGGCTTATTATACTTAGAATAAAGTAATAGTCAGGAATAAACCAAGTTACCCACACCCTGATGTAGATGTTGGATATTTTTCAGCAATATCAGACTCAAAATACAGAGGTCTTATGTTTTTAGGGTTGATCCCGACACGTTTAAATGAAAGTTACCGTTTTGCATCAGCGGGGAAATAAGCTGCTAAAACACACAGCTTAAAGGACCAGCAGCAAGCTTCCTAGTCTGGAGGATTTCTCTCCACCTCCTTCACCCGAGTAAAGAGAGAAAAGGTTTTAATGGACGAGCCGTAGAGGCCGACCGATATGGGTTTCTTGAGGCTGATGCCGAATAATTTGTCGATGGCCGAGATTTAAGGCAGACATATACGTTTTTGCAACACATTGGTTGCGAAAGACAACTGAACACTCACTGTGTGCAATATAAATTAAATGGGTAAAAAATCTCTTAATATTTTTTGAACTTCTAATAGAAAACAAACTCAAACCATTGAACTGTGTTGGGGTCTTTCGGGTCCTTTCTTCAGTCTAGAGGTGGCGGCAGTTGGCAAAACAGGTGCCTGATTTCTTTATTTTCGTCAGCCCTTAAAAATAATTTTGGTCGATACAGAAAAGATTGAATAGATCTGCTCGATTTATTGATCGGCCGATATATCGGTTGGCCTCTACTTGTGAGTGGTCAAGGCAGCTGAGGGCGAAGCCGAGACTGAAGTGCATTACAGCCGCATCAGAAATGCTGGCTAGTGTCAGAAGTCACTGCTTAGCCAATAGCAATGGCTGATTCAAATTTCCATGTAGAGCAGACTTTTAACCTGAAGAGGGCGCTACACTTATGGCAGATTATATTTTAAATACGATGCACTAAAAATTCGAAACAACTACGCACCTCTACTGAACTATTAGACACTCGTTTATACAGTTAAACAGAAAAAAGTAGATTTGGGGGCGACTTCCTCTGTAAAGATGTGCTTTGAGACGACTGACAAACTCGCATAGCACATTGGTCTGCTCACACTCACTAGGCTTGGGCGGTATCCAAATTTCATTACCGTCTAGTTTTCTCCACATTTTACCACTCAGTACGGTATTACCGGGGCTAGTTTTAAAAATGATGACTTAAGCCTTAAATGGCTGTATACGCTTACCAAACAACTGATTTGGTTCTTCACTGTTCAGAAACCGAATAACGAACTATTACGAAAACCCGCTTTGGTGAGCTTGTGGCGCCGACACACGGGGGGCTGTTCCCATCATCTGGGGAAGGCTGGCAACATGTTTTCCACCAGAAAAGCACATGGTTGTCTCTTAATTAATTTATTGCCATGGACGGCAAAAGTCGTTAATTGCTTTTTTATACTAGGCAGACACCAGAACAAGCCCCCACACTGTGAGAACAAACTGATCTTCATCCGCTACTGTCACACGTCACGTGATCAGGAAGCAGAACATCCAAAAAAATAGGCGTGAACCAGAAAAATTTCCGCAGCTCACAATTCGACAACAGATTATGAAAGACTGGATAACGCTAGAAACATGCTCGCAAAGCAGTGAGTCTGCACTTTCTTTTGGTATTTTAGTTGCTGACATCATCATAGAGCACAATGTTCTGTGACTCTTCAAAAAATAAAAAACAGTAAAAACGCTCAAACGCTGGCGGCCAGGGGCATTTTCCCAGGAAACGGCTGGCAGTTGATGAGCCAATAACAGGCCTAAGACAGAAGTCTATTTCACCTGCAGCTCGCTCCTCGGCCATTGCAACGGGGCGTGCATCTTTCGCGGTCATCTTTTGTTTGCAAAAATAACCTCATCAGTGTAAGTTTCTTCCAACCAGAAATACTCCCCCAAAGTTATTTTTTAGAAACCGTCTGGCACGCGAGCTGCCACCTCTTCTCGGCTCAGTTGTCACGTGATGACGTTCATCAACTTCATGGAACGTCTAGAAGTTGGACAAAATTGTTAAACTTTTTGTAAATCTAAACAACGCATCAGTTTTATACATTAAATGATTTATTTATCTCATTTATTTTTACTTGTCTTTTTTTTTTTTTTTTTTTTTTTCCCATGACTGTATTGGGACTTACGTGGGTATTTTGTAACACCTGCTGTATACGGTAATGCTGCTCAAGCCTAACACACACACACACACTAGAAGCTCTTATAAGACTTTCCTGACCTGAATCCATGTTTGCCTGTAGTTCTACTAGTAAGAAATAACACTGAGGAGTGTCTTCACATACAGTCATAAGTTTTTATTCACTCCTTTTTGATTATCTACTGCTACACCGTCCTCCAACCTCCTCAAAGACTCCTACTTTTTGCTGCTTTTTCCTTTTTCATCTTATACCAGTGAGTTTTTGTCCAGTGGGAAGGAATTTGTGCTGATTTTTTTACATCACAGGGGTTTTATTTGTATCCAGAAAAACCGTAGTCAAAAGTCACAAGTCTTGTTATTTTACCAGAGTAGTTTGAGGCACTTAACGTCACCAAGTCGGTGGTCTCATGCTTGAGTTTAGAAGTGACTGATCTCACATTTCACTTGATCATAATGTTGAGACTATTAGGAAAATTCAAAGTGAACTCAGTCACGAGTGGGAGGGGGCCAAGTTGGATTTAACATAACGCTGATGAAAGCACGGAGAAATGTCTGCCTGACGTTTGTCATATTACACCTGATTGTGCTTTTCCCACGCTGCTCTTGGTTTACTCCATGTAGCAGTTGGTGGCTGAAGAAATCAGCAGAGAATCCTGCTTCTTCACTAAAGCGGCCATTTTCTTGACCTGTCAAATCGAGACACTCTTATTGCATCACAAATCTTCTGACAAGCCGTAAAGTTATAGATGAAAACACACAAATCAAAACTATGCCTCCAACTGCAGTTGGAGGAGCAGTTGTTTTGCACTAGTGTTTTATTTTTATATTGTACTTGTACATTCATGTGCTTGCTTAAAGCAGCCCAGTGACGCAAGGTTCCCTCAGCTGTCCTTTTGTTGGTGTCATCATCCGCTGGTTGGAGCTGGGACCCAATCCTCTGTTCAACAGTCTTCCTGCCTAAACCAGGGTTGTTGGTAGAGTTGGTCAGACCACACAGTCTTGATCAAGAACTTGTGGAGAATATGTTCACACAAACTGGGATAAGACCAAAGCTGGAAGCTTCAGGAGAAAAAAAAAGAGATAATTTTTGTGTTTTCCACCATGGACCTTTTTGAGAAACTTCAGTTCCAGTGCAGTTTCCCCATCATCAATCTGAGCATTCGTCCTAATACTACCTGCTGGTGTGTGCAGTTTTATTTTTATTTTTTTTACTGCTGTACTGGTAACTTCCCCCATGATGCAACATTCTCCCACCTGCTCTGGCTCGACAAAAAGTCATGCTATCGCTTCAGTAGAAGTATCTAGAAGCCTTCCGACACACAAACCGTCTGTCAGAGTTGTATGGTAAGAGGACATAGCCTGAACGAGACAGTAAGTAATCTTGAATAAAGTGTTTTGAGTGCATCATTAAGTCACTTTGCTGTAGTTTTGCATTTTAGTGATTACTGATGGTTTGAGAATGTTTTTAATGAGACATGTTTTACCCAACAGATCCTGGCACCTTATTTTCAGACACTATTGTTCAAATCTCAGTATTTATTAAAACCTTTCAGAAGGATTAAGTAGATTTACACTTCTGGTATTGGTTGTTTGGTGCTTTGATATTATCTGGAAACAACCAATTATTTTGTTTGCAGTTGACCGTAGATTATACTTCTACTGTAATAAAATAAAACGTAAAGAAGTCAAACTCTGAAAAGTTTTATATGCTAAATGACATTAAACCAACACAAAACCACGAACAGTAAAAGCAGAAATAAATGGAAAAGGGATGCCCTGGTACCAACATCTGGTTCGATGTTACGGTCCATACTTGTAAAAGTATTCTTATATCCCTCATCATTGGTTCTGATCGGCAAAATAAATATTGGATCTGGAACGTGAATGTTCAGCTCCGTCCTTTATGGAAGGCTGTTGGATCATATAACCAAATTTAGCCTGAAAAGCCCAGTGGCAAGTAATTTATATATTTAATGATTTAGTCAAGAGTCATTTCCCTTCTCTGACGTTTCCGAATTAGCTGATTTTACTCCCTCCTGTTTTACTTTCCATTTTACATAAGACCAGTAGAGGCTGACTGACATGGGTTTTAAAGGCCGATGCTGATTTTTAAAGAATTTTGTTGCCGATATCTAGAGCCGGTTATTAGACCGATATTCTTACGTTTTAGCAGCGCAGTGATGGTGAAAGACTACTGAACACTCACTGTGTGCAAATAAAATCTCTTAATATTTATTAAACTTCAAATATTAAGGCTGCATGGTGGCACAGTTGTTAGCACTGTTGCCTCGCAGCAAGAAGGTTGCAGGTTCGAAACCCGGTTGCAGCCTTTCTGCGTGGAGTTGCATGTTTTCCTCCGGATACTCCAGTTTCCCCCACAGATCACATCATGCCCTATAGGTTAAAAATTGTACGTCCCTTTGAATAAAAGCATCTGCCAAATAATTAAATATAAACATAGAACAAACGCTAAACATAAAATGTGCGTTGGGGTCCTTTGTGTCCTTTCTTCAGTCTAGTAGTGGCAGCAGTTGGCCACACAGGTGCCTGAGTTTTTGTATTTATTTTTATCGGCTTTTAAAAATGATTTTGGCCGATACAAAAACAATTAAATATTGGCCGGCCTCTAAAGACGATCAGATTAAATGAAACCAACTTCCGTTAAATGTAATGTACTAACCAGACAGCCATTTCTGGTGTTGGATCAAACTTCCTGTAAGATCACATCAGTAGAAAAACACTGAATTCATGTGACTTTTATGAAACATGGAGGAATTCCAGGAAGCGAGTTTAGAACATCGGGTGCCTCCTGATAAATCCCTGCTCGACAAAGCGCTCCCCTTCCCTCCAGGTTTCGCCGGCTCGAGGTCGCTGAGTTAGCCTCAACTAAACTTATCATGTCCGACACCATAAAGTGATCATTGGATAATCAAATAATCCACTGTAGCACTTTAAAAAATTCCCTTTGTTAACCGAAGGTTCTCCAAGTCTGATCGCCTTAAATAATGGATTATTTGACTTCCTGAACCATATATATGAACCTAGTGCTGTTTTTATATAGTAGATCATCACAATGATGCAGAACAATAAACCTGATAATTATATTACCTTCAGTTATTTGATGTCTTAATTTAACCCAACAAGCTTTAATATACCCAGTATGACCCAGTATATCCAGTATAAATAAGTCATTTACTGATTTTTGTCACGAAAATTCATTCATAAAAACTGAGATGAACTCTTGACATAAATATAAAAATATATAAAGTATTATTAAAAATGGGAAGAATCCATATGGCATCCAAGTATGTCTAAAAGCATTGTTTCTTTTTTGGATAACATGTATTTTTTAATTGGATTACACATGCATTTATTTGCTTTTTTGGTCATTTCCAGGCACCTAATCCAGAACCGCTCTGGTTATGTTTGAACTGAGTGTAAATAACTCTATGATGACTGTTTGTTGGTGTTTTTGTACAATTTGTTTGTTTCTTAACAGGTTTGACCACCTTTTTATGATTCTGGACTAAGAAAGGATCTTTCCTGACCACGAGATTCTGAGATTGTAGCGTCGGTTTGAGCAGATCCCTGATTGTTGTGGCTTCAGTTTGACTTTTGTCAAACATCTGAAGACTAGTTGTAACATTTTATTATAACTACTTTTCTACATTCTAACAGCTTATAACTTAGTTTATGATCAAAATCAGAAGTATACACTTGTTACTGATTTGGTTGGACGAGACCCAACCCAACATTAAAAGTTTTTTTTTTTGTTTTTTTTTTTTTTTTTGCCTTCAGGCACCAAGTTAATTTACCGTATTTTCACGACCATAGGACGCACCGTGTTATATGGCACAGCTTCAGTTACAGGTGTCTTTTTGGTATTTAACACGTACAAAAGGCGCACCGGGTTATAGGGCGCGGGCGCTGGCACGGTAAAACGTACCGGATAAACATCTGTGCGGGCTCGGGACTCGGAACATATCAGTGCAAACCAGACATTGTGAAAATTATAAACAGCCAAAAGTATGCTTCACTTTACTGTTCTAGTCCTGGTTCAGACCTGGTTTAGAGCGCACGTGCACTTCCTCATTGCGTGCGCTGACGGCTCGTGCTCTTCTAATGGGCTCGACACACGGGAGGAAACTTCGCCTCCCCTCCATTCATTTTCAATGAGACACGCGTGACAAAGCGATAATCGCGGGTCTCCCTCCTACTAGAGCCGGGCGTACACCGGGAGTGCTGCAGGAGGACACACAGGGATTTATGGGGTTGGATGAGGAAAACGAAATAAAGTAAATCTGTGTTTTGTGATCAGTTTAATTTGACATGAACACGACAAACGCTTTCTTGACAATCTTTGTGTAAAAGTTTAGAAATAAAAACGAACAGCGTGTGTTATTAGGGAAATGGGGGGCGAGCGGTGTTGATGCAGGATTGCGCCGTGAGCAGTTCTGGTACTTTTTGGGTCGCAGCTGCTCGCAGCGCCGCTACAAGCGCTGATGCACTGTGTTAAAGTTCAGAATGTGTTTACCGGTAGTTGTTGGATTTAACCAAATAAACTTTCCACGTGAACAAAATCATATGTGTGTTATTAATAGGCCTAAGAAAATGGTGTGATTTAAATTGTGTTTTATTAACCCTCTGGTGTCCATGGACGCGTATCCGCATCTTGAACAGGTCTGATTTGGGACGCTGTAGCAGCAAGACTCCACCTCCCTGAGTTTCGGTTTCAATTCAGCTTTAAAAAGATTATAAACTACACCCCAGTTTTTAAATGTTGTTAATAGGCAACGTAAAAGCGGAGTTATACTAAACTAAAAAACAACCTATTTTTAGACAATCTGATAACTTGTCAAAACAGCAGTTTAGTAATCCGTGAGGGGGAATGTGCTTGTGAACATAAAGACCCACAAAAACATGAGATCCTTTTGCTGTTGGTGGAAGTCTCACGTATTCAATTGATAAAAAGTATCATTATGTAGCTGAGAGAGAGAGGAAGGCCGCACGAGTAATGAGATGTGCGCAAAAGGAGCCGCTTGGCGGGGAAAGGAGTGGCGCGAACGGACTAACAACAAACAATTAGACAGATGTTGACGGTAAACTTCATATTTTGGATCGATCCGGATAGATATATTTAAGGTGCGTCTTATGGTCGTGAAAATACGGTAAACCATATTCTGTAGGTAATGTCATTTTAGTAACACTTTTTTTTTTTTACTCCTGATCACAGTGAGATAAAGAAAATGGCTACTTTGGCTTGGTTGGTAAACTGAGCCCTAGTTTTTATTACATGTATTTAATGTAGTTAAACGTTTAGTTATAACCGATCTGAAACCTGCTGTTTTTGGCTCTTGTCTCTGATTGCCAGAGTCTTTGTAAAGAGATCAGAGGACTCCAAAGTGCTTTACACTAAAGCCACTCATTCATCCTTTCACACGCTGGTGGTGGTGAGCTACAGCACACAGAACTGAGGCTGCCACACAATTGGCACCTCCATTTCTTCTGACCACCATCACCCAACAGCAGCAGACAAGGCAAGTGACCCGTCTTGCCCAAGGGCACAACAACTGACCTGGATGAAGCCTGGGTTTGAGATGGCAACCTGCTGGTTATGGGGCAGAGTCCTAACCCCTGATCCAATGTTGGACACATTTATTGATTAAGAACGGCAACCACCACCATCAACTATTTCTGAGCTTGTACAAACTATTTGTCATCAATGACCTAATGGTAGAGTGTCTGCCCTGGGACTCTGAGATCGGAGTTCAAATCCCGGTCGAGTCAAACCAAAGACTTTATTTTATTTTAAAAAGGGAACCCAACACCTCCCTGCTTGACACTCGGCTTTAAGGTGTTGGATTGGGGGTTAAACCACCAAACAGTTCCTGAGCATGGCCGTGTCCGCAGCTCACCGCTCCCCACAGGGATGGGTCAAATGCGGAGGACAATTCACCACACCACACCTGTGTGTGTCGACTATGGGACTTTAATTCTTAAATCAATGAACAAGAAGACTCTTGTACCTAAAATTTTTATAAAGTTTCAGATTTTCCTAAGCAGCTTTCTCTTGGTGGAAAGAGCTTCAAGTTCTACAAAAATGTTTAGACATTCACTGTACCCAGATTTAGAAAACTATTTATCTTTCAGTTCCTGGATGCTTACACGCAAGGTGTAAAACATCCTGGGTTACTTGCAGCATGCCTTTGTTCTTCAAATACCAAACAGATTTGTTTGTACCAACATGACCGTTCAAAAATCCAGTAAGGGGATATAAATGGTTAACCAATAGATTGCAGAAGTTTTTGGTGAGATTGATTATTAACAATTTTTATAGCACTTTCCTTTATCCAAGAGAAGAACCAAAGTGCTATACACGCATAGAAATAAAGAAATTCAAATTGACAAAGAACCCTGAAAAGGCCAACAAAGATCTACATAAAAAGAAATAAAAGCCAGATAGAAGATGGATAAAACGGGATGAGGGACAGCTCCTATACATCTAAAAACATAACTAAAGCGTGTGGTGAGTCTTTGTCTGTCTCTAAAAACCGGCAGCGAAGGCGCTTGCCTTGCCTCGAGTGGAAGGCGATTCCACAGCTTAGGAGCCAAGACTGAGAAACCCCGACCTCTCTCGTCTACCTTCGTACCTGCACTAGTATGTGGACAGAAATTATGGGAAACATGGGATTAGTAGTAGTTGCGATGGACTACTGTCTTTAAGTGTGCACGTGAGTCTAGCGGCTTAACCCTAGGCAAAAAAGATGGATGAAGCAAGAGTGCACCCCATTTGTATGCATCTCTAACTTAAGCGAGTCATCCAACTTCATGCCCAGATAAGTGACCAGATCATTCTAAAAGGGGGTCAGTGAAGAGAGGTCAGTTTCCTGCTTTGAGACTAGATTAACACTCGGGCTAATATCAATGACCTTTTTTCCTTTGTTGAAGCTTCAAAAGCTAGAAGCCATCCAGACTTTCACCTTAATAGAGGCTGCAATACCCTGTTGGAAGGAAAATAGATCTAGCAAACGTCAGCACATAGATGAAAATTGACCTTGTGCTTCTGATGAAGGGAACCAAGGTGCAACAGATAGAGGGAAAATAATAATGGACCTATAACGACCCCTGTGGTACCCCCCAAGAGGCTGGCATGGGAGGAAAAGAAGTCATCCAGCTTCACACAGAAGCTTCTTCCATAGAGGTAGGACCTAACCCACTCCAGGGGATATCCAGTGATTCCCCCCCCCCCATGACTCAAGCCAGGATAACACGATATTGTGGTTCAGAGTTGAAAGCTGCTGAGAGATCTAGTAATGGCAGAGTCAGTGTGCCTGCATCATTGGCTAAAAAGACATTTATTCAGCCTTATTTGTGGGATTCAGAAGATTTGACTCTACAGATATCTATAAAGCACTTAAATTCAAGCCCAAGACCAACGTGCTTAGGTCCAGTATGACTGATCTGATTTTATTCTGACATTGATCAGGTTTATAGTGCTGTTGTGTCAAAGTACAATAAACGACCCAAAGCCTAACGCAAGAAGAGCTGGCAGAGAATCTTTTATTTTTCTTGCAGTATGTGTTGATTTAACTTTACATGCTGCGTTGATACATTTGAGGTAAATTTTTTGTTAAGTTTTGACAAAGAAGTGATAAACCATGACTTTAGTTTGAATGATCGACTGTTGGAGGCCAGGCTTTTCACTAAAGTAAAAGAAAAAATGTGACTGGTTTCAAAACTAAAGTATCGAAGTGTCGTAACTTAATAAAATGGCGTTAAGGGCAAAAGCTTAGACCAACAGCACTGCCACACCTCTCCCAGAAACCGTTTTACTGAAGGGTATGATGATTGTAATCTTACATGAAGTACTAATGTGGGATAAACTAGGTTACTTGCTTCTTCTGCATATATGCCCAATGAAACTTGATGCATTTTATTGCAATGCAAAAACACTAATGAACCATTTGAATGGTACAAGCAGTCAGATGTTGGAAGTTATTGGTATTCAGTTCTGTTAATTATATAGCGCCAAATATCAAGAGGAGTCACCTCATGGCGCTTGAACATTCCAATACATTTAGTTCATTTTGCCAATTTTATCCACCTTGGTGGTTTACTTGAATGCATTATTTATTTTTTTATGTTTTTGTGACGAGACTAACTTAAGAAGAGAAATTAAACAATTTTTTAAGTGGAACTAAAAAGTCGGCAAATTGATAATTACACTAGTAGACTTAGATGTCCACATATTCCACTTAAAGTAATGTGAGGTATTTGTACTTGATTACTTTGCTAGGGATCCACAATATTCCAATTTTTCAGAACCAAAAACATAAACGGCTGTTTGTTTGGCCCGACATCCTCAGTTACAGGTTCTGTTATTTTACCTGATTCGACTCTGAATAGTTTGTTTAAAATATCCTCAACAAACTTAAGGTTACAACTTAAATCCCAGGGCTAGTAGATCCGAAAATCAGAGGCTCGTTTCTGATTGGATGTAATCACTCAGCCCCGCCCACTAAGAGAATTTACTTCTGTTATTGGTAGCAGAACTTTAAAAGTTCTGATTGGCTACTTTAGAACTGAGGTTTAGGCCCAATCCCAATCCCCACACTTCCACCCTTGTGCCCTTCAATTGCACGATCTCAACCAGGGATGCGAGTGCGTAGGGTGAATCAACTCTCAAATGCAGAAGTTGATCACTCCCCTTTTGCACCCTTGATCCGACCTTCACCCTAGTCTGCATCGCAGCGGACTCAGGTGAAGGTTATTACTCACAATCCATTGCTGCGGGAGAAAAGACTCAACAAGGGCCTTTTTATATAACAATTAGTTGATGCCCTGAAACTCTTAGACAAAGCAGCAATAAATGTAATTTTATTTATTTATTTTTTCAAATTTGTTGTTTAGTTGAAAGTTAATAAAGGTTTTTAAAGAAGAATCACAGCGACCAGAATCCCAGCATGTGTTGCACTTGATGAGGCAATGCTTCCTGTCTAAATTCTGCTATTATCTGCACACTTGTGTACTACGTACAGCGCACTTTCTCCAAGTGCACTTTCCTGAAGACGGCAGTGCGAGTATTGAGATTGGGTCTTAGTTTATACTTACACTTAAACACCTAAGTAAGTAAACTGGTGTCAACCAAAGATGTACCTGCAATGATCAGCTGACCTGCCAGGCAGTGTCTACGCCTCCTGCTGTCTTGGCAGGGTATTGCTTCACAACGCTGACACGCCAATGGAGAAGTAAAAACGCCTCCATCAAAAGGTGTGAGCGCAGACTTGCTGACTGAGATGTATAAACTAGGGTTGACACCGTAGAACTGCCTTTTATTACCTCACAAACCCTTTCTGTAAAGTATCAGAATGTTAATACCAGAGTAACGGTAGTTCCTTTCTGAGATGGTCACCTGAATCAGGAACTTGAGGACCCCTCTAACAGATAAACTCCAGTGTTTCAGTTGTTTGTAACACTCCCTGAGGCAGGAGCTACCTGTAACTTAACGTCTGAAGGACAGATGCTGTGTTGTCTGTGTGGTTGAGTGTTTCTGAGGTTCAGTAGCTGCTGTCAGCCAGCTTGTCACAGACAGGCTGCCCCGGTCCACCGTACATGCTCTTCTCTACAGTTGGGTTACTTTGACGATGAGTAGTTCTGCAGAAGTCAGTGGACAGTAAAGCCTGCAGCCAGAGGTATGCTTACACAGATCAGCTGAACAAGTAAGGTAAGTGTCCCATCCATGTTTCTGATACAAGATGCTCAGTTGTGCCTTTACACAGGACTTCTCTGTCTTCTCTGTGTCACTGATCAGGACTTCTGGCATCACACTTGACCAAAAAAAATGGATTCACAGTGCAGAAATGTCCTCTTCAACCTTATTGTGAGAATGGAGGTGCGGCCGACTCCTTGCAGAGAGAGTGTGTGTGTAGTACCATATGTGAATGAAATGAAATACTTTCGAACGGCTTGAACTTCGACCTTTGGAGTATATGACTGAACCATCATATTGGATGAAGGGAACTTGGTGCTTTTTGATGTTATATTTTTGAAATACAACACAGAGGCAGGCTCTGTGCTGCAGGGAATATAAAATCTAAAGTCTTTCATCTTTTTGTTGTGATAAAACTCAGATTTGTGTTGATCTACATTGTTGGTCCACAACACTGTATGGATAAAACAATTAGTAAACTTGTATTCTTAAGGACTACCTGCTTTGGTAAGAGGATTAAAATGAAACCTGTCAGGCCATCCTGAACATGTGATTCTGTATATAGTCAGGCCACAGTCCATTGATGGCTCTTGATAGTGGGGTGGGGTCTATAATTGTCTTGCAAACTGTCTCTGCATGCTACTGGATAACAAACAACGTGACATACTCACCGCTATGGCTATTCATCAGCGAGGCAGTCCACCATACTCCGTCAAAGAAGATGCAAAAGCATCTTTTTTCTAAATAAACTTGAGTACCTCAATCTACTTGACTCAAAGAAAAGCCCAAGTCTAAATAGTCTAAAGTTGATGCTTAGGCCGTTGCAAACGAGAAGTCGCCATCTTTGTTTTTTCAGCAACATCCTGCCCACAAACCAATAGAATGCAGTGATTGGACCGCTATGCAGCCATCGCCTTCTTAGTTTTGCTCAGTCACCTGCATCCAACCCACCTGGCTGATAGAGAACTGTGATAGGCCAGCCAGTATTGTGGCTGGGACTGCGAAGGTTCTGATGAAGCGTTGCTAGACACAACATGCAGAGCAAAATAATTTTGCTTTAGCAAATGACGGTCTAGATTCTAGATTAGCTATTGTCAAAAATCAGTGTGAACAGGAGGTAAAGAAGTTTCTGCAAACCTCAAACCGACTTATTGCTGTTTTGGACAAGCCTTTGCAGCTTAATGTTGACAATGGGAGCATGTCAGTAACGAAACATTTCTCATGAGGCTCTAGACCTCGTTTGGAGACCGCGGAAAGGCCGGCATTCTGTCACTATAGGCTATTTACAGAAATCTGAGGCATAAAATCTTGATCACAAAGCAAGAAGAAACCTCATTTCATGACTATCGTCTGATGTGAGAAACATTATCGAAGACCGTGTCTGATGTACAGTAAGGTTGAGCAATGGCACAAATTAAATGATCATTGGTGATGGTACAACCAGTGAGTAAAAACTAAACAGTCTTACACTCACAATCCAACATAATAAACTGCTGAAAATTTCCCCCAGATGCGCTGCTCATAATCCGTGTTGCCTTTGGTGGTGCGTCAGTCACCCTCATTGGGGTTTTTTAAGACTCTTAAGACCCATTTTTTTGTCAAGGCATTTCAGGATTAGCAAATTTTACCCGGTTTCGATGCCCCGGCCTCTTATTTAAGGATTTTATTTTTTGCTTTGACTCTCCTCTTTTAATTGATTTTATGTTGGTTTTACGATTGTTATTTTTTATTCTGATGGTTTTATGTTTTTATTGTGTTGTGTTCTGCACCTTGGGCGTCTGCATTGGTCGCAGAAGGGGCTTTATAAATAAATGAAATGAAATGTCGGCATCCAAATGTCGTCACTCAATAGTTTGGAGACATTTTTTTAACCTCAGTGACCAAGTGGTACCCCTCCTTTCCACCGGAGCCGTGATGGAGCCGTCAGCAGCACGTTACTGCAGCAGCACGTCATAGCTGCTGATAGGAACCGCTCTAGTCAACAGAACCTTTTCCACCGGAGCCGTCAGCAGCACGTCATAGCTGCTGATAGGAACCGCTCTAGTCAACAGAACCTTTTCCACCGGAGCCGTCAGCAGCGCGAGTCAGCTGCGTCTCAGGAGCAGCATGTCGCGGTCCTTACGCGCCGGTTCTTTTTTCTACGCGCGACGCCTCTGAAACGGGTCAAGTTCGACATTTTGGGGGAAGGAAAGACAGGAAATCGGACGCGGAAACGGAGAGAAGCTCCCGAGATTTTCAGAATAAAGAAACGTACTGCCTTCCGGTTGCTTTACTTTTAAAAACAGTTACTAACTGGGGGGTCCCGTGAGAAGTTATCACCTAGCTAGCGGTCTCCTTTGTTTTTCAGGTCCGTATTGGCGATTATAACACGGACAGAACATAAAACATAAACCTTTTGGAGCCATGTTGTAATTTTCTCCTGCTTGTTGTTGTTTACTGATGAAGTCACTCATGTGACTTCGTGCTCTGTCGGTGACAGCTGCTCCCCTGCTGCTTCGCGTCTTGTGGGAAGGGCCAATCAGCAGCTTACGCGAGTAAGACGTGCTGCTGACGGCTCCGGTAGAAAGGGGGGGCGGGTGGCGTGTCCGGCCTGAGAGTGGGAGATTAGTATACCAACCGGGATTTGAACCCTAAAGTCTTTAAATATGGGACCCAGTGCCTCCCTGCTTGACACTCTGCTTAAAGTGGTTAAATTGGGGTGGGTGGTTTCCGAGCGCAGCCACTGCTGCAGCTGGGGGATGGGTCAAATGAGAAATTTCACCAGTGTGTGATGACTTGTAGGAGTTTACCCTTCTGCTGGGTCAAACTCATCAGCTATTGGCTGACAGGTCAGGCGTACCGTCCTTAATTATCACGTGTGCAGCGCCATCCAACTGTGTAGAGTTCAGTCGGCTTATGTTTCAAATAGACAACAAAATGACACATGGAAGCATTCTGCCGGTGTGTCATGCTATTGTATTTAAATTCAGGGGTGGAGCTGAGCCTGACGCATTGAATTACTGGTTACAGTCTGAGGTGATTGGAGCTTTTATGTTTGTAGATTTTTTTGAGAACAGTGGTGAAACTCTAGATTTATGGCAGGTTGTGGGAACGTCGTCGTTACGTTCGTTCTGTTATCTCATTCCTTTTTTTAATTCTTCACTAAACAGAGTGAATAAAGCTTGTTTTGACCGTCTTTGCTGACCAGTTTCGGCCTTCGTCAGAGCTTCGCTGATGTCAGTGGTGTCACTTCGCTGCCCGGACATGAGCAGAGACCGAAATGACGGCCTCGGCGAAGCTCTGATGAAGGCTACAGTTGGCGACACGGGTCAACAAAAAAGGTCAAAAGAAGCTTTATTTACTGTCTGTAGTGAAGAACCAAGACGATGGATCTGGAGCTGGCTGTGTCCGTCTGACCGTTCTTCGGTCTTCAGATTAGAGCTGCAGTAAGTCATCGGCTCAGTTCCTCTGTGGTCGGCCATTAAAGACTCCTTTTACCACTGGTTTGTGATGGTTTCGTACTTAACAGGAAAGTTGGATATTGTAACGTGATGAAGGAGCTATTCCATCAAGGTTATTTAACCTCTCCCACAGATGCCTCTGACACAGTGCTCGAGTGCATGAGACCGCCTCAAGGTCATGCATTTGCTTCTAAAACTGTTTACTTTCCAGCAAGAGAAGAAAAGACTCTTTTCTTTTATTAAATCAAAGAACTCTTATTTTAATAAAGCTAATCAAAACAAGTGTTAGTCAGTAATACCATGCTGACCGATCTGTGAAATAACAATGTTATGATTAATATGCTTTAATAAGTAAATGACTTTAACACATTAGACACGCTGATACACTAATGAAAACGCATGACGCATTGCTGTTGCTGATCCAATCAGAACCTTCCTAGTCTGAAGCGTGGCAGAGTCTCTGTGGTGTTAATAAATCTGCCAACGTTGATTCGACCAGAATTCAAAACATCCAGATTAATAAAACCAGTTCCAGCGTCATCTTAGTTCAGTTGTCAAGATCTCACTGGAGTTCACCGCATGCTAAGCGAAGTATCGGACCGGCCATCCGGACTTCCCTTTTTAAGCTGAGAACCACCAAGCTGGAAAAATCTGTTGCATTTTACCAACCAAGCAATGGTTCCTTTCAGAATAAAAGCTGAACTCACTGACCCAGGGAGGGTCCCTTTTGATGCTAAAGACTAGTTTGTCGTGCTGTTGACGCTGTACCACTGGCTCCAGTACCGAAAGGAGGGTCCGAGGACCTGGCATTCTGGATCTGTACAGGAGGTCTCATTGAGGGTATGTGTGGATGCGCCAAATATGGCGTCTCGTGTTTATGAAACTCCGGTCACACTCTGATCGTAATTAGAAGCAAAACATCATTCCTCACTCAGACTTGCTTCTCCGGATACGAGAGTTCTGATAACACGCATTCACACACACACACACCATCCACCTCACGTCTCATTCAAACAGATCCATCCATCATTAGTTAGGGTTAGTTGTTTAAAATTATTTAGTAATAAATCATCTTAAACGTTTAAAGGACTCTCTCTCTTCTCTTGTCTCTCAGTTAATACAAAGTGTTACAAATCCCTACAATAAAAACTTCCAATCTTCTGGTGGTCCATAAGATTGATCCCATACTCTATATGGAATCTTACCGTCTCACGGTCCTTAATTAGATGTAAGTTAACTTCATTACAATATTCATCTTTTTAGAGGAAGGAAAAAAGATCTTTCTATCTGGGAAGTACAAATTTACAAATGAGTGACTGATGTGTGTGTTTGGATTGACTTGGGAAAAGAAACGTACACTGTAAAAAACGAGTACATTTTAACATTTGGAGTTGTGTAAAAGCAGCGGTGGGATTAAAGTGAATTTGGGGTGAGATCATATCAACTTGGTTTATGAACAGAAACAAGTTCCTCACATTTCTGTTTCATAAACAAACCAGAAAAAAAGTAATTTTATAGTTTTTGGCTCTAGTTTTTGTTTATTCCTCTAGAACATAGGTACGTGTGTTTTCAAACAAACCAACTGTGTGGACGCTTCGTTGACTTTGCAGACGTTTGTTGTGGATCGGGGGTGGGGGACTAAACGAATGAATCTGGATCTTTGCTCTGTGAGTTGGATTCCTGTTCAGATGTCCGGCTCGACTTTTTGGTGTTTCGTGTTTTCAGACTGGAGTACAGATGCTTTTATTAGCTGTGATTCAGCTTTTTACCTCTAAACTCATCCAAGGTCATCCAGCTGACTCAAACTGACTTCACAACTGTTGTTGAAGTTTCTTCCTTCTGTTTATTCTGATACTTGAATCTTTTCTGTGGTGCACCAACTTTTTTAAAACACCTGAAAGTTGCTCAGTAGTTCTGGAATCAGCCCCTGTTCCTCTGCACTGTGATCCATTACTCATGCCTGATTGGACACTTTAAAAATCCACTTCCTGTCTTGAGTGTGACGCCAGAACAACCCTGTTGGACCGTAATGCCCCTCCCCCATCATCTGAAGGGAACCAAGTTTTGTTCTGAGCAAGGTTCTGGTGCCGCTCGGTGCCGGGTTTTACCCGGAGCTGTTTGAAACGCAAAACTAGGATCAGCTTCCTGTCTGAGGACCTCAGCAGCTGCTGTCACATCTGTTTCACGAATTTACACAAACACACAATAACACACACTTTACACAAACACACAACACACACTTCACATAACCTCTCCTCATACCACACACACACCCCAACTGTAATGCATGCCCATTTAACATCATGACCTACTTGTAAACACAAACAGCTGACGTTTTGGAGACAAATGACAGCTGACCAATCACAGCCAGACTCTGACTGTGCTCTCTCTCGCTGCAGGCACCTCGGCCGATCGAGGGAGGCTGAGGGTCCGGTCCGAACGGCCACGGTAAGACCAGCAGCTGTGCGTCTGTTAAGTAAATGGAAATCTTTTTAGGCAGAGTCACTTTAAAGTTTAGTTTTTTCGTTGATTCAGGTGAAACTAAAGACTTGATGTCTGATGGAACAAACAGGAAAACCTGGACAGGATTTCTGGATCGTCTTCGTGCTTCTGTCAGCAGCTCATCACAGATGTATGTTTAAAGTCTGAATAAACTAACTTCTGATCATCAGTTCAGTTGCAGCTAGCAAAACCACCTGTTTTCCTCCCGCTCAGAGCTGCAGCACCCCGATGTGACCAGCAGGGGGCAGTCGGCCCACGCTCCAGAAGATGGACGCCCTTTTTGGTTCCGTTTGATAATAAATGAAGCAAAAAGAAAAACTGATTTGTGTTCAGTTTGTTGTTCTTCACCACTTTGTCAAGTTCAGAGTTTTCAAACCAACTCATCTTCATAAAGTAGACGAGATGTTTAGAGGAAGTGAGTTTAGAACCGGTGCTGATGTGACCCAGATGGTCAAACAGAACTTCTCTGTGGCCCTCTGAGCGGTTCATCCTCCACCTTTTCTGCTGCCTTGCTTCGCCGCCTCCAGCTGAGTTTCAGTTAAGGCTAAAGGTGCAAAGTTTCCGCTGCAGGAACAAACGGCGGTCCCGAGTGTTGGCTGTCAACGCTGGAGGAGGTCCAGTCCAGACGAGGCAAGACAATCCGGTCTGGATGTGGGTCAGGTTCATGCTGTTGTACCCGGGCTGCTCCCAGGAACCCAGTCACCTCATTAACCCATTAACTTGTGACGGTTGAATATTTCTGGTTTAATCTATGCAAGATAAGTTAGAGAAGTAAGGTTAGTTATGAGTCAGAATTACCACCCTACTTCTGGATGATCCGAGGTTTAGTCCAACAACCTCACAGCTGTGTGAGCGTCAGACGTCTTTTACTTTGAAGGAGTTTGGTATAAAAAGTACAGTAAAGGCTTTTTATTGGCTTAAATACACATTTTTAATAGAAAGAATAGAATGTATATAGCAAGTAAAAGTCCAGATTTAGTTTGACTTGATGACCTTCAAGAGCATCAGGTTGCTCCATCTGGTGTTCTGGGAACAAAAGGGCCTAGTCCTGATCCCTGAGGAACACCTTTGTAAACAGGAATCTGGATGCTGCTTTCGTCCTCACCACATTAAAGAGAGACTTTCTTTCCCAGAATCCTGAATTATTCTTGATGACCTTTTATTTCATTAGGTTTTAGCCCGGAGGGGGTATTTTTAGTTTCCTGCAGCTGTTCCCTGATCTGTAAACCGATCCGGAGGAGGAGGGAAAAGTTAACGGCGTCCAGCTGATCGGCTCCAGCTCTGCATCTTTAATGATCATGAATCATTGATGGTGTCCTCCAGCAGAACAACTCCCCCCTCCTCCAGAGTTCAGGTCCATGTGCTGATGGTCAGGACTGCTTCCAGGTGAGACATGAGCGGAACCACTCCACCGACCGCCGTTCTCGGACTGGACGTTACCCGACCGTGGCTCCGTGGAGCTGTCCGGAAGAACCTGCTGACTGGTACTGATCCTGGAAGCAGAACCAGATCCGGAGCTCCGCTGAGGCTTCCAGCTCTTGTGGCTGCAGCCAAAGGCCCCCGCAGGCGGAGCAGCATGGCCCGACTCAGGTAAACCTCACCTGCAGGAGCGCGCGGCAGCTCAACCCAGGTCTTCAGTGTGACGTTTTCGTCTTTTATAAAAGTTTTAATCTTTAAGGGGAAAGTGTTAAAAGCTAAACATTTCTAAATGTGACCGATTTGATTTAAATGTTAAACTAAATGAAAGAAGATGGCGAGCAGCAACTACACTGAACAATAAACCATCCAACACCTGCAGATCCTTACCTTTATGCAGTATCACGTTTACCTGTACAAGTTCTGGTCTGGGACCCGTCCCTCATCACCCTGCACACCTGATGTCTTTCTGAACGTTGACCGGATCCCCAAACACGTGTTTATATATAAAAAATATCTAACCCTTTCAAAACAAAGGGTTTTCAGACATTTTAAAGACTTTAAGTCGCATTTAAAGTCATTTCATGTAAATAGTGTTGTTTATTAAAAATTATATTTAACAGTAGAGACTTGGTTTTGATTATAAAGCTACTGAACGGCTGTTTGAGTTTCGTTAGCTGTAATGAATCTAAATTCATGTTAAATGTGAATATAGTTAGGGATCTTCTGGCTGTGCTTTTATTTTGGTAGGGTGCTTTTACTACAATCTGAATGAGGTCCTTAATTCCATATTTAGTTATAAATCAATACATTAATGTTTAGATTCATGAGATTTTATTCTGTTTGTAGGTTTTGACTTTTAGACATGTGCCCCATAAAGTCCAATAGGTTCTGATCCCATGGACATCGGGACATCCGGGACACTCGGGTCTCTCTGAAGTTGATTCATCCCTAATCCTAACCTGGATGTCATCTCGACCCCCACCTGTCTCCACTTTTCATTTCAGCAGAAAGTTGCTGTCAAATCACAGCCTGACTGTTCCTGCCATGTCCCACTCGTCTACGTAAGTCAGTATGCCCCGCCCCCAGGACAGCCGGGCACGCTGGGTCGTAAATCTCAGGTGTGAAAAGTGAGCCGCCACCTGATAGAGCCAGGTGGTGCAGCTTTGGCTTCGCACACAAGAGGAAACCCGAGTGGCACACAAAGGCGGCTCTGTCGCCACCCAGCAGGTATTTGATGGCCTCTTTCAGAGGAGAGCAGGTTTTGAATAACCATCAAATTTAACCGGATGGAGTTCTGACGGGTGGATCGGATCACTGACGGGATCCAGACTGGAGCAGGATCTAGATGTTCTGCTGCTCAGTCAGCCTCACCTGGTGAGAACAAACACGCTCCTGCAGAACTTCAGTGTGCTGAGCCTGAGCAGGTAATAGTTCAGATAAGCGACTAAAACCAGCAGGAATGTTGGTGGACCGAGATGCATCTGCAAGGGTCTGGTGGTCCTGGTTTAGACGAAGAATGTAAACACAGTAGAGCCTTTAATTCTTTACGGTTCTGATTTACTTTAAAGGACAATAATTAAATTAGAAGAAGAAGAAAGTATCATTTCTATAGCGCCTCTCGAGATGAAAATCACGAGGCGCTTCACAAAATCAAAAATATAAAAAATAGTTTAGAAAATGGTTAAAATATATTTTAAATGAGCAAAAATTAGACAATTGTGATTATAAAACAAAATGTTGAGAGAGAGTGAACAGGAAAGAGGGAAATCCACTTATATCTGCTGTGGCTTAGTGGTGGTGCGTTCAGTAACTAGGAACACTGGTTGATAAGTGGTGGGGCGTTCACTGACTAGGAACACTGGTTGATAAGTGGTGGGGCGTTCACTGACTAGGAAAACTGGTTGATGTTAAGTGGTGGTGCGTTCACTGACTAGGGACACTGGTTGATTTTGGTGGTGGTGCGTTCACTGACTAGGAACACTGGTTTAGGTTGGTGGTGGTGAATTCACTGACTAGGAACAGTGGTTTATGATGGTGGTGGTGCGTTCACTGACTAGGAACACTGGTTTAGGTTGGTGGTGGTGCGTTCACTGACTAGGAACACTGGTTTAGGTTGGTGGTGGTGGTGCGTTCACTGACTAGGAACACTGGTTTAGGTTGGTGGTGGTGGTGCGTTCACTGACTAGGAACAGTGGTCTAGGTTGGTGGTGGTGTGTTCACTGACTAGTAACAGTGGTTTATGTTGGTGGTGGTGCGTTCACTGACTAGGAACACTGGTTTAGGTTGGTGGTGGTGGTGCGTTCACTGACTAGGAACAGTGGTCTAGGTTGGTGGTGGTGTGTTCACTGACTAGTAACAGTGGTTTATGTTGGTGGTGGTGCGTTCACTGACTAGGAAGTGGTTTATGTTGGTGGTGGTGGTGCGTTTACTGACTAGGAACAGTGGTTTGGTTGGTGGTGGTGTGTTCACTGACTAGGAACACTGGTTTATGATGGTGGTGGTGCGTTCACTGACTAGGAACACTGGTTTATAATGGTGGTGGTGTGTTCACTGACTAGGAACAGTGGTTTATGATGGTGGTGGTGCATTCACTGACTAGGAACACTGGTTTAGGTTGGTGGTGGTGCGTTCACTGACTAGTAACAGTGGTTTAGGTTGGTGGTGGTGCGTTCACTGACTAGTAACAGTGGTTTAGGTTGGTGGTGGTGCATTCACTGACTAGTAACAGTGGTTTAGGTTGGTGGTGGTGCGTTCACTGACTAGGAACATGTTTTATGTTGGTGGTGGTGCGTTCACTGACTAGGAACAGTGGTTTATGATGGTGGTGGTGCGTTCACTGACTAGGAACAGTGGTCTAGGTTGGTGGTGGTGCATTCACTGACTAGTAACAGTGGTTTAGGTTGGTGGTGGTGCGTTCACTGACTAGTAACAGTGGTTTAGGTTGGTGGTGGTGCGTTCACCGACTAGGAACACTGGTTTAGGTTGGTGGTGGTGCTGCGTTCACTGACTAGGAACACTGGTTTAGGTTGGTGGTGGTGCTGCGTTCACTGACTAGGAACACTGGTTTAGGTCGGTGGTGGTGCGTTCACTGACTAGGAACACTGGCTTAGGTCGGTGGTGGTGCGTTCAATGACTAGGAACACTGGTTTAGGTTGGTGGTGGTGCGTTCACTGACTAGGAACACTGGTTTAGGTCGGTGGTGGTGCGTTCACTGACTAGGAACACTGGCTTAGGTCGGTGGTGGTGCGTTCACTGACTAGGAACACTGGTTTAGGTTGGTGGTGGTGCGTTCAATGACTAGGAACACTGGTTTAGGTTGGTGGTGGTGCGTTCACTGACTAGGAACACTGGTTTAGGTTGGTGGTGCGTTCACTGACTAGTAACAGTGGTTTAGGTTGGTGGTGGTGCATTCACTGACTAATAACAGGGGTTTAGGTTGGTGGTGGTGCGTTCACTGACTAGGAACATGGTTTATGTTGGTGGTGGTGCGTTTACTGACTAGGAACACTGGTTTAGGTTGGTGGTGGTGCGTTCACTGACTAGGAACATGGTTTATGTTGGTGGTGGTGCGTTCACTGACTAATAACAGTGGTTTAGGTTGGTGGTGGTGCGTTCACTGACTAGGAACTCAGTATATGTTTGTGGTGGTGCGTTCACTAACTAATAACAGTGGTTTACGTTGGTGGTGGAGCGTTCAGTGACTAATAACAGTGGTTTAGGTTGGTGGTGGTGCGTTCACTGACTAGGAACATGGTTTATGTTGGTGGTGGTGCGTTCACTGACTAATAACAGTGGTTTAGGTTGGTGGTGGTGCGTTCACTGACTAGGAACATGGTTTATGTTGGTGGTGGTGCGTTCACTGACTAATAACAGTGGTTTAGGTTGGTGGTGGTGCGTTCACCGACTAGGAACATGGTTTATGTTGGTGGTGGTGCGTTCACTGACTAATAACAGTGGTTTAGGTTGGTGGTGGTGCGTTCACTGACTAGGAACATGGTTTATGTTGGTGGTGGTGCGTTTACTGACTAGGAACACTGGTTTAGGTTGGTGGTGGTGCGTTCACTGACTAGGAACACTGGTTTAGGTTGGTGGTGGTGCGTTCACTGACTAATAACAGTGGTTTAGGTTGGTGGTGGTGCGTTCACTGACTAGGAACATGGTTTATGTTGGTGGTGGTGCGTTCACTGACTAATAACAGTGGTTTAGGTTGGTGGTGGTGCGTTCACTGACTAGGAACATGGTTTATGTTGGTGGTGGTGCGTTCACTGACTAGGAACAGGTGTTTAGGTTGGTGGTGGTGCGTTCACTGACTAGGAACACTGGTTTAGGTTGGTGGTGGTGCGTTTACTGACTAGGAACACTGGTTTAGGTTGGTGGTGGTGCGTTCACTGACTAGGAACACTGGTTGATGTTGATTTATTTTTTGAGAGATTATTTTCCATAGAGAAGCAGGTGATGTAGCCCCGCCCCCCTCTGGAGCTCCATGGCTCGGGTAGAAACATCATTCAGTGTTTAAACGGGCCACATGAAGTTCTCATGACTGAACTGATGTTCTGGTTTGATGGGTTTTGGAGGTTTTCCCTCAGAAGGATCCAAAGTCCCTCATCCAGCACTTGAGTCGTCATGCTCCTCATTTCCTGGCTTCTTGTTGACTTTTTGTTTTTGTCCCTGGTGTCTCCTCAGCCTCAGTGAACCTTCCCTCTTCGCTCCAAGCGAGGACGTCGTCTTTGACAGATTCTCCCACCGTCATCACTCCAGTGTTTTACACAAACGACATCCACCTCCTGCATCTCTGAGCAAATCCTCCACCTGGAACTGCCAGCCACTCGGAGGTCGGGAGTTTCAGAGCTCCAGACCCGTCTTTATTCACTTCTCCCAGGGGATCCGGCCTGCCACCCGGCCTCGACCAGCGAGACGACATTCCCACAACCCGGCCCTGAGCTCAGAGAGGTTTCCAGCTGCTCAGCGTCAGAACTCCTCGTCCTCTCAGGGGGAACCTCTGTTTGTGGTGGGGAGAACGTGTGTTCTGAGCTGCAGTCGGCAACCTCCTCCTCCTGTTGCTGCTCCTCCAGCTCGCTCACAGCTTCATGTTTTCCTGCCCAGTGAGGTGGAGGGAGAGGAGGCGGATAGTGAGTCTGTAGATGAAGGCTTCATGGACGAACTGCACAGCAAGATGAGCTCCCTGAAGCTCCTGAGGAGTTCAACACAGACGGTCACAGAGAGCTCATAGGAGCAGTTGGCCTCACACACACACACACACACACACACACACCTGGAGGTGACTCTCGAGGATGTAAATATCGTACAGAAAGCACAGATCAGATTCTCCTGATGATTATCAGTCTGAGAGAAAAGATGAAATGTGGTTTTATGCTAAAGTCGTAACATTTAGCCTGTTGTGGAGTGTGATCCTGCCTTCCCCGTCGTAGAGAAACAGGACGGCTGGAGTGCTTCTCGTTTGGTGTGGGATTATTTAGTCTGGGTTTGAAGTTTTTCAGCTGAACCGAATGAATTAAAGGTTTTACAAAATATTCTGCTTCCTGATTAGAATCATTGAGTTCAGGTCTGAACAAGCTGAGTGTTTTTACGCTAAAGTTGGTCAAATATGGTAAAGTTGAGAAGAATCTACTTTTGACTAAATAACAGATGTTCCTACAAGTTAGAGCTTAAAAAACTCTTATATTTATGTCTTGTTTTTCATAATCCTAGTTAATTCAACCTATACATTAAATTAAGAAAGTGTAAATAAGTATTCACCTAATCTGACAGTATTCTATTAGCTTTAGCTTAGCATAAACAATGTAAATGAATGGTAACAGCTAGCATTTCGTGTGAAAAAGTCTCGACTCAATAATGCTTGTATATTTTCTCGGTGACCCCAGTAATCGTATACAAACATAACGGTAAATGATAAATGGCCTGTACTCACAACACCATCAGTCATTCACACACTGGTGTTGATGAGCTACGATGTAGCCACAGCTGCCCTGGGGCTCACTGAGAGGCGAGGCCTGCTTAACGCTGGCACCTCTCCGACCACCACCCGCAGGTAAGGTGGGTTAAGTGAAAATTAGTCTATCTCCAGAGTTTAGTGAGAAAAAAATGTCTGCAACTGTCTTGCATAAACAACGTAAGTGAATGGGAACTAGTAGCATTTGGACTGCAAATGACTCCATGACACCAATTATTCTCGTTGAGCTCAATAATCATGTCGACTGAAGTAAGAAGTAACACGAAGTACTTGCAGGAGCCAGTTTAATCTTGGAACTATATTAGGACAAAGCACCGCTGTAAGCCGCCGCTGCAGCCAGCGCGCATGGATCTAACAAGAGCCGCCCGGCTTCTGTAAACAAAGGTACACGTGCGATCTGCGCGTGATTAATTTCCCTGGTTAGTAACGGGCTTAATAGAAGGAATGCCTGTTACCTGTGCAGCACAAGGGTGTGGAAACAAGCCGAAGACGTACAGCACCCGGATATTTCACGTTATTCCCACCGACGCGGACCGGAGAAAAGCGTGGTTTGATGCTCTGGGACTTCCAGAAAAACCCGTTTTGGAAAATAAAAGATGTATGGTTTGTGAGGAACATTTCACCAAGGAGGACTACTTTGAAAAAATGCAGCATTCGACCCAGACAATGGTGCGGCGGCTGAAAAAGACGGCAGTCCCGTCCTTGTTTTGTAAACAACCAAAAGTAAGTAGATAATACTAAGTGGTCTTTTGTTTAATCTCATTTCTTGAGTGTTGCTGGGCTATTAAAATGTTCCATAAGCGTGACGTGACCGCCCGATTATTACACAACATTTACAACCTTTCTGTGAATAAAACCACCTAGCACTGCGGTAAAGCCAGCCTCCACAGTGAGCCCTCACTCGATTTTGCTAGGCGCACGTGTTCAAAGCGTTACGGTAGAAGGTCGGGCTACTTTTTTTCAAAATAAAAGCCCATCAGAAAAGTATTTTCTGACTGATTATTTGAAAAACTGAATGCAAAAGTTACCAAATTATAGTTATGTCGCCATTTAACAGATATTTAAAATACATTACAAATGGTGGAAATGCCTAAAAACAAGTTTTGACAATCCTTTTTAAATAGAGAGAGACAACAGTTTGCCTGAAGATGGATGTTTAAGATGTCCCCGCCCAGAGTGCATGACCTCACCCAAGATGTCGACGAAGACATTTACAGCTTTCATATTACATAAGGTGAAGGGGATCACCCTTAGCTTTTCATCCTTTGACAAAATTCCTAATAAAAAAAAAAAAGGTTGGATCTTGTGAAATGTTATGAAAACTGCTGTGTCTCATTAGTCTCCATTAGGGACATCATTGAGAAATGGTTTTGAGTATTAAAATCAATTAACCTAGGAGCTATTGCAATAAATCACTTAATTTTTTATAAAAATCCTAATAAAAATGATCAGCTCTTGTGAAATGTGATAAAAACTGCTGTGTCTCAGTGGTCTTCATTAGTGACATCATTGAGAAATTGTTTCGAGTTTTTTGACTGATTTACCTAGGAGCTATTGACAAAAATTACTTAATTTTTGATCAAAATCCTAAGAACAAAGGTTGGATCTTGTGAAATGTTATAAAATCTGCTGTGTCTCATTGGTCTGGTGTACTAGCATCATTGAAAAATGGTTTTGGGTATTAAAATCAATTAACCTAAGCGGTATTGAACGAAATCACAGAATTTTCCATGAAAATCCTAATAAAAAAGATCAGATCTTTTGAAACGTGATAAAAATGGCTGTGTCTCATCGGTCTAGTTTAGTAACATCGTTGAGAAATGGTTTTGGGTATTTAGAGCAATTAACATAGATCCTTTTGAAAAAATATATCTTAATTTTTGATAAAAATTGTAAGAAAAAGATCGGATTGTATGAAATGTGATAAAAACTGCTGTGTCTCATTGGTCTGGCTTAGTAATACAACTGAGAAATGGTTTTGTGTATTTAGATTGATCTACCTATGATCTATTGAAAAAAATCCCTTAATTTTGGAATAAAATCCTGATAAAAAAGATCAGATTGTATGAAATGTGTTAAAACTGTTTTGTCTTGTAAATGTAGTTTAGTAACACAAGTCAGAAGTAATTTTGAGTCATTTAGGAAATTATTGTGGAAGTTTTTTATTTTTTTGGACTCGTTTACCAAGGACTACAAATTTGTTGATAGTCCCTAAGCGAACCACCGTTCCCATTAGCGAGTCCTCGGAATTCAGCTAACCGCTGTCTGTGCCGCAGTGCACGGCATGAAGACTTATCGGAATTACCGCTGACCGTGTAAACCAGTGTCTGTCGAATATCCAACGTCCAACTTCAAGCTAACTTCACCGCATTAAATAGATAAAAAGACCTGGGGACTCTATTCGTTTTTATACAATTTACTTTCCCTGCCAGTGATAGATGAAGTGGCTTCCATTTCTTTAAGTCCCATTTGACTTTTTCGAATAGCGAACTAAAATTTTTGCCATATAGATTGTGGAGATCTCTAATTATATTTATGCCAAGATATTTAAAGCCGTTCTTGGTTATTTTGAAAGGTATAGCACTGACAGGATAGCATTCACTTTTACTGAAGTCCAGGTTGTACCCAGAGAAGGAGCCAAAGCTGCTTAGCGTGTGGATTATATGAGGGACACATGAAACAGGCTCAGATACGTACATTAACAGATCGTCTGCATAAAGGGACACTCTCTGCTCTCTATCCATCCTGAGGATCCCTGCAACTGATGGCAAAGTTTTGAGTGTAATGGAAAGGGGCTCTATGGCCAGGGCGAATAACAGTGGACTGATCGGGCATCCCTGACGGGTACCCCTAGACAATTTAAAATGACCTGAACGTTTACCATTTATTATACAGGCTTTGGTTGATGTGTATAGAAGTCTTATCCATGAGATAAAATTAGGTCCATATCCAAATTTCCTCAAGCAAGCAAGCAAATAAATAATCCCATTTCACCCAATCAAATGCTTTCTCCGCATCCAGCGTGATGACCGCCTCTGGCACCATGCCGGACGCAGGATAATGGATAACATATAGGAGCCGACGGACATTTGTGAATGAATGGCGGCCATAATTGTGTGTTTTCAGCAGCATTTCTGTTGCTGGTAATCTAGAAACGGTTAAATAAATAAATAAAATCCTTTAAAATGACACTAGAAGAGGCACAAGCCTGATGGAGGACTTACATTTACTAACGTGGGTCAGACCCAACCACAGAAGAGCTGAAGCTGGGTGGTAAACACACACAGGTAGCTCTAATAACACCTGAGCTCCATGACGTGTGAGACTGATGCATCAGTGTTACAGCGGGACTAAAGACATGATCAGAAACAGGTTACAGCTGGATGATCTAGGAAGGCAGAAGATCAGGACGTCTGAGCGGTGAACAGGTGAGCGGACCTTCAGGACGTCCCGCTGTCACGCTAAGAAGGTCATGGCTGCAGATCCACACCTGCAGCTGTAGATATTCATCACGCCTTCCTTGTTCTTAATGCTCTTGGATGAAAACTTCTGCCTCTTTAGCTCCTGATCAGCTGATGACAGCTTCAACACACCGCGCTGCTTAACGCACGCATTTCCTTATCGGTAACAGAAACAACGTTTTGATAAAAGAAGACGGTAATTAGATTACTTTATTTCAAACGGCGTTATTCCCATCACTGCTCTGTTGGGTCTACAGCAGCAGCACTTGAGACGGTGAGAACACTGAGGGTCTCCGCCCACCCGGCCAATCATCATCGTGTTTGTAAGTGCGTTACCGACACCTCTCTCTCCTTGGCTGCAGCTGAAGTGTGGCGGTCAGAAAGCCTCACGCTGCTGCTCAACGTTCCCTCCATCCCCAGTAACGGCGTTGTAACAGTGGGAAAAGTAATCAGATTATTCTGTTACCTAACAAAAGAACGCCGTTAGTAACGCCGTTATACTTAAACGTCGTTCCTCCCAACACTGCCTGTAACCGTCATCCCACAGAGGAAGTGTAGCAGGAGAAGTTGTGTGTGACCCAACCGAGCCGACGGCACTTCGTTATGTGGGATACTTTACTCTCCAAGTAGGAAAACGTTGACGTTAGCTCTGGCGATCACGCGGCGCACCCCACAGCACAGCAACGACTCGCCAAAGTTGCGTAATAAAACCGATCAAATAAACAACAGGTTACATTAAGCCGCAAGAACGAGACTAAGGATGACGTTGTCAGGCCGGTAAACGGGGCGGTCGCGTCGGTGATGGCGTCACGAGTAACATGAATGAATTCAACTTTATGGGAGCCGATTTAGGACATAGATATGTACATAAACACATACATGTTTATATGCACGTGATTTAGGATGGGGACTACATTATGACAAAGCACTGCTGCAAGGCGCAAGGATATGACGCAGCGAGCGGCTCCAAATGACATCTACTTCCGTAAACAAACGCGTGCGCTGCAGTTTTACCTCCCGTAAACGGTAAATGGTCTGTGTTTGATATAGCGCCTTCTAGAGTCCTGGAACCCCAAAACAAAAACATTCACCAGTGCAGTAAATTCACCATCGCCTCATAACGTCACAGCTGCATCATTAAAGTTTTTTTGCACATCTTTTTTTATTTTATATGTACTTGCAGCGATGCAATGGACAGGACACTTTTACACGTTTGTTTTCACTGTTGGCCGAGCGTGTTGCCAAAGCTGCTGACTAGGGTCATGTCACGGAAAGCTGATTGTTTCAAGGTTGATAAAATGTCTCAAGAAAGTACCTTATTTCAACCAAATGATGTCTTCACTGTGCCAAGAGTAATGTTTTAATCATCTATGGACCCATCTCTGCTCTGAAACGTTAAATCACATTATACAGTTCCTTTTAAGTGAATTACCTACATGTCTTGTACTGAGATGTTTGCAGATTAAATGTTACAGATGATCAGTTTAACTGGCTCAGAAGCCTTAAAAGACATCAAGAAACTGTTTTCTCTTTGGGACATTCTCATTTCAGCTTCCGTGTGACCTGTGCGGTTGTTGGAACGTCACAGGATTAACCCGTATTTGTATAATTTACAATAAAAACTTGTTTCCCCTGTCTAATACTGTTTCATTCTTACGATGTCCTCAAGTTTAGAAATTCAGGTCAAACAATATAAAGTGGTACAATTCTAGTTATTTAAGGTTGGGCTATGTTTGAATGATGGAATTGAGTGCATCATATAGATTGGTGCTACCTATTGAATGGGTAGAATACAGAATAGAATATTAGAAAATTCTCTATTCTTTCTTATCGGGAGACAAAGAAGCATGTTGGAGAACACGTGTAAAGTTCCTGGATGTCCTGGGATATCCAAACTTTGCCCAAGCTTCTGCAAGAACTAGATTGTTGGGGGAAATACAGCAGGGCAAAGAGCATTTAGCCACCATGCAGTGACTCAAACTCTGTGCAAAATCTGCTTTTGACCATTATAGTCTGTGTTTTAGTTAAAAAAAATCAGCTCAGGCAGGTTATTAAAACAAGCAGTGTTTTCATCTGAAAGTTTGAACGGGAATGTGATTTTCTTTTTGTAAAAATGAGCAGAAGACATAAGAATTTTTTATTTTTCTGCAACTTTTCAGTCAAATTATTAGAAATGTGTACATTCTGCTTTTCCCCCTTTTGAATGAGTTAATAAAACCGACGACAGGGGGCAGTAGTGATCCCCTCCAAACCGCCAATGAATGCCTCGAAGGAGAAAAGCGCAACCTGCAAATGCTGCACAGTTGGATAAATGAAAAGTAATTGTTCCGTTTTAGGGTTTCTGCTGAGAAGTAGCTCATCGTTGCCTTTTTAAGTTTTTAATATCGATGTGAGCATGTCGGAAGCTGGAGACGAAGCCGAACATCAGGTCGCCAGCCAGTCACCGCCTGAAGCCGCGGTAATCTGCACGCTTTTATTGTTGCTCTATTTGTCATTGAAGCGGCTCCAGATCCACCCAGTTAACTTAGAACAAAGTTAGGTAGTGTTTAAAATACACATGCACACACTCAAGCTTGTGTTTTCAATTAGAAACGATACATTTTTGACCCAAGAGCAAAGCTAACTGGGTGCTAACGGAGAAGCTAGTGTTAGCCTAGCAAACGGTGAACTGCGTTTCTGAGATTTTCATGTAATAAAATCAAACATTAACACGTCTGAGTGGAACGAAATTGTCGTAGAAAGCGATGAACAGCAGAAACGAGCAAAAAGACGAAACCCCATTTTTAAGCAATCGGCTGCAGCTGCAAGCTAACTGGTCTCGCGAGACTTCAAGTCACGCACATACATTCTAAAGTGTGTAAGGTGTAGTTTCTAGTTTAAATAGTTTATTACTCATGTTGTATTATAAAGTTTTACAGTTTATACGCGTACGTTGGCGTACTTTTAACTCTAGTAATCATAAGGGGAAACGACCCTTATAACAACAAGAAATAAGGTCTTTTGTTTACTGGCTAATGTGTGCTCCAGGGCGGCTGTGGCTACAATGTAGCGCATCACCACCCGCGTGTGAATGGGTAAATTATTGTGTTTTAAAGCGCTTTTGGGGGGGGGGGGGGGGGGGGTGTAATATGGTGATGCTGCTAGAGAAACCTGGAGCCTCCGGGGCAGAAAATCCTTTTCTCGTCCCTCAGTGGGGAAATTTTGGTGTCAAAACAGCAATTTCTATTTACACCAAGAGCAAAAAAAATGGAGCATATAGAATGAGGAGTAAACAAGATTAGAGTAAAAAACAGAAAACGTAAAGCAGAAATACAGATTTAAATTCCAAACACATTTTTAGGAATAAAATATAAAAATATGAGATGGTGAGGTAAGCTACCGTAATTTCCGGCCTACAAGCCGATATTATTCCTTGTGCTTTGAAGCCTGCGGCCAATATCATGGTGCGACTCGTGCAGATTTGTTTTGGCCAACAACCAATAGAGGCACGGCAAAACGTTAAGCGCGGAAGAAGACGCTCTTTGATTTAAAGCGGCACGTTTACACATCAGACACACCCTCGTCATGGAAACCACGCGGAGGAATGCATACGCTGCAGCTTTCAAGTTAAAAGCGATCGATCTGGCCATCAGGCAAGGAAACAGGGCCACCGCGTGGGAGCTTGGCATAAATGAGTCAATGGTGCGACGTTGGAGGCGGCAGCGGGAAGAACGCAGTCAGTGTAAAATAACAAGCGGATCGCCGGAATTGGAAAACATTCTTGAAGACTGGGTGAACACACAAAGAGCAGACGGCCGGGGTGTTTCCACTGTGCAGATCATTACTAACCAGGCATGTTTTGTGTGCAGTTTTTATTTTCTAATCCTCCAGGGCTTATTAGTGCTGTGTCAGCGCTGTTCTTTTCAACTAAACATGCAAATTACCGGTAATAACGTGTCAGTGCTGTTTTTACTTCATAACATCCAGAAACATGAATGCTATCAGCGCTGTTTTCTTTTCTAAACTTTCAGGCGCGTTCATCCATGTTTAAAATTCGTTTTGTTGAATTAAAACATCAACTAAAAACCTCCGTGTAGCGTCTTTCTGTCTGATTATCTTAGGTTATGGCCGTGCATGCGCTGTGCGCCGCGGCGTGTGTGTGTAGAAAACCTTTTTTTTTTGTTTTGTTGGTGCGGCTTATATTGAGGTGCGCTCTATAGTCCGGACATTACGGTATTCCCAACAATAGAGGCCTATAAAACTCATATTTTATATACATAAACATTAATATTTACACATTAATTTTCCAGTCTCTGTTTGCTTCAGAAGGTCTGATGGGAATTCTGCTTTCTGCACAGGAAACCGGTGAAAACCACAGCGTGTCCATGGAGGAAGCTTCAGAGCCAGGAACTTCGGCCGATGTTGGAGACCCAGAGTCGGGGGGTGAGTCCTCACGCAATCTCCCTGAAGTGGAAGAGGGACAAGAGCAGGAGAACAAGCCAAACAATCAGGAAACGGAACATCATTCTTCCTCGGAGGAGTCAATCAAAGCGTCGGAATCTGAAATAGAAAATTCGGAGATGAAGACTGATGATGAGCCGGAGCTTAAAGAGGAAATGAAAACAGTCCGGAGCAAAAGTCCAGAGGAGACTGCTGCAGGACCAGAGGACAAGACCTCTGATGACAAAGACGATGTAAAACAGACAGATGATGACATGAAGACGGAGGAGGAGAAGGATGGGATACAGGAAAAGTCTTCTCCATCAGGAGACGAAGAGGATGTAAAACAGACGAAGGATGACATGAAGACGGAGGAGGAGAAGGATGGGATACAGGAGGAGAAGGATGGGATACAGGAGGAGAAGGATGGGATACAGGAGGAGAAGGATGGGATACAGGAGGAGAAGTCTTCTCCATCAGGAGACGAAGAGGATGTAAAACAGATGGATGATGAATCGAAGGAGGAGAAGGATGGGATGCAGGAGGACAAATCGTCTCTGGCGGGGAAGCCATCGGTCTCCATGGCGGAGGACCTGGATGAGATGATGGACATTGGGACCGTGGACCAGGTGGACCAGGAAGCTCAGATGAAGGAAGAGGATCAGAACAGTTCTGAGAGCAGCTGTTCCGCCGCTGAACTACAAAAAGGTCAGAGAAACAAATGATGGAAGCAGAAACGCGTCAGAGCGTTTAAACATTCATTTAACCTGCATCTCCCTCTCAGTCATCGTTCCTAGCTCTGCTGAGGAGGAGGCCGACGTGAAACCGACGACCTCTGACCTGATACGGTCCAGCTCGTCTCCGTCGTCTGAAACTGCGACGAGCACCGGTGAGTGGTTTCAGAGCTGCAGCGGCGTTCTGCTGCTGGGTCCTGACATCACCTTTGTGACCTCACGGTGGCAGAGCGGAGCGAGCCCTCGAGTCTGACCGCTAACGGCTCTGTGTTCGGGTCCAAGTGCGACTCTGATAGTTTTCCTCATGTTTGCAGGAAGAGAGAGCTCGTCGCCGCCCGTGAACGGGATGAAGACGGTCAAGCAGTCGCTGCCCAGGTTAAACGATGTAAGTAACTCCGTCTAATCGGATCTGACTAAACGCTTCTGTCCGGGACTAAAGAGAACTTCTCCCACTCCTCGTTTAGGAGAACTCCAAGTCTGAATCTGATCCCATCAAGTCATCTCCTCCTCCTTCTCCTCCTCTGACCAAAGTGAAGGACGAGCCGGTGGACGAGGAGTACGACCAGGCGCTGGTGTCGGCCACGTCCACAGCGAGCGTGAAAGACGAGCCCGGAAAGGTCGGACACACGCTGACATTTTCCGTTTTGGTTCAGAGGTGAAAAACGTTTTGTTTCTTCTCGAGAGGAACAGAAACGACGCCTCGGACGGACCTCAGACTCCTCTACTACAGAGTCAGCCGGCTCAGAACCGGCGGTCCGGTGCCTCGGTTCCGACTCTGTAGGAGAGGAGTCCGACTCCTGCTTCAGGACCGAACGATCCCTAGAACCGGCTCATGTTCTTGTTGACAGGATGACCTGAAGATCGGTTCGGTCTTCTCCGTGACTCCGCCCGCTGAATCCCAGACGCAGCCCAACACCTCCTCGCTCCACATGTCCTGTTCCTACTGCAAGAAGAACCTGCTGAAAG